TTTCCCAAACCTCTTAAAAAACATTTTTTTACTTTTTTGTCAGCCTTTGATTTACTTAATCCGAAGACAATACTAATCATTTCTACACTTTCTATAATTTTTGAAAAATAGTCTTTTATAAACACAAAATCTTTTTGCTTTACAGTTTCTAATTTAGCAATGTATACTTTCTTATTCTCGGAAGGAAACTAAATCAACAGTATTTCTTTCTTCATCTTTCATAAGAATTTGTGATAAAAACTGCTATTATAGTAATCATCATATATGAGGTTGTATAGTATAAGTCCCATTTGTAAATATTCCAAGTTATTGCTCTCTGGAATTTGCTCAAATCTTTTAAACCACTGTAAATCAAGGTCTTCTCTTAAACTGTAAATAATTTTGATCTTTTCTTAAATCTTCAAATCAGTGCCTTTTATTCCTTTATCAAATGAGTTGAATCTATCACTCATCATCTCTTCATGATTCATCATTGTTTTTTCTGCAATTGAATTCAATTTGGCGTGCTGCAAAGAAATGCGACTAGTCTTAAAGTAATACTCTTATGAGCTTAAGATTTTATCATTGCCGTCTGTTCCTTGCAGGCTTTTAAAATAACCCATATTTTTATTTAATAATTTATTCGAATTTTTTTCACAAAAGGCAGAAGTTAACATTTAAAATTATTTTTATAGTAAAATTTTTTAAATAAAATTAACATGCGATTGTTATACCACACTATGTTTTGCTCCAATATTGACAGTTAAAATTTGTTATACTAAACCTGTAGGACAGCTATGAGGCAAGCGTGTTAATCAGCAGTATTGAGATAATGGATTTGACATGTTCGTTTAAAAATTATTATTTTTATCAAATACAAGCGTTATACCCTTGATTCTAGAAATCAAGGGAACCATTAAAATCTTCTTACCTAAACTTATTTAATGCTTTTTTTCTTTCTATTCCATTTAAATTTTTTTTATTTATAAGTTTATTCCCTAATCCTCTAAAGAAGTTTGTAAAGAAACAATTAATTAGTTATAAATTTAAAAATAACTAATTCTTGTTTCTTCAAATGCGTCATCGTACTGGCATGCTATTTTCCCAAGAGAAGACTTTAATTGTGTCACCATTGTACTAATAATTCTCCATTCCCCATCGGTCTTGAATGATCAAATAGATCTCTCAACAAAAATCTCTCAAATAGATAGTTTCATGACTTTTTAGCAACTATTCTTTTGTCATTTATCCTGGTCAAATATTTTTTATGTTGTAGCTTTTATATAATTAAGCTTTAATTTTTAAATTTTCAATTACTTTCCACTCCTAATTAGAAGCCTTAATACTAGTCTAGAATCTTGGCTGGTGCTTATCATATTAGTGTGTTGAAAAGGTACAAACTAAAACGCTGAAATATATAACAAATCTATTTTGATGTAAGATTTTTCTGTTTACACAATAACGTTGCGCTATTTATTGCATAACACATCTTTTATAACGTAAATATTAAACTCAAAAAATCATATGAGCAATCTTAGTTTCCATCAGAAGTGATATCCAAAGATTTGATTTTTTAAAAGGCTTAAGTAAATTTAATAAATAAATAATTTATGTGCAATAAAATAAATGAACTTTGCAAAGCTATTTTAATTATTTCATTTCAAATTAATTTTCTTTTAAGCAACGAATAGTTTAAGAAAATCTTAGTAAAAATAAAATAAGATATTATAGCATTTTAACTATAAATTTTTCATACTACTTTATTTTAATTTACGACATGTCATTTCTCTGATCAAATATTTTAGATTTAGAATAAAATAATTTAAAAAATTCGAGAAGCAAGGGGATGCAAAAAAATAATTTAGAAGACATTATTAAAAAAAATAAAAATAATTTAAATGGAGGCAGTAAAAAATCTAATAATTGTAATAACATGTTGATGACTGATTCTTGTGAGAATTTACTAACTACGTGTAGCACACAGCCTGATACCATAAATTCTTCTCACTCTGATCTAAGAGAAAGAATTTATGAGAGTCCTAAAAAAATACATAAATCTACTTTATCATTTTCTGATTTTCAAATTAGCAAATCAAGTGACATTGAAGATAATTCAGATATACACAACAATACAAAAATTAAAGACACACGCTATGAATTTTTACTGAATATTAGAGATAAAGAAGGTAGGCATGTTGATGATGCTGACTATGATAATACAACACTTTACATATCAGATCACGATTTTTATAAAATGACACCATTTGAAAAGCAATTTTGGGAGATAAAAAAAGATTATTGGGATACAATAGTATTTTTTAAAAAGGGAAAATTTTATGAATTATATGAAAAGGATGCTGATATTGCTTCTAGTCTTTTCAACTTTAGATTGACAGAAAGGGTAAATATGCGCATGGCAGGTTTTCCAGAAAGCTCGTTGGATGATTGGATCTGTAAATTTTTAGAAGCGGGGTTTAAGGTAGCAAGAGTCGATCAGTCAGAAAATATGATTGCGAAAAAAATTAGAGAAAAGGGTGCTGTAAAAGATAAAATTATTAGAAGAGAGTTAAAAGAAGTTATTACACAAGGTACCATTTATGATAATAATCATCTCAAGACACCTTATGCAGTTTACACTCTTGTAATTAGAGAAAATCAAATATGTGAAAATGCTAATTGTACATTTTCATTACATTTTTCGATTTTACTTTTTGATGCTGCTACATTACAAATATTTTATAAAACTTTTTGCGACGATTCAAATTACAATAATCTGAAAAATATTTGTGTTAAATATATTGTTAAAGAATATTTGTCACAGAAAAAGTATCCTTTTATTTCAAATTACGTTAAACCGGATGATAAGATTTTTAACAAAAATTTAGAATTTCTTAATGAATCTGAAAATATATGTTACGGATTTTTGTACAATTATATGAAATATTTAAATCGAGAAAATTTTTTAAAAAATTGTCGATTTTTTAAATTTGAGTGTCTTGAATCTATAATGATATTAGATTCCTGTTCTATTATTAATTTAGATTTATTAAGTGATAAGCACAATAAAACGTTATTTAATGTAATAAATAATTGTAGTACACCATTTGGACAAAGAAAGCTTCAGTCATGGATGCTCTCACCCTTGTCTGATGGAAATTCAATTAGAAAGAGACAGTGTTTAATTAATTATTTCGCAAATATTAATTTATCTCCTATTATAGATATTTTTAAAAGTCTTGGAGATTTTGAAAGATTATTTTCTAAATTGCAATCAGGTCATTCTAAATTCCGGGATTTACGCACATTTATGGAAAAATTGAATCTTGTAGTAAAAATTTATCAGATAATTGAATTACAAATTTGTAATAAAAATGGACCAGCACCAAATACAATAAAAATTAATTGTTTTGTGGATTTATATGATCATAACAATTTAAGTGTTAGTTATGCACCTTTACACGACCTGAAGAAATTTATTCAAAATTACCAATTAAAATATTATATTAATAGGGAAGAAATTGAACCTGGGAAAGAAAATTCTGAAGAGATTGCCAGTCTTATAAACAGAAAAGAAGAGTTACATGCAAAATTAGAAGGATATCTTAATAACGTTAAGAGCAATTTACAATGTGAAGATATAAATTACAAAAATATTGGCAAAGAAATATATCAATTAGAAGTGCCAAAACATATTAAAGTTCCTGATGAATTTTTTATAGTTAGTGCTACTAAGTCATTTAATAGATATTATACTTTAAATTTAAAAAATTTAATTACTGATTATATTGAATTAGAAGAGAAAATTTTTCAGTGCCATGGATCATTATTTTTTCAGGCAGTAAATTGTCTTTTAGAATCCGAATCATTATTTTTCAATATTATATCAGATTTATCTACAATTGATTGTTTAATATCTTTAGCTATTTTTAATCACTCGATTAAAGGTTGTTTACCAGTAGAATTTAATAAAATAGAAGTTCGAGGATTAGGCAACCCAATTTATAAAGAATATGTTAAAAATGATTATATAGAAGATCAAAGAATTTTGATTCTTACTGGATCTAATATGGCAGGTAAATCTACTTTTATGAGAACTTTTTGTTTGAATACTATTTTATTTCACATGGGTTGTAATGTTTTTGCATCAGAATTTAAATGTCCTGTTTTTGACAGGTTATACAGTCGAATGGGTGCTTCTGATAATTTAGTCAGGGGAGAATCTACATTTATGGTTGAATTGCTTGAAACCAGTAATATTTTACGAAATGCGACAAGTAAATCGCTTGTAATTATGGATGAACTTGGAAGAGGAACATCTACCAAAGATGGAAAAAGTATTGCTAAGGCAGTTTTATCTTATTTACAAAATATTAATTGTCGAGTATTTTTTTCTACGCACTATCAAAATCTTGTTAGTTTAAACAATGGATTTTCTACTGGGTTTATGAATATTTGTATAAAAAATAATATTGTAATATTTTTATATAAACTTGTTAATGGCATCTGTGAAGATTCAAATGGTATCCACGTTGCTAAACTTGCTGGTGTTCCTGAAGAAATTTTATTACAAGCTGAGAAGTATAAACAAGAATTTAAAAGTTATAAATAAAGATTTATGTTATTTTTAAACATTGCAATATGGGAAGTTATTTACATATCTTAATTTTTAGTAATAAAAATTATGTTATTTAAACACTGCAATATGGAAAGTTATTTACATATCTTAATTTTTAATATAAAATTATTTAGATATTCAACTCTTTTTAACAATCTAAATTGGTTTAGTATTGTTTACCACATGTCATATATTATGATTTATGTTTTTTAAACCAATTGACATTAATAAAAAAAATTTTTAATGAAGCATTGACTTAAAATATTTTTAGTGGTTGTACCACCACAAGCACATATAAAAAGATACTTTTATAATTTTAATTTATGCGTACAAGTTTAAAAAATAAAGATTTAGTATAATTAAATATAGTTGAATAAAAGTAAAAAAAATATTTAATAAAATAGTAATAAGTTGTGGTATTGTACATGGATTATATTTATTTAGTTAATGTGTGTTAGATTCACAACAACCACATAATAATCAAAACATTCAAATTTTATAAAACAAACATTAAAAACAAGCTTTTAAATAAATATTTATTTTAATGATTTTTTAATTTACAGTTTAAAAAAACACATTTTCATATTCTTCATCAATTTGTTCCTCACTTTTATTTTCTTCATTAACTTTCTTATGTGCTGCATTACAAGCCACATCAATTTTAATAAGAGTTTGTTTAGCCCTTTCAATTAATTCATTTTTTTTACCTGTATGATTTAAACCAAATTCTCTCATTAGAAGTTTTAATTGATGTACAGTCACATTTGTAAAATCAAGCTCTTTAACTCTTTTCTGGAAATTTTTTATTATTTGCTTGTATTCGTCATTTAACTCCTTATTAGAGTTTAAAAATAAAGGTAATACACTATTATTACACTCTCGTTCATTCATTCCTCTTCTATTAAAAATATCTGTTCCTTGAATGTAATCTAAACTAGAATATTTTGACGGGTGTATAATTGACTGGTAATTATCATTAGAATTTTTAACATATTGCCATAAAATAGGATTATTTTTTCTCTTTTTTTTGTAGCCCCATGGGCTGTCAAAATCATCTGGTGGCCGATAGAATGACTGAGGTCTAATATAATTTTGAGAAGGATTAAAAAAGTTAGATGTATTCAATACAGGTCTAAAATTAGTATAGTAAGATGGTATTTTGTGTTCGTAATAAATAGATCTTTTATCTTCAATATCCGAAGGATCTTGTTTACAGAAGAAATTCTTATTATAATCTTCAAATTGAGAAAAAGGCATTTTTGGATGAGAATATTGAAAGGGCGATTGTGGGTACTGGAAGATTGGGGTTCTCATCTTGTGATTTATATTTTTTATATTGTCTTCACTATTTATAGAAGAATCGATAAAAGAATTATGACTGTTTTGTATATCTCTTGGATTTATTTGTGAAGAGTCATCTGTAATATTAAATGGATGTTCTTTCTTAGATTCATCTATTTTATTAACTACATTCTGATCACTTCTTTTATTTATTACATCTCCTATTTTATTAAATTGTTCTAATAATTTACTATCATCTCTTGTATTGTAAGGACACATGCTTCCTAAACTCATTTCTTCTGTACTTGTATCAAATCCCATAGAAGAGTTGTACATGCTTTTATGCATAAAATCATTATTAAATACAGAATCTATATTATGGTACTTTTTACGGGGACGACCTCTTGATGGCATTTCTATAGGTTTATCATCTTTCTTTTCATTCATTACTCTTTGGTATTTAAAACATAAATAAAATATTTATTGTAAAACGAAACGTTGTTTCTCATCATTACGAAACCATTTAAAAACCAATTAAAGTTAATAGATTTAATGGACATTTGTAACATCGTTACAAATGTCTTGTATTATAAGTTCACTCTTTTTCTTATAATTTTCAATAAGAAAAAAAGAGTTATTAGATTTTTTATCTAAATTTTTAGATGTAAAAAGCTCTTTAAATTTATTTTCTATGTTTTCATTAAATTTAAAAATAGTACTTTTTAAATTATAAAATTTTAGATCTAAGTTATTAATTTCATTAATCATATCTAAAGCTTCTACATGTGTAAATTCTAACACTTTCTTAGAATTAAGATCTTTTTTACATAACCAAGTGTCTTCTATATTATTTTTTACTAGAAATAATTCATAAATAAATTTTTCTCTCATTATATAAACTTGAAATGTAAGTGAAGCATAAGGTTTCACCCAAATTCCTTCTATGTGATTTTGTCTTATTTTTTCTAGTTCTAAAATCATGTACAAATTTTTGTGCATAAAGGGGGTTTATTTCAAAAAGTGTTGTAATGTTTTATGAGTTAAGAGTTATTTATGCAACAAGTGTAGTAAAAAGTTCAGTGTAATATTTGCTTTAAAATATTTAATAAATAGAGATTTATTCTTAAACAATTTTATTATTTCATACAAGTTTATTATTTCATACAAGTTTATTATTTCATACAAGTTTATTATTACATACAAGTTTATTATTTCATACAAGTTTATTATTACAATACAAGTTTATTATTTATGAATATCAAAAATACAGCCATTTCGACATAACACAATTTAACTGTTAACAAATAACAAAATTACAGCTATCCCAACATAACAAAATTACAGCTATTTCAACATAAAAAGATACAGGTATTTCATACAATATTTTTTTACAAATTTCACGTCTTAAAAAATTAACAATGTCAAGACCTTTAATAAAAAAACAAAAAGAAGTAAACCGTAATGTTAATATTTATTATAAACCCTTTTCCTTTAAAATGCTATTCTTAACGTCTTCCTTTAATTTTTCTTTAAACCTTTCAAAGTCATTAGACTTCTTTTTTTGATCTTTTGGTTGAATAAGTTCAACTATTCTCTCACTAGTTAATCCTTTAATGTCATGCACTTCATCAAGTAAAATAAATGAGCTTATAGGTGCTACCTCATTTTCTCCATTAGACTTCTTAAGTACCACAAATGTACTATCAATTATTCCTATAATGATAGCTTTCATATTTCTTTCGGTTTTTGTAATCGGAAATACAGTTCTCCCCAGCTCAATGAATTTCATTAGAAGGGGTAAATTTTTGCAAATATAAAGCCATTTTAAAAAAATGGTTTTTTATAATTATTAAATTATCAGTAAAAGAAGTAATAGTAAAACTGTCTAATTAATTAATTTATCAGAAATAAATTAATCAGACAAATCAGATATTTATACATTGTTTTTAAAAATTGAGTTTAATTATAGATTAACGTTTATCATTACTGTGATCAAAAATTGAAGTTTCTTACTCAATTTATATAAAATACTTTAATTGTTTTTTAATAAAATAAATTTATTTTAAACAAAAGTTAATAATTTTAAGGTGCATGAAATAGAAAAGATATCTAAAAATTTAGTGATAAATTTATCCCTAAAAATGAAGATTACTAATTTACAAAATGAAATAAATCATTTAGTATTCTTATATTTTACATCTATTGGTGTATTACAAAGAGATTGTCATTTAGAGACGGCACAAGAAATACGTTTAAATTTACAAAAAGAAATACAAGATTGTTTAAACAGAGTAAATAATATTTTAGAAGATGATGATACAATAGAATATCTTAAAGATAATAGTGAAGATGTTTTAAAATACAGTAAAGAATATTTAGATGAAGGATACGATTTTTTAGATTATTTATTAGATTTATAATTTTTCTTGTAAATATATTTTAAAAAAACCTAATAGAAAAATAAAATAAATAATATTGTATTTTCACGTAATTTATAATATTTGCATCTATCTTTAAGTAAATATTTTATTTTTATTATTTATTTTAAATAAATATTTAATAATTTTTTTCTTTTATTTTCAATACAATCCACATGTTTATGCAAATTTATTTAAAATATTTATCCCTTAAATTCTGCATGATTATAAAAATAAAAATTGATGAAGATTCCTCTTTAACATTTGACACTACAGAACTTCCTGTAGATACAGATTTTGATTCTTTATTTGAACTAATAAAAGAGAGTAATATTCCATCATCATCATTATTTAAAATAGCTTATGCTTATAAGGATAAATATGACTACTGTAAACAAATACTTGATTATGTAAAAACTACCAATCTAAGAGATGTAAAATCTAAAGCAGAAATTTTTCAAATGAGTCTTGATTTAGCACATAATAAGCCATTATATTTTTCACAAGAATATCCTTATAATTCTTTTTATATTTTACTAGGATATGAAAATATAAAATCTAAAAATTATGTAAAAGCCTTGGCTTATTTTACCAGAGTTCAGTACAAACTGGGAATTGAACTTTGTAATTTTTATTTAAACAGAAATATTGTTTTTAATAATGAATTATTAAAAGCATTGCATATCTTTAATACTAAAGATGTATCTAACTATAAAATAGCAAAAGAAATGTTTAAAAGGAATGTATCTAAAGATTTTTACAATGGAATATTTAATAATACAAAATCTATTGGTGATTATAAAATTCAATTAAATATTGATATTAAACTTAATACAATACGACAAGATTTATCTAAAATAGACTTATATGAATTAGATAATGATTTTTTTTATTATTTGAAAGGAAAAAAAGAACATTTAGAAAAAAATTATGATAAAGCAATAGAATGGTATAAAAAATCTTTAAATAAAAATAATAATATTTATGCAAAATATAATTTACAGAGAATTTTACAAAAAGAGTACATTGAAGATAATTTTGATTGTTATGAATATAATAATTTTAAATATTTTATGAAATATAAAAAGTGTAAGATTGAAGATTTAAAATGTGATGTAGAAAATATTAATCTAAATATAAAAAATTTTATTAATATAATGTCAGGTATTAAAAACAATCCAGAGTCATACATTGCAAAATACAAAACATTATTAAAAAATGATTTATTGGATATTAATACAATAAAAAATAATCTTATTTATTTTAAGTATAAAAATATTGATTATCAGGATCTTTTAAATGACACATCATGTGTTTTAGAAGAAGATGTACAAACACTAGTAGATATTTATAATAAAACAAATGATGTATATGTTAAATATAACTTATTTTATTTAACTAGAGATATGAAATATTATGATAAATTAAATAAGTTTAGTACACAGATACTTAAATTTATAAAAAATGGAGAACTAGAATATATTGAAATTTATGATAAATTAAAAAATGCAAAAACAATAGAAAACTACAAGGAATGCCTTGAAAGTTTTTATGGAGCCAATGGTATAGCCATTTGTCTAGCTAAAAATAAAAAGTATCAAGAAGCGCTTAAAATATTTTATAGTTTAGTACTTGATTACAATGATGTTTATATAAATATTGGTAATGTATACATAGCGATGAAAGAATATGAAAAAGGGATTATACAATTTCTTAAAGCCTTTTCAGAAGGTAATAATATAAAATTATTAAGTAAAATTTCTAATAATGAATATATTTTTAGAATAATACAAGAAGTGTATATTTATGTAAATAATATAGATCTTTTAATTAAAATATATAAAATATTTGAGATATCGGATATGAAAAAATACATTTTTAAATTATTAATTAATTCTAACAGATTGGATGAAGCAGAATGTTTTAAAATAGAAAGTGATAGTGAACTTATGAATATTTATAATAATAAAATAGAAGAAAGAAATAAAGCTTGTTATGAAAATAAGAGAAAAGCAGAGGAAATGGCACAATATAAAAAATCTAGAAATTTATAACACCAAATGAATATTTTTAAATGATAATTATTGATTTTTTACATTTTAAAATTTAAATAAATGTCAATTTGTTTTTTATACTACAAAATCTTTATAAAGTTATTTTTATTTATTAAATATTATTTAAATAAATATAAAGACGTTTGGTTTTACATGACAAATTAAATCTTGTTGTAGTCACTAATAAATCTTTCTATGCACATCACTGAATCTTTGCACGCATCAATAAACCATTGCACATATCACAAATAAATCTTTTTATGCACATCACTGAATCTTTGCACATATATTTTATAAATCTTTGCAGACATCACTGAATATTTGTATACACCACAAATAAATCTTTGCAGACATCACAAATAAATTTTTATGCACATCACAAAAAAATCCCTGCACACATCAATAAATTTTTGCACACGTCAAGTATAAATTTTATATGTGCATAATTTTACACCCATAAATGAAGACAGATGAAGAAATTTTACAAAATGAAAATATTAATTTTAATGATAAAAAAATAAAAGGAGGATCTTTTAAGACACTTAATTTACATAAACAGTTATTATATAACATCCCTTTTATTAATCCCACACCAATTCAGCGAAAAATTATTCCAATGATTTTAGAGCATAAATCAGTGATGGGCATTGGAAGAACAGGAAGTGGAAAAACTTTCTGCTATCTAATCCCTGCAATACAAAAGGCTTTAGAAAATAAAAATATACTTATTTTAGTACCAACAAGAGAATTAATTAATCAAGTTAATAGAAATATAAAATATCTTACTAGAAATATAGAACTAGATGGTATTATAGAAGTTAATACACCTGGTAGATTTAATTATGAAAATAAAAATATCAAAATTGATTTATTAGTGGTTGATGAGATAGATCGAATAATTGAAGAAAAAGATTTAAAACAGGAATTTAATATTATTAATGATAAATTAGAGTGTCAAAAAGTCTTTTTTAGTGCTACTAAACCAGATATTCATGTAGATTGTAAAATTATAGAAGTAGATGCAAAGATTAATGATAATATTAATTATAATTTTTATTATTTACCTAGTATTTCTAAGGAGAGTGTATTACTTAACACACTACACTCACTAAAAATAAGTAATAATAAAGGAAATAAGGTTATTATCTTTGTTAGTACAAAATACACTGTAGATTATTTACTAGAAATACTAAAAGATTATAATTATTTATGTAGGGGCATTTACAGTAGCATGGATAACCAAGCAAGGATAGGAAATTTTAAAGATTTTTCTAAGGGTTTATTTAATATTCTTATAGTCACAGATGTAGCAGCCCGTGGATTAGATATTCCTCTTTTAGATGTTGTAATAAATTATGATTTATCAGATGAGAGAACTTTTTTACACAGAGTTGGACGTATAAGAGGAGCAGGTGTATGTTATTCATTTGTTACATATAATGATATATTCCATTTCTTTAATATTCAAGAAACACATCTTAAAGATATAGAAATAGGACTAGTACCGAATGATATCTTAGATGAATATGATTTATCAAAATATCTTCCTCTTAAAGCTAAGACAGAGAAAGGATATGAAAAGTGCCTTAAATTTAGAAGTAAGGTAAGTGTACCAGAAGAATATAAAGATAAAATAAGTACTTTTACAGTACATAAAAATTTTAAAATTAAAGAATCTTTGTGTATGAAGTTACAAAAACATTTTAACAAAATAAAGAAAGAAGAGAATATTACAGTAAAAGATATAGATGTTATTAATAAATATAAGGATCAGTTTTATATTCCATATAATAGAAAAGATACTAAAATACATAGTAGTGCCTTTGGAGTAATGAAAGATGACTACATTTTGGAAAAGAAAGAGAAATTTAAATATAAACGTGCGAAGATGCACGCAAAAAAGTAAATAAAAATTATTTAATAAAGCACTTTTTTTATACCAAAGTACACAATTTTCCTGTTACTTTCTTTATATTTTACACATGTAAATTTAATAATGTTATCTATTAATTTTTTTGTGTAATATACAAAATCTTAACAAATTAGTACTTTTGTAAATTAAGAAATTCATCTTTTAATCAAATAAAACATTTGAAAATATTTGATTTTTAAGGCCATGGAAAATTTAAAAAACAAATTATTAAGGGAGGCCAAAGCACTAAAGACTACAAAAAAAATTTTGTTTTTTATTCCTGTTTCATCTCCTGATTACGAATCATCGGCAGAAAAATTTAGAGAAGTGGCACAAATGTGCCACGACAAGCAAGAAAAAATAAATTATCTTCTTGAAGCAACAAAATCATACCTTATGAATCCTGTAGAGTACAACAGATACAATACATATTTGATTTATTTGGACATAGCAGAAATATATGGTGAAGGACATGAAGCTATTAACTTCTATATAAAAAGCGGTGATATGGCACTATCATGTGATAAAAAGAGTTTGGCGGCCAGGTCATACGAGAAGGCCAGTGATTTAAGTGATGATATTAATAAAAAGATTGAATTAATGTCTAAAATAGTGGAATGTTATGATTCTAAAAGTTGGGAAAATCACAGGATTCATGCTTTAAAGCAATTGGCATTTACGTTGTTCAAAAATGGGGAATACGAAAAGGCAGCACAAAATTTTTTGTTAATAAAAAGTAGTATTTATAATTTGTGTGCAGGAATATGTTATTATTTAGTGGGTGTGGATACAGATCTAGAGGTTTCTAATGAACATATAGAAGTTTATGAAGCATTATCAAAAGGACCAGAGGAATTAAGAAAGAGCATAGAACATTATTTAGATAATTATGCAGTAGAAAAAGAAGTAAGAAAAATAATGGAGACAGTTGTAGAAAAAATGAGACCTGAAAATGATATTTTATAAATTTTAAGGTAAATAAAAAATACTATATTTTAATATTCAATTTATTTTTATATTTAAATAATCAATTTATTTTTATATCAAAACTTCAATTTATATTTTTATATTAAAACTTCAATTTATATTTTTATATTAAAATTTCAATTTATATTTTATATTTTAATAATCAAATTATTTTTATTGTTCAATACACATTTTATTTTTATATTTTAATACCCAATATATTTTTATATTAAAGTCTTAATCTATTTTTTAATTAAACAAAAACTGTCATAACTTTATAAATATTCATTAATTGTATTTTAAACCACGCAATAATCATGTTTAATAAATAATACTAACGTTAACAATAAAATAATTCTTATTATTAGAAAATATGTGATAAATTATTTTTTATATTAAAATACACAATCAAGTTTATATTAAAAAAACAAATCAATTTAATTATTTAAACCATATAACCTTTAAACATATTTGTATACAAATTATAAGGATGTCCAATAATTAACACTTCACAACTATATTCTGATATTCTCTTACAAATTATATCATTACCTTCATAATCAATATAAGGACATTCTCTTAAATCAATAAGTATTTTAGGACCATCCACTTGTAATATCTTTCTTAATTTATCATAAGTTAAGAAAAAGGCGATAAAATCTATTTTAACAATCTTATAAGTCTTTTGTACATCATTATAATAAATTCCCGAATCTTTTTTCTTGTTATAAACCCACATCTTGTAACCGATACATATAATTAAACAATGTACTAAACTTCCCATTATAATTCCAAAAATAGGATTAAAATATCCTACTACTAGAGATAATACAATAATAAATAGATCTATGTAAGATGTCTCCGGTATTAATTCTAAGAAATTAGATAAAACAAATGATCCTCCGATATATACTGGTATTAATGCTAAAAGTATATTTGGGAGAAACTTTCTAGACAAAGGACCAATATAAAAAAGACCGGTTAATGATAGACCACCCAAAATAGCATGTATTCTCGATGTACCGCCTGCTTTATTGAAATATATAGAAGTACAGTTAATAAAATAAGTAGGATAGCCAAAGAAGGCTGTTAAAAAGTTAGAAATTCCTTGAGTCTTAAATTCTTCATTTAGATCGGCCGGAATATTCATAATACTAGAAAATCCTGGTACATTTACCGTAATATGTATCATATTTGTTAGGGCAAGAGTTAATATCTGAGGAATAAGCTTAATTAAAAGTTTAAAATTAAACTTTCCAAACTTTAAAAACTCAAATATATTGAAACTGACAGTATTAGTACTTAACTTTGGTACAAGGTTAATACTTCTAAGCTTTTGTAAATCATATCCCAGAATAAAAAATATACCATGAAATATAACTGCTATAGAAAGAGAATATAACGGAATAAAGAATACATATCCTGGAAACCGTCTTTCTAAATAATATGCTAACAATACTAAAAATATAGTAACTAAAGCACTAAAATGAATAATAAGGGACGTCTTACCTACGTATATCTGTTTAAACCCGTCTACTATAAGCCCGACTCCTATTGAAGCCATTACCCCATATAGAGGGGCTTTAGGTATAAAATTAAAAAATTTACCCAATCCATACATTCCCATAAGATAAGATAACAGGCCAAACAATAAAGTACCGACAAAAACAGCGACATATGCATTAGTTAAAGATTCCTCTGCTGAATTACTATTCGCGTCACATATTTTATGAATATTATTAGTTATCGATACAGACTCGAATATAGCGCCACCGCATATTCCTGCGCGTAATCGCGAAAATCCACCAAACACGCATTGTGCAATAATTGTAGTTGAAGTAAATACCATCATATTAAAGTTCTCTAAATTTACACTATGTGATTCTGTTAAATAAAGATTAGATCCAATAGACAAGAAATCTAAGAGTGTTAGTGTATAAAGTAAGAATACAGACGAAAATATTGTAATTATGAAATTTTTCTTTTTTGTTATTGAAATCATTAAATAATAAGGGCTAATATTTAAGTATTAAAGGAGAAAATTTTGCATCAATTTTTTTAAAAATTACTGATTAACATTAAAATAAAGGAGTAAAAAAAATAAATGTATAACATTACTAACGTAAATATTATTTTATTATCTAGTTTTAAAATGTATAAACTGGAAGTTAAAAATAAATATGTAAAAGTGTACGAAAATTACTATAAAATTATAATATATCGACAAGCCAAATTTATCAATTAAATGGTTTTATTAATTAAAACTCTCACCAAACGTATATAAAATTTTGAAAACAAAGAGTTATAAATAAAAATACTTTTTTATATTTAATTAATCTTTATTGAAGTTAAATTAAAAAAATCCAACAAAAAATAAATAAAATTTTATATTAAATGTTTTATAAATATTTTTTAATTTAATGTTTTTGCTTAAAAAAATCTTAAAGTCTCACAGCCACAAATTATACATTATAAGTCAATAACATCAATAACATCATCATTTTCTAGTACTTCTTTTATTTTTTTATTTAAATCAATAATAATACCATTCATAACAATAATACCATTTTTACCACATCGCTCTAAAATATCGCTTACTTTTTTATTTTTACTTATAAGAATATTTTTACATGCATAAAAGTCTACATTAACTTTTAAGTTAATATCAGAACAGGTTGTATCAATTAATTCAAAATAAGGATTATTTTCTACAAATCCTATTTCTTCTAATGTCAAATATTTTGATACTGGTATACCATTATATTTTATTTTAACGAGATCAGCTTCCTCTAGAATATCAGCAAATGTATCATCTTTGCCTACGTAAAAAACACGCTCTTCATCATCACTCCTTAAAATTATTTTAGTTTTTTCACTAAAATTAGCAGTTTCCGGCATTAATATTGTATTTTTAGCTGATAGTTTTTCAGTAGTAGATTCTCTATTTTGAAAAAAGTTTTTTACTTCTTCAAAATTATCGCATGTGTTTAATGCAGCAGATTGTATTTTGTCCTCGGCTATAAATTCAGATTTATCGTATTCACTATTATTAAGATTTAAACTCCCGTAAGAATCATCTACTTTTTTATTAACATCTTTGGAATCTGTTTCTAGTTCATTTTTTAAACAAATTGTATTTAAATCGTTATATTTAAATTTTTTAGATTCGTTTATTTCTTGACTGACACTTAATAAATTATTTTCATGGCCATTCAATACAACAGATTCAACTTTACAATGTGTAATAGAAGCATTTTGATTATCAAATGTTTCATCTGCACTTCTGTGTACAGTTAAAAGTTCCTGTTTACAATATACATGTTTAGAATTAATATAAGTTTTCTCAGAAATAGATTCAGGCATGTCATGTAATGAAAAATCATCTAAACGATGTAAATTAAGATCTTTAGTACCAAAAGCAGTCTGATTTCGATTTACTGATAAATTATTACTAATATTTTCTTCATCCATAGATATTCTATTTAATTCGTTTATAGATGTTTTATTTAATTCATCTATCGACGTTTTATTTAATTCATCTATCTTATTGTCATTTAATTTTTGTTCCTTTTTATTACTTAAAAAAGAGATTTTGTGTTCTTCATCTGATGATACAATTTCAATAAGACCAGTAGGTTTATTTTTTACAGCTGCAGATCTTTTCTTTTTTTTAATTGTAGTTTTAAGAATCTCTATATCATCACTATCTTCTTTATTCTTAGATACCATAAAAAGGGGTAAAGAATAAGTAAATTACTGACTCATCTATGCAATTTTGTATCCACCAATAATTTAAATTATTAATTTTATAATGTAAAATATTACTTTATACTAGTTATTGTTTAAGAATTTATCCATGATATATACAAATTTACACTTCTAAAGATATCACTGATTTCTTGTATAATTAAACATTTTTTTGGACAACAAGATAAATTTTATGGTATTTTCACTTACAAATAATTTATGCGTAGAGTTTTTATTTTATCAATTTTAAAATGTTTTATTTTTAAATTTAAAAGTACTAATATCATTGTAAAGTTTATTATTCTATGCACAGAATAAATCTTTTATATTTAGTACAGTTGTAATTAGATTTTGTATTACAAACATTAAAACTAACTTTTTGAAAAAATTTTATAAATCCTCGAAAAAAAGATTAAATTTTTTTTGTGATTTTTTACAATTATTTAAGTTAAAAAATGATAGAGGTTTAAGAATAAAAACGAGCAAAAGATAACCAGCTATTATAAACGGTCTTTTTATGTATAAATTTAGGAAAAATGTTTTGGCGTTGTGTTGTGTCTTTTTGTAAGCCAAAGCAACTACTGAAGTTTTTATTGATCAAGTTAAATTTTTTGCTTGAATTTGATGGCGACACAATTATGATAAAGACTCCAGAGAAAAAAATATGCTTTTTAATAAAGTAACATTTAGCAAAAAACATTGAATTACTCTTTATTGTACTGAAATTTTTTTCGAGTGCAAACGACAAGATTTTTGGTTTTAAATAATTCTCATAGCGTAATGCGATTCATTAAGACGCTTTAAAAACAAATTTATAAATTTACAACCGCATTGTATTCTATATACAGGCGCAATATTTGCTAAAACTTAAAGGAATTTTCTTTTTTATCGCTTTGATTCCGATATTAATACCAGTATAGATACAAATCAAAAACTTTTTTTGTTCCTATTAAAATTCAAAATTAATCTGCTTAAAGAGACACCTTCAATTTTCATTAATAGTACATTTACTGTTGTACCATCTTCTTATTATAAACTATTTACTATTTCTATTTTATAAAATAATAATGTCATTCCTGTCGTATATGCCTTACTATCAGATAAGTCTTTAGATTAATAAAGAAATGTATCGTGTTCTATTTATTTTAATTAGTAGACATTCTTCACAGTTTATCAAGACCGACTTCGAAAAAGGATCTATTTTGGCTTTGATGCCAAGTTTCCTCGAAATTTCAATATCTGGCTGTCAATTTCATTTATGACATAACATTATTAAAAATCTAAAAGAATTTAACTTCTACATTAGATATTTTTAACACCTATTGTGTACAAATTTGTAAGTCTTTAATTGCTCTGTTTTATATGGATAGAGATCTTGTAAAAGACGTATTTAATAAACTTAAAAACCATTTATATTTTCCGTACTACCTTTCAAATTTTTTGATGAATATTTTTACAAGACTTATATTGGTTTTAATTTGCATGAAGCGATTTATCCTATACACATGTAAAATCATATCAATGAATACCAAACGAACAATGCATTTGCAAGTACTTTTGAACTCTTAACTACAATTTAATTTTGTTGATGTATAAGCTTCGTTGAGAAGAAAAAGTAATACACCATTATTTCCAATGATTGAATGCGGCATTTTTTTCTCCGTGGCACAGCGTTATGTTCGACCAGAGAAAACCATAAATAATTTACTTATTGAAGTTGAGTGCCAAAACTATGGTGTTATGTTTTTATTTAGACTAATAAATTTTCTTTATTATTTATGTTTTTTTAATTTAAGATTATAAAAGTGATCTCAAATGTCTGGCCACCGCATCTTGGTAGTTTTAGCTGAAGTAGAACCATATGTACAAAAAGCGGTGTAGTCAAAATTTATTTTTGACATTAAAATATTATTTCAAGAAATAAAGATAAATGAATGAAGAAGAAATGAATGCTTTTTATACTCGTCTGGTAGATGTAAAAATGAAACAGAATTGTATAATATATGGACAAAAGACAAGATACGATCATTTTCAACATTCGATGTTATAGGAAATGTTACTACGCAACTGTGGTGTATATTTAAAAAATGTAAACATGATTTTGCATGTGAATTAATATAATTTTTTTTATAGTTAAATACCATCATTAGACAATTAATAAATAATTGCTTGAGATATTAATTGGGCTTATTAAAACCTTTTGGGCATTGATTGTGGAAATTAAAGAATGTTACAAAACTTTAAGGAAATTTGATGTTTATGACAGATACATAAAGTCAATTTAATCAATATGAGGAAGGAGTATCACAATAGAAATTGATGAAACAGAAATAGATAAAAAAATAACCATAGGGGACATTTGATTAAATATTTTGAGTTTAGCTATGTACAACGGGCAGGGAAAGAATAATAGTAATTATTCGGGTTGTAAAAAGTTTTTTTAACGTTGGCTTTTCTTTTACTTATTTATTTAGATTTTAAATAAGTTATTTATTTCGACAGCTGTCAAGCCTACAATAATTTATGACTATTGTTCTAATCTCATTTTACAACTAATTATTTTCTTCACTTTAAAGATCCAAATACAATAACTCCTACCAATAATATAAAGTAATTGGAGATCATTAAGGAATCAATCTCACAAATATGCAGAACAAAAAAGCTATGTTATTTATATTTATTTATGCATATGTGCATTAGAAATGTTGGTGTAAACGTTACAAAAAAAATTAAAATATTGTTTTATACTATCTTTATAATATTCTTTATTTTTTATTTATTTAATTTTAATTGTTTTCGTTTTAAAATTTTGAAATTAAAAGGGCAAAAAATAAAATTTTTGACTAAGCCACTTTTTGCACATCATGTTTTACTTCATTTAAATTTTAATATTTCATTTTTGTTTCTTTATTTTTTTCTAATATGATTTAGTATTTATTAAAATTAATTGCAAGTTAAATTTTTATTAAAATTATTAAAAATATATTAACATGTCAAATAACTTAATGTTAATATATTGGAGTAAATTGATGGAATAAATATATTTTTATACTTTTAAATAAAATCATATTTTCTAGTAACGCCATTTTGATAACAACAAAAATAGATTGCATATTTAATTTTCATTAAAATAAATTGTAATTTAAATGTTATCAAAATGCATTGGAAATTGTCATTTTTATTCATAATCTAAATTTTTATTTTAAAAATAATACTGTCAAAAACACAGGTTTTGAATATATTAAATTGTTAATTTATATCTTAATTAATAAGATATATAAAAGAAATTTACTTTTTACCCATAGATGTTTTCTTTTTTACTTGGCTTTTTTGAGCACATTGGCTTTTCTGAACTCAGTTCGAGTGCAATATCGACTAAGATATCTCTAGAAGATAATATACTTGGACAGTTTAATATTGATGCTATACATGAAAGATGTTCGGTGGTACTTAAAGAATATTTGAAAAGCAAAGAAAATTTTGTGTTAATGGCTAAAACTTACTTTTTATTGCACAAAATTCCGAGAAAAGTATTGGAAAAGTTCTATATTGATGTTGTAACTGATTATTATAAGCGAGTAAGGAAATTTCCTTTCCCTGACAGCGAATTTAGAGAAGTTGCACGTGAAGCTTTCGATAAGAAAAAAAGTATGTTAAAGTTTCTTTTTTCCACGGATCATTTCGCCAAAGATACATATAATGATGCTGCTGCAACAGTCATAGGTGGTATAAAATTAGATAAAGAATTAGACGAAAAGCTTATTAAAGTTGTTCAAAGATTTATCGGAGATTTAGATGCAAGTTTGAGTAATTTTTTAGAAGAGGATTTAAAAATTAAATTAACTGAGAGGAAACTAGAATATAATTCATTGAAGCTTTCATATATTGAAAAGGCACTGGCTGAGATATAAATCATCAATTAAATATTTAAAATTAAAATTTTTCTGCTTAATTAATTTACTTAATTTAAAAGACTTAATGCGCCTATCTTTGTTGCAGGTTTGTTTATTTATCCGTCGCTTAAAAATCTAATATTTAACTTTTAAAACCTTTTTTTCTACATAGAATTTTTCTAATACAAAAAATAATGTTTTGTAATATTTAATTGCATATAAATTTTACTTTATTAAAGCTATTAAATTTAAATTAGAAAAATTGCAGGATGCTTAAAAATTTAGTGCGATAGCAAATGAAGTTTTAAAAAAAATTTAACAGGAATCTTAACGGATAATTTAATTAAGAAAGTAAGAATATCTTCAACAGACGTTTTTAGAAATAAAACTTCTTATTATGAGTATAACAATCAATGATCTACTATTAGATTAATCGAAATTCTTGAAACCTTTTATGATGCAATATATTGACACAGTGAATGATATCTTTAAGTAAAAGCGTTATTTTAATAAAATAAGACTAGCGAAATTTAAAAGAGTCTTTAAATGCATACGAATTTCAAAAATCTTAAAGACTTCGTGGATAAAGAATTATTGAAACACATATACATTTTTTTAGGGGAATATATTGCAAAATATCCTTAAGAACATGCACGACGTACACAAACGTTTTAAAACAGCACAACCCAACTCACCTAATAAAAAAACTAAATGTATGAGAAATTTTATAATAAAATATAAAACAAAACGCGAACTCAGAAATATTTAATAAGGATTTATCCAATAATAAATTACACAAATATTATTTGCTAGACAAGGGATGTAATGAATAAAAAAAAATTTTAATAAGTATAGGAGATTTCGAAAATGTAGAAGTAGAATTAATGAAAAGATTTTAATTTGTCAAAAAAATTAATCTTATAAAAAGCTATTTCAGTTCAAAAAAATAAGTAGGAATATGAATTAATTAAAAAAAATCTTAAAGCGAAATAGTTGGAAAGGAAAATTAGAAGTCTTATATATTTAAATTGTAAATTTTGGAACGCGATGTGGACTTTTTTTAAAAAAAAACTACAACATTACACTCTATTTTTCAAAATTATACCCAAAGTATGCGCAAATGGTAAGAATATTTAATCATAAAAATATATAAAAAATTTTGAATCTTGACATATATTTATTTTTTTAAAATTGTAAAATTTTCTAATTTTTTCAAATGATAATATTTTGTTGTGTCTGAAAGAATTGTTACTAGAAAACATGAGTTAATTTATTCTAAAAACAATATAGGACCAAAACACCAACCTTATAAACAAATCTTACCTTCTAATGGATCGTCTAAGATCTTTCCAATACTGTTAATAATTTTACGCATAGCACAATATTTTTTTATTTTCCTTTAGTTTTATTCAATTATTCAAATTTTGAAATAGTGACTATTGCAAATTTTAATAGAAAATACAGAAGGTACTTTTTTAATAATTAATACAAGCCTAAATACGTAACATATATTATAAAATAAAAAGAATATGTGGTATTCTTAACCTTGTTTTAAACGGAATAGCGTTAGCTTATCTTTTATAAAAATATAAAAAGTATGTGTTTATATCCTGACAAATAATAATCTATTATTTTTATAAAAAATAGATAGAACTTAAATATATCACGTAACATTAATATGACTTTCTTTTTCTATGAAAATATTATTTTTTCGTATAAATATAATTTTTTTTATAACCCCTGAAGAGTGATGATTCTTGCCGCCCCAGACTGATATCTGATGAGTATGCTATAAATCTGACTTCCTTACTTTATAATTTTTTGTTGCGCTTTATTTTATTAGATGATCATTTTATCTTCTAAGCTACTTAAGCTAATATTTATAATCTATTTTTTACAGTAAGATAAATGTAATATTAATAAATAACGTTAGCTAATTATAGAAAAAATTGTTTTCTTTTCTTTGTTAATTAAACTACAGCTTATTCTATTTATTGTAAATTATCTAAAAATACTGTCCAACACGTTAATAATATTAATTATGCACATGCTAAAATTTTTATCCTAAATATGACAATTTAAATAATAAACAATTATAAAAATTTATTTAATAATTAATTATATACGCACTTTAAGATCAATTCTACACTTTTCTTCTACATTCCTTATTTCTTCAATTAAATTTTCATAAATTTCCGTGTATTTCTTATCAACATCACCAAGTAACATATAATAATCCCTCTGTTTTAGTAAATAGTTCATATACTGATTAATATCTTCCATATACTTTATACATTTTCTAAATTCTACACGTAACATAAAAATTTTTATATTAAAATACAATTTATAGAAAAATGCATAGATAAAATTATAATTTTTATACTTTTTAACAATATAACTACCATTTACATTCACTTGCGGTATAGTCATATACAATCTACTATCAAGTATCTGATATTCTTCAATAATCTTTTTACATACTTCTTTAACAAATGCGCATTCTTTCTCTATATAACTAAATAAATTAAATAAATCTGTTTTACTTCTACATAAACTATTAAAAACGTATGTATACTTTGTAGAAAGATTAGATACATGGTAAAATGTATATCTACGTATAAAAACATTTGTATCAGATGAAAAGTTCATCAGTTGTTTACATTTTATACTTAAATTAAATATTAATAATCTATCAAAAAATTCTATAAAAAATAAATACATCAGCAGTGAAAAACTTAACATTATTAAATTACTAAATATTCTACCAGTATTCACCAATTCACACCTTATAAATATTAATATAAAATTAACTAAAAATCCAAGACAAAAAACATAGCTAAATAAAAAAGCACAGAAAATGCTTAAGTTGATGAACCATAGATTAAGAATTCTGTTAAGCATTTTTTTAGAGCAAAGCGCAAAGTATTTAAAAATACCTTCAATTTTTGTAAATTCAAATACTGATTTTTTAGTATCAAAAGCTAAAATAGTTCCATTAATCAAACACATAGAAAAATTTATACAAAAAATAATATTAATTAGTATTTTCTTAAAAATAAAAAATGAATTACTTTTGCTATCAGCAAATATAAATGTTCTAGTGGGGAAGTGGGTAGTGAAAAATAGTGTAGATAATGTATAACCACCACATAGCACTAAAAAAGGGATATTTCTGGATCTCGATAAATATTTCAAATAAACAGGCAGCGTAATCGATAAAATGTAAAATAATGTAGATGGTTTAAAAAAGACATTTGAAAAGGAGAATGGACGATACAAAATCTTTACATGAGAATTTACCAGATTGCAGAATATACATGTAAATATTAATTGCTGAATGATAGTAAAAGTAAAACCAATCCTTTCTTTCTTAAATATACTATTCATAAGGGCATATAAAAAATTAAAATTCTAAAAAATGGCAGTCCTTGTAGCATTCAAAAAATGTTATATCAGAGATATAAATTAACTACACACAATCAAAAAATATAGCATATACAAAATAGCACAACAAATTTTTAATCTTTTAAAGAGTTAAATGACACTTAATTTTTATTTGTAAATTATTTTACATGCTATTGGCTATGTTCTTTTATAAAAATTTGCAGAACTGATAAAAAAAAGTAGTTAATACAACTAGAATTAAAATGATGACTTACATTGATGAGTAAAAAAGCTATAAGCTGAAAGTATAATATTTTTGCAAAAAATTTTAATCAAGTTTAATGCTTTTTTTAAAAATAATCTTTTTTTGTAAAAGGCGATTGTTTTTGTTGATATAAACACGTTTATAGAAAATATGCCTTACTAAGATTATATAAAAAAATTATATTAGCTTTGTATTTATTAATTATAAGTAAGTAATTTTATTTAGATCTCTAAATTTTTAAAATGTTATAAAAAAATATTGATTTTTTTGTTTACTAATACGCTTAGGTTAAATTTCCTTGTTGGAAGTTGCTAGCAAGTCAGTAAGAAATTGCATCTTTATTTCCTTAAATAGTTATACTTAAAACTATGTTTTAGATTACATAACTTTATTGGTGTTTAAACGTATAACCTGTCAAAACATGTGATTTGCTTATGATTGGTCATAATGACCACAACATTTTTAATTTAATACTATTTAATAAGTAAAAACTGATGCTTCTTTTAAATTCTGGCTCGTATTTGTTTTTACCGTTTAAAATTTTTTAAGGCGGCTAAAATTGTAATGCTCGTTTTTCGATTTTATTGCCATTTTAATACCCAACGCCGTATACAAAACACAATATTAATACATTTAATTGCAAATTAAAAAACGTGCGTCACGAAGATTTAAATAAGAAATGCTTATCAATCTTTATACAAAGCCCAGTCTTAAAATAAAAAATATTTGTATTCTAAAAAGTATAAATTTCAATATAAGTTTATTTATAACTTTTTTATTAATGTTTCTAATTTACTATCTTCCAAAACATATCCAAGATCTTTCAAATTATCTCTAACTTCATCACAAATATTATACAAGTCCTTCTTATTCACACCTTCTTTTAGTGCCATCCTAATTTTATTCCTAAAAATATTAATTAATTTTGCCAAATTCTCACTATCTTCATCTCTTACTTTTTCTTCTTTATTAATCCCAAGTATATCAAGTATTCTTTTAACAAAATCTCTTACTTGATACAAAGTACAAGCACTTACTAAGTCTAATTTACTGTTAGTAAATGACACAAGTTCTAGAAGTGCTTTAATAACTGAAGGGGTATCAAAATTATTACTAAACGACACATCGACAATTTTACTAGTTTTAGATATTAAATCTAATACTTCTATATCATTTTTATTATAAATTTTACTAATATTGTTAATACTGTTTACATACATAAAAAAATTAAATATTTTCTTCTCAACGTTTTGTGCAAATTTTATTTGTTCTTCTTCATAATTCATATCTTTATTCCACTGATGATATAAAAATAATATACGTAATTGAATAGGTGTGCATCTTTCTAATATACTTTTTATAGTAGTAAAATTTTTAAGAGATTTTGACATTTTCAGGCCGTTAATATTTAAATGTCCTGTGTGCATAAAATAATTAACCCATGGTTTTTTCTGGTAGCGTGCTTGACATTGTGCAATTTCGTTTTCATGATGCGGAAATTTAAGATCAACCCCTCCTGCATGAATGTCAATATAATCTCCCAATACATCATTAGCCATAACCGAACATTCAATATGCCATCCTGGTCGACCACTTCCAAATAAATTATCTTTTTTCCACAGTGCAAAATCTAAAGGAGATTTTTTGTCCTGAATGTTAGGAGAATCACCAAGATTATTTACAGTTTCTTCTCTAAATATTGGATATTTAAATTTCTTTTTGTATTCCATCACATCAAAATATACACTACCATTACTTTCATAAGCATATCCGTTATTTTCTAAAATCTTTACATATTCCTTTATTTTATCAACATATTCTGTTACTTTTGTAAGTACAGTGGGCTTTCTTACATTTAGAAGTGCCATGTCTTCTAAAAATAAATTTGTATATTTTACAGTTATATCTTTCATAGACATGCCTGTTTCTTTACTTTTATTAATAATTTTATCATCAATATCAGTAATATTCATTACAAAGGTAACATTATAATTAAAATATTTTTCAAGTATATTTCTTATAACATCAAATGATACATACGTACGAGCATGTCCGATATGACTGTGATCATATACAGTGGGACCACAGATGTATATTTTTACATTATTAGGATCTATAGGATTGAAAATTTCTAATTTTTTTGTCAATGAATTGTAAATTTTTAGCATTTAAGGGTAAAATATTATGCATAAATTTAAAAATTTTTATTTTATGGTAGTAAATATTTAAGATACACAATTTAAAAAGTTTTTTGTGCAACCGCATTCAAATTGTTATTATTAATTGCTTTAGTAAATGTTGTTATCAAAAGAGATGTTATTAGAAAATGTAAATATATATTATCAGTATCAAATATTCTTTAATATATCAACATAGAGATATTTGACATGTTGGTGTAATTCCAACAGTAAATTATTTATAAATGTATTATAAATTTATACAATGCAAAGTGAAAGTATTTTAAACGTTTAATTCCCTAAAATTAGCTCAGAAATATTATTCATTTTACCATTTTAAATAATAAGATTTAATAAATAACCAATACAAATATGAAAAAAATCTAATATATTATTCTTATCACACCAATCTTCTATAAACTTAATAATATAATCAATACAAATATGAAAAAACTTCTAACATATTATTCTTATCACACCAATCTTCTATAAATTTTATAAATTCGTATTTACTGCATTTATCAACCCGTTTTAATGGAAATTTATTAGACCATGCAACATAGAAATCAATAATATTATCTACGTCTTTTTCTATATTTTCCCACGTCATACAATCATCTTTATTATTAATTTTAATATGTTCTGATAAAAATGATACACCTTCTTTAGAGCTTAAGAATTTTTTTGTAATATTTTTTTCATTGTATCTTTTATTTTCCATATTTGAAGGGTAAACCCTTGAATATGAAATTATTTGATAAACAGAAATATGATAGACAGATAAGGTTATTTGGTAAAAATGTACAGCATAAACTTACTGCACTATCAGTTTCAATATTGTCTAGTAATGAAAATAATTTTGTATCAGGAGAAATATTAAAAAATCTTGTTTTGCTTGGTGTTGGTAATATTTATGCAGATGCAAATACAATAATTTCTTTTGGTAAGTTAGTACCGAATAAAATAAAAGATATAAATCCTAAAGTTAATATTTTAGATAAAGCAGAAGGAATTTATTTTATAATTGATGATATTTTAGTACCTAAAGCAGAGAAGGTATTTTACATATCTAGTAAAAGATTGGGGTACAGCACATTTAGTTCTAATTTTTTAAATGACACAAGTAAAATAATAAATGAAAATAATTCTAGTAGTGATGTAGTAAAAGAATGTCTTTTAGGCGGAATAATAGTGCAAGAATTCATTAAAATGATACAGAACCAAACATATCAAACTAGTTATATGCTATAATTTATTCTTTTGCTATTTCTAATACAAGCCTTCTTCCGTATAAATGTGTACTCTTTCCAAAATATTCTATAACACTATCCAATACACTCTTTGATTCAAAGGTAACAAATGCAAATCCTCGATGTGTACCATCTCTTTTTATAGGAAGTCTAATTCCTTGTATTTTATACTTTTTCTTAAATAAATCGGCAATATCCTTTTTAGTCGCTTGAAATGGTACATTTTTTATTAGTAATTTAACCTTTTGTGTTTCAGACCGTTTTTCTTCTTTTATATCATCGTGTTTTTTAATTTCTTCACATTGTGGCGCAAATTCGCAATAAATGACATTGTTATTATATCTCCTTAAATTGATATTTTTATAACATTTCAGAGCCTCTTCTTCATTTTTAAATTTTAGTAAAACTAAATTTTTACTTGGCGATGCTTCCATTTTACATTTACACTTTACAAAGTCAAGCACCTTATTTACTTCTATATTTCTAACAATTAAAACTTTTTTGTTCTTTTTAGAGATAATTTTATCTAAAAAAATATTATTTCTTTCTAAAAATTTGTTAGTCTCATTAACTAAATTTGTCTCTAATAAAGCTATTTTTGTAGGAAGATCTTTATCTTCTAAATCTACTACTTCATTCTTTTTTATTCCCAAATCACATGTTTGCTTTATGATGGATTCAAAATTAAAAAATAAAGAATTATAATGCTGAAAGCTAGTATTCATATTTTCTTTATAAGGTGATATTTTAACAATCTTACCATTTACTGTTGATACCTCTTTAAAAACTTTTAAAGTATCTTCTACATTTTTATATTGTAAAATAAGATGACCATCATCTACCTGTGTTTTGCAAATATTACCAAATGATTCTAGAAAAGGTATGTCATCTAAACATGCTCCTTTTATAAATATTTTATTATTGTATCTAATTATTCTTTCTTCTGATTCACTAATTTCTTTCTTTTTACAAATGGCTTCTTCAACATTTATTTTGTGATTAAAAAGATAAGTGTTATTCATCTTTTTTATGACACGATCACGTATTTCATTAGAAGGATATCCAATGTAACAAACCCTTCTAAAATTTCCTTTACTGTCTTTTAACATAACTAGATCGACTATTTTACCAAATGTACTAAATTCTTTTTCTATTTGTTCTTTGGTAATAAATTTTGGAAGATTTTTAACGATTATGCGCATAAAGGGATAAATAAATTTTTAGTGTAAAAATACATAATTTATTGCTTTAAATATACAAAATCCATATCAAAGAAGCATATGAATAGATTTATTATATAATAAATCTAGGTAGAAAAACAACTTTCAGCATCATAGTATTCTCCAGAAGTAGCAGAATTTGAATCTATCATATTTTTATTATTATTATCATCAGACGCCTTAGCTGTCACATCATTTTCAGTATCATTTTTACTAAAAAAACTAAAAAATGATAATTTTTTTATACTAAAACTTATAAAATTGGTACATTTTGTATAAACCTCACACATTACTCCATAAAAAGACCATTTCTCATCCTCATTTTTTTCATTATCTATTTTGTTATTTACAATCTGTTTACTTCTCCAAATATTACATATTTTATTTTTTACAAAATTTGATGCGTTTTTTACGCTATCTTTTATTTTAGCAAAACTACTAGGTTTTTCTGGTAAAACATTTACACGTCTAACAATAATTCCTTCTTTTTGAAATGATTGTAAAACATTATACACATCTAAAATTTTAACTTTTACTTTTTCATCAACATTTTTAAAATTTAATAATTCTTCTCTTAGACCATCTTCATTTACTTCTCTGTACCACGTAAAAAACGAATTTATAGAATTAGCAGTAGAACTAAGTATACTTTTACTTTTAATAAATCCATCCTTAATTTTATTTGCAGTCCAATAAACCGACCTGTGCGCACAATAACCTATATTTTTAGCAATACTTTTACCTGCTTCAATAACATTACCACACATCTTTATCCCCCTAAAAAAACGTTTTATACCATTAGAATAACTAAGTATAGTGTGAGCAACCTTTATAAAATTTCTAATATTAGATACAAATGATGAACATCCATTAGATATATTATTAATAATCGAATCAAAGTTTTTTTCAAATAATAATTCTCGTTCCTTTATATCAATTTCTTCTGCTCCTGTTATTTCTGGTAGCCATATTTTTCTTTCTCTTCCTCTGTGATAGTCAATAAAAGATCGAAAATCAGATGTATTTAATAAGACCTCCGTGCATTTATGAGAAATTCTAGGTGGTTTTGAAAAAGATTTTTGCGGCATCGGCTTCCAAATTGTATACGTAGGAAAAAAAGATTTTGTATCTACCCATTCATGCTTTAATTTCTTATTATTTCTATTAGTCCAATAGAAATGGAGTAATACAGTGATAATAGGGGTTAAAAAAACCAGCTTCCTCTTAAGATATTTTTTAGTTAAGAAAAGATCTTTCATGCAAAATTAGGGGTCTTTAATTAAATTGTTTATTTGTTTATAAATTATAGATTATGCATAATTAAATTAATTTAAATATATAAAAAAGCTGTAATTTATTAGATTTACTATAAAAGTATTAATTTTTAAAATAAATTTATTCTACTACTTGTAAAATAAATAATCATAATGATTTTCTTAAATAAAAGAATAATATATTAAAAAATAAAATCACAAATAAACATTTCATATATTAATTTATTATAAATTTTAAACACATGAAAAATATCATAGTGTAAAATAAGCGTGAAAATGCTTTATAAGTGGTCTAATAAAATCAAAATAAAATAATTGAAAACTTAGATAATTAAGTATAAGATAAGCTATAATAATTATTTTGTATCTATGTATATTACCAAGATACCAACTATGCAAAGTAAAGATATGCATATAAAAATAAAAAAAGTCAATATTAACAAATATATTTTTCTTTATTTTATTCATAAAAATAAATTTATAGCAGTCAAAATCTAAACAATTTTATAAATTTGTTCTAATTTTATTCTATCTCATTTATAAATATAATCATATCTCCCCTAATATACATTTCCTTATCATTTAAAGATGTATAGCATTGGTAACCTTCTAATCTTTTTTTTATTCCTCTATTCCTACTTTTCATTTTTTTGTAAATTGTAGCATCATGTACAATTAAATTAAAATGCTTATCATATTTCATTATTCTACCGACTATCTTATGGTTGTTTCTTAGGGATATAAGAACCGGTGTGTTAGATTTTACAAGTTTATTAAAAAATAACATTGTGGGCTAAAAAATCAAACTACAAAAAAAACTGCATATTTAAAACTGAATTTAAAAGACACAATAATATACAACCCTTTTAAAATACAACAAAATTAAGTAAATGCAAGATTTCATGCTTTAAATGCTGTTAAATCAAGCATTAATTTTACTAAAAAAATATTTAAAATTAGAAACATTTTAAATTTCATACATTAACTTTATACAGATGTACAAATACATGAAATAACAGCTATAAAGAAATTATATTTTTTTATTAAAATAAATTTTACTAGTTTTCTTTCCAATTTGTCTTACAAAGTACACATTCATAAAAAATAGTCATAGGCTCATCTGCACTTCTAGTCTGTAATTCCATAAACAATGCTTTATTTGAATCACATTTTATACACTTCTTTTCACAGGTACTAGCATATTTATATTCATCTTCTCCTAACACTTTATCTACAGCAATCACATTATTTCTTGCTGACTTATTAAATACCATATTAATCTTATATTGATATGGACAAGTGTTACAGATAAAAGCTGTTTGGATATTTAATTTATCTATTGCAAGAATATTTGTACATAGCGGACAAAAAAACATGTGGGTTAAAATATATTTAATATGATTAATTAATAACAATTTCATAATATGTCTAGTATCGACTTTCAACTCTCAGTAGCTCAGCGGTAGAGCGTTCGACTGTAGAAATTGTAGATATCGAATGGCCACAGGTTCGACTCCTGTCTGGGAGATTTTTTATAAAAAAGTGCTAAATAAAGATATTTTATAAATTTTTATTAAAGTTCTTTTAGAACATCTTCAGAACTTTTAAGAATTATTTGATTATTGTAGATTCTACCGTATACTTTCTTATCATAAACACAAAAGCTAAATCTTTCTTCATCTACTTTATGCACTTCATCCATCATCATAAAATTCTCAACCAGTTTGTATTTATTCAATTTGTTAAACTCTTTATTCCACTCTTCTTTAGAAACAATATTCTTAGAAATTTTAGACTTTATTGAAATATTGTAAACTTCATTACACAAATAAAGTTTAACAAAACTAACAGAACTTACATCACATAGCTCAACTTTACTTTCTTTAGATAGTAATATATTTGTAGTTTGCTTATCCACAATGCATTTAATATTAATATCTTGCTCTAATATATCAATATTAAGAAGTAATATATTATTGAGAATGTATACCACCCCTTTAATTGACTTATGGTCAATAAATACATTATTTTCTTTTTTGGTGTCACGATATAAAATGTAATTATGTAATATTTCATTGTTTTTTATACTTACTTTTTTTATATTGGTTTCTAGATCGGTAGTCAAAGAACTTACCTTTTTATTCTCAAAAATATCAGTGTTATTTTGAGAATACGGTTTACAATCAAGTAGATTGTTATAAAGATCTATTTTTATTTTTGGTTCTTCTGTTATAGATATTTTATCTGTAAATTGTGTAATGGAATTAATATCAGATTTAATTAATTCTAGTATTATTTTTAATTTATCTTTATGTTGTTTGGAATATTTTTGTAGTGAAGCTACTAACTCTGGTTGTTTTAGTATTCCTCTTTTATACAGATTAATGTAATAAGATAAAATTGTATTAAAATTTGCTGTTATTTTAGGTAAAATATCACTGTCAAAGTAAATAGAACATAAGTACACAAACATTCTTAAAATATTTTCTTTCATTTCAACGCGTCTGTTTAATATAGATATTAAATATTTTTGAATAACATACGCTAACCTCCTCTCTTTGCATGCAATGTATAGAGCCCTTATTGTGTCATCAATTTCATTTTCATAAAAAACATCTTCAAATAGCGTACAGTTATATTTTATACTTAAGTTTATTATCTCTAGAAATTTGTGTCTTCTTATCTCTTTGATACTTATTTCATCAATATTTTTGAATAAAATTTTTATTTTTTGTATTTTAATATAATCAGGATCGCTAAAAAAAATACTGTAAGTTCTGTTAGTATATTTAACTCGGTCAATAATATCTTCATGAAGAATTAATAAATGATACAAATATTCATAAGAAGTGCTCATATGAATTAACGATTGGTTATAAGCATCTTGTAAAAGTTCTGGATATTTTGATACAATAATTTTAAAAATGTAATAAAATAAAGTTATATTGTTTTTTTTCAGTAAAATTTTTATCACATCACTGTCGAGATCGCTTCCATTGTAAAAAATTTTCCTGACTATTGGTATTAAGTTTGGAGTGTTATAGATATTATAATCAATAATATTATCTGGCATTGTTAGATCAGTTAAACTTATTAATGTAAGGTAATCACTGTCTTCCCATTTTGTTGGTACTTTAATACTTAATTCTGTACCGTACTTTTTATCACAAGTGTATGCAATATGGCACAATTGTTTATAATTGCTGCATTTTTGTATGTATTTTATTAAATAAGGCATGTATGTATGTATTAACGTAGTATTTGATAGTTCAACTATATAGCCAATAATACAGTCAGACATGTCACCAAAATCCTTTAAAAATGTATTAACTAGTAAAAGCTTTCTTTCTTCATCAATATTATTACGGAAATAGTACTTAAAGTATTCATTTGTTAGTATTTTTAATTTTGTATTTGTAGTGTCAATAAGTTTAATGATAATATCGAAATCTCCCGAAAAGTCATATCCTTCCTGTACCTTACATAATACATATCTAAGTCCTTGTATGTTATCCTCTGTATCTGTAGATTTCAATAAAGTATATAACTCTTTGTCAGAATATTTCTCTGTTACAAAGTACCCGGTATTAAAAAATTTCATTTGTTTTTGTTTACAAAATATTTCTTAAATGTTTGTTTTGATTTAAAACATTAATATAAAAAAAAATAAATAAACTTAAAATGATTAAAAAAAAATTATTAGAACATCTAGCTAGAGCGGTGGGTTTAGTAAATCCATCTACAGGAAACATACTAAATATAACTATAAGACCCTCTAAAATATCAAGATTACATTTTTTATCGATAAAAAATTTACAATTAAAACTTAATTTACTGTACTACAATCTAAGCAAAGACTTAGATTCATACACTTTTGATGAACCAATGTACAAATTTTTGCACTCGATTTACACTGAAAAAAAAATGGTAAAAAAAGACAATATAGTAGCACTTTATATTAGATCTGATTATTTATTAGACGGTGACCAATATAAACAAGTAGAAATTAATACTATTTCACAGTGTTTTGTATCATTTGGTCCTTTACTCAACAAAATACATTCACTTTTGTATCCTAATGTTGAAATAAGTGATGCAGATAAAAAATTTATTGATTTTATAAAAAACGTAAAATCAATATATGAAAGTAAAAATAAAATACAAGATACAATAGTTGTTATGGTTGATAGATGTACTACTATAGAAACTGATAATTATATGGAAAAAGCGCAACTTATAAAAGTTTTTTTGTCACATGGCATATACCTACATTTTGTAACTATTGACGAGTTAAAAATACAACCGGTAGAAAATGATAAAAACAACTGTAGCGTGTTTTTAGATAACAAAAGGGTATCAATAATTTATTACAGGTGGTTTTATAATCTAGATCATTTTGATGAAGATACTAAAAAAATAAGAAAAAATCTTGAATTAGCAAATGTTATAAATTTACCAAGTGTAGAACTACAGATGATTAATAGTAAGCTTTTTCAAGTAGTTCTATCGAAGAAGATAAGTCTCTATACTGAAGATTATAAAGAAATTTCTAGGTTTTTTGGTGAATTTATAGCCAATAAGACAGAATTTGATAAATTTAGTAATAATAAAAGTTTTAAACGAGAAGAATGGCTTGAAAAAAGTGTAGATGAAGGTGGAAATTCTATAAATAGAAAAAAAGATGGAAGTATATATATGAAAAAATTTTTATCTCCAACAGTCAAAAATGCTTTTCTTAAAGATTGTATTGAGATTAATATGATTAATGAAGTTAGTATATTTGGGAGTTTAATCGTTCTTGATGGAAAAGTTCTTTTTAATGAAGAGTGTGGATACATTGTTAGGAGTAAAAATGAAGACAATCTTGAAGGAGGAATATGCTCTGGCAATGGCGGTTTAGATTCAATTCAATTTATTGATTAAATAAGTTTGAAAATTTAAAGTATTATTTTATAAATGTCACAGCAAAATTAGATTAAATAGTCATTTAATTTCTTTACTTTGTACAGTGTTGTTGTTAAAAGTTCTATTTTAAATATCTAAAGTTTGATACTAAAAAGTATTTTAATTTAACAGAAAATATAAATAAACTTGTTAATAATCGAAAATGTGCACTACGGTTGTACTAATACAATGACTTTAATTCTGTACATTTTAAAAAATTGTTCACGTCTTACCCCATGAAAATTGCTGTTTGTTGCGCAATGAATCAAAATAGAAGTATGGAAGCGCATAAAATTTTAAAAGATGCAGGTTATAAAATAGATTCTTATGGTACAAATCAACATATAAAAATACCAGGAGAATCTCTAGAAACACCAAATATTTACCAGTTCGGTACATCGTACAAAGAAATATACAAAGATTTAATATATAAAAACGCATCTTTTTACGAAAAAATTGGCATTTTAAAAATGCTTGAACGTAACATGGCGATTAAAGATTCGGCTGAATACTTTTTTAATAAAGATACATACCATGACCTTATTATAACATCGGAAGAAAAGTGTTTTGTAACAATTTACGAAAATATGGTTAAATGTAATGGATCTTATAAGTCCTTTATAGTAAATTTTGATATAAAAGATACTATTTTAGATGCAAGTGCTGGTGCTCTTGAAATTAAAGATTTTGTTGATTCTTGTATGACTATTACTGGGAATTATGAATTTAGAATAATGAAAGCATTGGAGCTTTACAATAGAAAATATTCTAAAAATAATATATTTACAGTCATTGAGTTTTAAAGACGTTCCTTAATTATTTTAATTAAGACTATTATGTTAATATTTTAAAATATTATTGTTTTATAATTTTATTGCACCAATAAACCTGTGTAAAAATGTTAATTAACCAATTAAAGTAAATTTATTTAGATTTTGCAATTAAAAAAATATGATTTGTATTTTTTAACGACTTTCGCCTATCAATAATTTTCAATAAAATTTACAATTTTATTGAAAATATATTTAGGTTAGTCATTTAAATAAATTGTAGGAAATTTTGTTTTTTTGCAATCACACGTCAAATAAATCGTTTTTTTTTTATAAATAGAAAATAATTATTTCTGCACGATTTATGTAAATTTTATTGACCCCATAAATGAGAAATCTAGATAAAATATGTAAAATTTGCCACGTAGAAGAATCTGAAAATGAGAAGCTATTATATCCATGCAAATGTACTGGTAGTATTAAATTTACTCATGCTTCATGTCTATTTATGTTTATTAAAAGTAGTGGTAAAGAATATTGTACAATTTGTAAGCATAAATATGAATTTGAAGAGATTTACAAAGAAGGTACGCCTGATAGACTACCAATCACAATATTATTTAAAGAAGCTTTACTCCTATTTACAAGCATATTTAACTATATTGTTAAATTAATTCGTATATTTATATTTTTGAGTATTGTCATTTTTACAAATGGATTTTTATTTTTGTATCTTTTCGAAATTAAGTATTTAGATTTCCTTTTAAACTTTTATATTTTATTTGGATCCGGAATATTTATTTCTTTAGCTTCATTCTCTTTAAGCCATCTTTTTAATATTTTTTCTAAAAGCGTCAGTGTTAGAAGATCCAGAAGAGTCCATAGAATAGATTCAATGAGTGTACTAAGCTCAATGGCTAGTGAAGCGCTTTCTCAGAGTGATTCACCTAGAAATTTATTAGTTAACATTGCAGAAGAAAGGGATTTATCTTTTATAGGCACACAAAGACATCTTCAGGCTGAGCAACACGAACAAGCTGAAGATAGTACTAGTAGTAATTTTTCCTACAATGATACCTATAAGATTTTGTTTAATAAGACTTTATTGCCTAAATGTTGTAACTTTGTATTTTTCTTGGTGATATTTAAAATTTTATATAAGTATGTGTCATTTGAACTTCCTGACTGTACTTTTACATTTTTTTTACGATCCATTAATTTATATGATTTTACTAAAATGGTAATTGCGCTTTACAGCTTTTTTCTACTAGTTATTTTAGGTGCAAAAAGGTGGATAATTTTGTTTAGATTTTTTAAGATTATTAACTTTTTATTTCTCAGCTTTCTTATGAGCTTGTATATTGACGGGATATGTGTACATTTTTTATATTCCCTTATTATCAATAATGGAATATTAGTAGATTTTTCTATGTATTCACACGGGTTTGTATACAGCTTTTTATTTCATTTTATTTTAGGATATTTTATTAATCGATTTTTAAAGAGATATATTTCTTTCTATGCAAAGAATTTTAGACCTGGTCTTTTTTGGAACTTAGCAGATCCCTCTAATGGAGTAGATTTTTATTATAAGTTATCTTCCATTCCTTTTTATGTTTTGGCTAAAGGGATTATGTACTTTATTGTATTTCATTTACTTGTCTGTTCTCAGTTTTTATTTATAATCAGATCAGAGATTAGTAGAAGTTTTAAGATTTCAAATTTACTAAGATTACTGTTATATTTAAAAATAGGAAATTTCTATATTGATTTATCTTTTAATTTTTTTAATATGATAGCATTATTAAATACATATGTTATTAGACATATTTCAAGATACATAGGGATGCAAAACTTTTTATTTAATGAAGATATCGGCGATATTAAGAATAGAAATGTATTTTTAAAATGGTGTCCTAATAAGCACAAATTTTATGACGTTAATTTGGTACATAAAAAGTACAATACTAAAGTTTCACTTGAAGATGTTGATAAATATTTTGGCAAAAATAATAACAAAGATTTTGGAATATTTTTTGTTCCAAAGTTTTTTAAGATTTATCAGTTCTCGATGCCTCTTTTAATGACTACTACTACATCATTTAGTGTAATGTTGTTGACTAAAATATTAAGGATTTTTACAGATGTAATAATATCTAAATATAAAAGAATGCATACAATAAGGGATATATTATTTGCATTATTATATGCCATCATATTGTATACAATATCACTGTGTGCTAGCAAAAGTAATATAAAGACTTTGCCTAAAAATATAATATTATTTATATATTTAAATTTCGTGTGGCCTTTGTGGATTACATTTATTGTGGTAGCCCAATATGGATCAACAGATATGAGTATTTTACCATTTTCTACATTTATGATTTTAGTAACTAGCTCTTCTTTTTTACGCACTTTATTTAAAATGACAATTTTTACGATACCACTACAAAATTATTCTATGATATACATTATTAGAAAGCTTTATGCTTTTACTACGTCAGTTACTATTTGTATATCTTTTATGAAATATTCTAGTATGATTATTAATACGACTATAAGTCTATTGCAACATATCTCTATTTTCTATATTTTATTATTTATTCTTTCTATTTTACTAATTAATGGACAGCTTAAAGAATTTTATCAGAGTAAATGCAAGGATATTAAACGTAGAAATTTTTTGGTTAGTCGAAAGATTAGAAATTTTGAGTCTAAATAACAATTTATTAATAAAAATATTTTTTTAAGAATTTTGTTAGTTCTTGACATTCTAATATATTTTTAGCATTTTTATTGTTTAATAAATGCAAAACTTATGTTAATGTTTTATTCATTGTTATTTTATAATTTCACAAAATTTAACAAATAGTGTTTTTAGAAAGTAGATAGCCCTTTTTATGAATGAAAATAATAAAGCAAATTGGCAAAAAATAATACAGAAAAAAATGTCAAGTTTTGATAGTAAAAATGTGGAAAGAGCAAATTCTGAAAATATATCACTAGATAATAAAAATGTAGATCAACATCCTATAAATAATTTATTTACACGATTAGAAAAAAGTGAAGAGGTTGTTGTTAATAAAGAAGTACACAAAACAGAAAATTTAACAGGAAGTAAATTAAAAATTTTTATTAACGAACAGGGGACTATTACATTAAAGCCTTCTAGTAAGCTTCTTGCTAGTATTCTTTTTGAATTAGAAGATACAGTTTATGATATTAAAAATAACGAATGGAAGATTACACACATCGACTATAACAAAATCAAAAAGAAACTAAAAAGTGCTAAATTCATATTTAAAGACATTCCTAAAGGATCTCTTAATATATTAAATCGACCAATAATTAATAAATCTTATGATCTTGAAGGAGAGATTTATGATAAAATGTTTGTATTTCAAAAGGAAGCTGTGATATATGCTTTAAATCGTGCAGGAAGAATAATTTTAGGTGATGATATGGGTCTTGGAAAAACGATCCAAGCACTTGGTATAGCTTACTATTACAGAATAGAATGGCCACTTCTTATTATAGCACCTGCCTCTTTATTAGACAACTGGGCCGCTTCTATTAAGCAATTTCTAAATTTAGATTCTAAAGTAGTTAGGGCGCGCACGGATTTCGGAGATAAAATTTCTATTATAAGTTATGACATGTGTAGTAAGTTTATAGACATAGTAAATACTTATAATTACGGTGTAATTATTGTAGATGAATGTCACTATATAAAATCTGCTACTAGCAAACGTACTAAAAATATTTTGCCAATTTTACAGAATGCAGGAAGACTTATTCTGATGTCTGGAACACCTGCTGTAAGTCGACCATTAGAATTGTACACAATATTTTGTGCGGTCGATAAAAATCTTTTTCCGAATTTTTCTGAATATGGAATTAGATACTGTAACGGAAGGAAAATTAAGCAGTGGTATGATTATAAAGGATGCACTCATGCGGAAGAATTGAATTTTATATTAAACAAGTATTTTATGATTAGACGTCTTAAAGATCAAGTACTTAATCAGTTACCGCCGAAATCTAGACGTCAAATTATTATTAATTGTGGACTTAATATTGATCGTAAAAATATTTCACTTGTTGGTGATAATGTTGAGCAGACTGCAATGGGAATGTACAGAGAAGCGGCAACACAGAAGCTAGAACCAGTAAAAATGTATATAGATACTATATTAGAGAAGAATATTAAATTTATTATATTTGCGCATCACTTAAGTATGATGGAAGGATTATCTTTTTATCTCGCAGATAAAAAAGTAAATTTTATCAAAATGGACGGGTCAGTAATTACAAGTCATCGTCAACGATTAGTGAATGAATTTCAGAATAATGGTAATGTAAGAGTTGCTTTACTGAGTGTTACTGCATGTAATACAGGGTTGACACTAACAGCAGCCAAACTTGTTGTGTTTGCTGAGTTATATTGGAATCCCGGTACACTTCTTCAAGCAGAAGATCGAATTCACCGCATTGGACAGAGTAGTAGCGTAGATATTCATTATTTAGTTTGCAAAGGAACTGTAGATGAATATGTATGGCCAATATTACTAAAGAAATTGAACGTTTTACAGAGCCTTGGGATGGGAAAAAATAATTTAAAGAATGCTGAATGTAAAAATATTGAAATTGAACAGACAACATTGGATAAATTTACAAATAAATAATATATTATTATTCTTAGAAGAATTGGCTTGTTGTTAATGATCTTTTACCTCTTACATAACAGTAAAAATTTTTATTTTAATTTTTAATAATAAAAAGGGTAATGAATGCAACACAAGTTATAAAAAATGAACTTGCTCTACTATCAAAATTATATTACAAATCAAAAAACCAATTTAAGTCATCAGAGTTGCTTAATAGAATTAATGAAGTAAGAAAACTTGGAAATAAATTTCAGATAGCTAATAGCGAATACATCAAACTAAGATTACAGAATGCCTGTATAAATCTATACATTGCGGCATCTTCTTATTTTAAAATGGGACATTTTGTTAAATTTAGTTTGCTGTTATTTGGAATTTCAAGTAGAATATACTCATTTTTAGAATTTAATTTTGTATACAAAGATGAAATTGATGACATATTTGGAGATCTATAAATTTTATACTTTTTAATGCTTTAACTCAAAAAAAATGGAAGTTTTTCAAGATTATCGAATAAAAAATTATTTGTTTGTTTACATACAAGTAATATAATACTTTTGAGGTATCAAGTTAAACAAATAATTGCAAAATAAAAAATTAATTTTTTTTTATATTTACTTTGGTTTTAAAATTATTAGTACATTTATAAATATTTTTATTTATTATTCAATTTAAATGAATAAATACTTTAAAACATTTTTAAAAAAAATTTATGAAAAAATGTAACAAATTTAACATTAAATAAAAAAATTTTTTTTTTATTGTTTTACATTGTAAGTGATTTATATTTCATTGACTGTTGTTATTTAAATACTTTGTTTAGTAAAACCTTTGGGTATAAGAATTCTTTTTTACACTGTTTTTGTTAAATTGATTAAGAAAGCACGTTTTGTAATAATATAATTTTTTTGCTAAAAAGTTTTTAAGGTAAAAATATTGATATGAAAGTAAAGGCTTTAAATGTTTTAAATTTGCAAAAGACTACTTCTTTAGATAATTACTTGTATACTATAATCTATGTCGAGTATATAAAATATTTATTTTTTGAAAGTCGTAAAAATAAACTGTTCGAATAATAAGCATCCTATTTTTGGGTTTAAAATATACATAACATTAAAATATACCACATTGAAAGATGTTTTAAATATTTTATATTGATTTAACAGAAAGAGAAAAAATTTAAATTAAAATTTTAAAAATAAAAAATATACGATTTGATAATTTGTCTATAAAATATTAATTAAACTAAAAATTTACTGATTTTAATATTTTATAGATGATATATTAGTAAATTTTACAAGAAAGGTTCCTTACTACGATCAATGAGAATAATAAAAAATTTAAGTAATCTTTTTATTGGTTCTTCAGCACTTTGATCCATCTATATATAATATTTTTAAGACTAAAAAGGCAAGTTTTATTAAATTTATAATATTTTTTTTGAATTTGATTTTAAAGAATCTATATACATTAAAAAACTATAAAAAGCAAAATTAATAAACAATTTGTTTATATTGTACAAAATATAACCATTATATCGACTATTATACATGTAAAGTTAAAGAAAAAAAAATTACGAGATACAGTTAAAAGAAGCAAATACATTTGTTACAAAGATTTGGATAAAAAAACAGCAAAAAGTGAATTTTTAGATTCTTATAATACAAATTTAAAATGATGGCATATTATTTGTGAACTCATACTACAATTACATTTTTTCAGGCCTTAGAAACTTTTGAATTATTTTACGAACTATAAAAACAAAACTTACTATTTTTAGATATGGTTTGTAATCTTTTGCTATCTAAAAACAATAATAATGGTATAGAATAACATTTGTAACAATAAAAGTTTTAGTGATTTAATAGTTTTAATACATTTATTAAATAAAGATGTTAGATACAACTAATTTTAGATTATGACAAGAAAAAAAATATTTTTTAGCATACAATATTTTTTTTTCTTCTTATATAATAAATATTCTTTCGCTATGAAAAATTGCAAATCTATTCAAAGCTTTGATTTATTACAAAACGGAATATTTGTTTAAAAATTTTATGACGGTTATGGTTTAAAATGTCCAATTTAAGATGAAACTTGAAGTAAAAACTAATTAGGAATAAAAGATTATATTAACATATTTAATTGATATAAAAAAACATTATAACACATTAAAAAAGCTTTTAAGTTTACTTTAAAAACAATATTAGACTTTTATAAAATAATAACATCTGTTAAAATACACGTTTTGAAATTATTGGTGGGGCGAATATGTAGAATGGATAATTTAAAATAAAAAATGTTGTAACAGAATAAGATAAAAATTTTAAAATATTATTGTATTACTTCTGTAGAAAAAATCAGCTTAGATACAATCTTAAAAAACATAGCAAAAATTAGTTAATAATGGAAGATAAACATGCTTAAACGGAGTAAGTAAAATTGTTGTGGATCACAAGACTTGATAAAATTTCCAATTTATAGGTGTTTTTCATATTAATAATTTACAAATGATATACTTTTTTCTTAAAGTATAAAGAAAATAAATAAATTTATAAAATTTAAAAATCACAATATTATTTTTTAAACAACAAATTGCTTTGTCTTATCTGTGTGTGATTTTGGAGAATTAATACCTCTGGAGAAGATTTGATTTACAGATATTGTTAAAAACAAAAAAACTCTCCTAATTTATGTTTTAATGAATAAAGCGAAATTAAATTTATTTTAAAAAAAGTAGTAAATTCACATCTACAGCATCTAAAGCAAATCATTATCTCTTTTTTATAGTTTAACAAGTACTCTATTCATTCTTTCTACAGGTGCTTAATTAAGTTTATATACTTTAAATTTTCTACAATAATAATACGTAACTATAATTTATGGTAAATATATGACATCATCATCCTTAATATCTAGAAAATCTTTTGTTACCAAATGTTTGATTGTATCACTAAACTGAGTAAAAAATTTGAATTTTTTCTTTACTTCTGATTCTACAAAAGAAATTTTAGCAATTTTTAATTTTTTCATTAATTTCATAATAAATGATTCTACAGCATAATCTAATCCTAAATCATTATTTTTACAATTTACAATTCTGTTCTTTTCTGGTATTTTATAATAAAATAAATCTATGAATGTGTTTGAGCCTTCTCTTCTATAACTTTTATATTTTGTGTTGTCACTTCTGTAATTTTGTAAATCATAAGTTTCATTTTCCTTTATTTGTAAACATTTATTGATGACATCATTTCGATTTGGATTTACATATCCATAATTATCTTTAACAATAATAAGTCCGCATTTTTCTAAAAAATCAATATTTTCATAAAAACAAGAATCTTTACTAACCGCTTTTAAAACTTTAAGATCTGGTTCATCCATCAAATACATTAATAGTGACACTTTATCTGTACTTAATTTTATGTCTATGTTGTGAATCTCAATTATTAACGAAGAAGCTTTGTAACAACAATTGATGTCTGATCTAGGATATTTTACATGAAAACGCTTTAATAAAATATCGCACAAATTTGTAAGTTTTGGATGTAAATTACAAGTCATAACTTCTAAATTACAAAATCCTTTTGTAATCAAATGTAAATTTGTATTAAAATCAAATTCTTGCCCGCCGAGTCCAAAATTCTCAGTAATTGGCAGACCGTATGCCTGTAAAATCAAATTAAGCCAAGAAATGCCAGATGATCCACAATGAAATTTACAGTATCTAAAAATTCTCATTTCTTTATTTAAATCAGTCCTGTCATTAATGATTCTTTCAAGACATTCATGGCTTAATTTTTTAATAATCAAAGCTTTTTGTTCAATTTTATTTATAAGAATAAAAATATTATTAATTAAAGATTCACAATTTTGTGTTTTAAAACTAATTTCTCTTATTAATCTAGCAAAAAAATCTGGAACATTTTCTAAATCCTGAATTTTTTCAACAATTTTTTTCAAAAAAATATCTTCTAAACTTTCGATGTTTATGCTATCACTAATAAAAGTATTGCGAAATTCAATATAAAAACCAAAAATTGATTCTAAATCTTTTAAATTATCTAAACATTGTAATAAATGTGGTTCAACTCTTAATAAAAAAGTAGTGCAGTAAATATCTTCCATAAAATGTAAAATATTTTCTATCTTTTTAAATCTACCAAAAAATTTCGGTATTTTATAAATGTCTGTAGCTAAATTGTCTGGCTGTTCGTCATAAAAAATCCAATCTAAAAGTCGTTTAAATTTTTTTGCAATAAATTTTGTAATTTCATAATAAGATTCTTTACTTGAAAAATCAAACAATAATTTAGCAATCTTTAATTCAACATTGGTTTTTCTTACTAATTTATTAATTTCACAAACATCAGATGTTTGAGTAAACGAGTTATAATATTTATCAAGAAAACAAATATATTCTTCATGATTTTCACTGTAAAAATAAATATTTCTTAGATAGCAAACTGTTTTACATAATTCGTTTATATTTTCATAAGTCTCTTTTTTATAATAAGATTCCCTTAATGCATGTAATTCGAAAAAAAAATATTCTTCTAAGGTTGAAATACTTGCATAAAAATATTTTTTATAAAATAAAGAATAATATAATGTACGGATGTGCATTATATCACTTTCATTTTTATTGCAATTAACGTTAATAAAAAATCGTTCTAGGTAGAAATATACACGTTCTAATAAAAAATAACTTTTTTCTAGGTTTTGACATAGATTAAAAAATCCCTTTAACGATGTAACAGGTCTCAAAGAATCAAAATAATTGGCTAAAATATCTTTAAGTACTTGATAAATTACAATTCCCTTAATTTCGTATGTTGGTGTTTTTTCTGTACAGTGTAAATAAATAATATTATATGCTTTAATAAAATCATTTGATGTAAAAGTTTCAGCAGATTTTAGAATTTTTAGCGTTAAAAATTCAAGATCTTCCATTTGAGGGTAAAAGTTAAAAGATTGAAATTTATATACAACAAAAAGATGTATAAATTGATTTAAAAATACTAAAATATCAGTGCATTATTATTGTTTGATTTAGGAAAAATACGAAAATGTTTAATAATTTATATAACAATATTATATTGTAAAAAATAAAATAGATGTATCATCTTAAAATTCCTTATTATTACCTTTAAAATATTACACAAAAATAAATGTTTCTAGTTAAAGACAGCATAAAGGAAGTATTAAGACATTCTGGTTATAAAACCGGTTTAACACATTTCACCATTACTGTTGTTAAAACACAAGATACTGCAAGAATAATAAATTTATTCTTAACAGCTGCCAGATTATAGCCATTTCGTAAAGTTTATTTTCAAATATAAAAAATCTTTAAGAAAACTTTACCTCGCCTAAGTAGTTTAAACAATAACATTTACATTTTTTTATACAAATCTTCAAGATCGTCAATTTTATAAAAATCCGAACTTTTTGTAAAAAGCGTGTACAGCTCATATACATTTTTACCTAATTCATTTTCAGCATGTTTTGTTTCTAATCCTAAAATATGAAACTTTACAGCTACCAAGACCCTTTGTACAAAAAGTTTGTAAACCGATGTTTCCTCTATCATATTGTAAATTTCTATTGAATATTTGTAGAGCCCGTTATAAAACCCAATAATATTTTCTTTATTCAAATTTAGTTCTTCTTCTCTATATCCTTTGATATAATTTATCATAGCATTAACGTACATGTCAATTGCTTTAAGTTTATTCGATTTTATAACCAAATCTCCTTCTCCTTTGTATTTTTTTGCTTTACAAAGATACATATTTTGCATTTTATGTTTCCTTATAAATGTTCCAAATCCTTTTTCGTCAATTAATGCAGATTTAAAATATCCTTTGCGTTTTAACTTTTCTATTCTTTCTTTCATAGGGATTTTTAAATTTTTTTGTATTTCAATTACAAGATGTTTTAATGATAATCTATAAATTTAGAAAAAGCAAAATTGATGTTGTTAGGTGTAAAACAAATATTTTAAAAGGAATATAAAGCCTATTTGCGTGTGCATCCCATAGTGTATTAATTTTTGTATAATATTGTACAATTTGTTATATCACTATCAATTTAAAAAATTATATCGTTAAATTGTTATTTTGCTTACAGTTGGATCACAAATTTTAGCATAAACAGGTTATTCTTAGATTTTTAATAAAATTTATAATGTTTTTTTTATCTTACAAATATGAGCTACTGTTAATCAGTATTTTGATTCTTTACTTAACATCTCTTGAAATAATTAGCTAAATAAGAAGTATAACAAGTATATTTGACTAAAAGTAGCAGCTTATATTTATTTTTTTACATTTTGTTTACAAATTATTATTGAAGATTAAAATTTTTTCTGAGTGGTACAATTATTCTAATTCATTAATTTTTTATTTATTTGACACAAATAAGTTAATTTAAATTAAACCATTAAAAAAATGATAAATCGGACAAAGTCAATGAAAATTTTAACAGTTTATAACATGTCAAGCAAGTTATATTAATAGAACTTCTTGACAAGTATATACTTTTTACAAAAAATCTTTTTGTTGTGTTATTCACAAAAACTTTTTACTTATAATAAGTTCTTTTAACTTTTATAATTTTACTATCCTTATGGAAGACCTTTATTCAGAAATATCAGAAGAATTACTTAGTGAACTAAAAAACTTTAAAAATGATATAAATGCTTACGAAAAATTACACAAGCTTTTTAGAAAAGAAGATGCTCTATTTAATTTCGAAAATTGGGATAATATTAAGAAAAATCTAAAACATGAAATCTTTAACTTCCAGGACAAATTGTATAAGCATTTATTGGATATTGACAAGAAACTTCTTGAGTATGAATCACTTAATCAAAATCAGGAGCTTGATGTGAACTTAGTAGATATTGAAGTTAATTCAAATATACTAAGCAGAAATAAAGAACCTCCAGAAGGATTTACAAACTCTTCTTGGTATTTACCTTGTTTTCCAAATTTAAACATGATTGAATTTTTACATGAGGATGATTAAAAAATTAAGATTGATTTTGTATTATTATATAAACAAATTATAATTTTTTTAGAAAATTATAAATAATTTATGTTTAGCATAAAAGTGAAACGTGTTTAAAAAATATATCATAAAAATAAACCCTAAATAAAATGAAAAGAAAGATCATTAGGGAAAATAAATGTAAAGAAGAAGTAAATGTGGAAATTATTGAAGAAAAATCGAAACAGACAATCAAATTTATAAATTATAAACTGTATTCCAATCATGTAAAATATTTTACTGATGATACTTTATTGTTGTATTTAGACTTTGAATATAATAAAACTAATTTAGATGATTTTTATGTAAGATACTATATATTTGACAAATTGCAGGAGAAAAACAATACACTTGAAACATTTTGTAAACAAAAACAAATGTTATATATATTAGCACAACAAAAGTTTAGATATTTTTTAGAAACCTTTTTATCAAAAAATCGCTGTTTTGAGAAAATGATTTGTTTAGAATCTTATCCTTTTAGAGTTGAAAAATTATTGGAAGAATATGACATTAATTTTTTTTTAAAGAAAAGAACAAATTTTTTAGAAGAAAAAAATGAATGTTTACCAAAATTAATAGGGCAAAGCACATTTTATGATTTCTCGACAAATACAAAAAACATAAATAATTTAAATTTGTTGTGTCTTAAACCACCAATTAACATGCTTTTAACAAAAGAACAAAATTCTGACTCGGAAACAGAATATTTAGATGCATCTGAAGAGACTAATAAAATTAAGACAAATATATTCAAAATTAAAAATGAAATCAAAAAAGCTGATATAAAGGAATATAATAAAGAAATGTTATTTTTTATTGATAAATGCATTGAATGTAAAAATAATATAACTGAAATAAGTTTAGATATTAATTTGTGCCCAATTACATATAATGTCAATTTGGGATCTAGGATTTATAATCTAATGAAAGTTGATCATGAAAGTGATTTTACTATTTTTGAAGTTTTACAATCTCTTTGTTATTTAACTGATGACCTACAAACATTTATGAAATCTTATAAAGTTCTTCAAATTAATGGAATAATAATACATCCTTTAACTAAAGTGAAAGAGTTATCACCTATTGATAAGTATGTTATTGTAACAAATATTAGTAATATTGATTTAGGAATTGATTCTAAAATTAACAAAAATCGTAATATTTTAGGCTTTAAAAATCTAGGAAATACTTGTTTTATGAATGCTTCTTTACAAGCGATAATCAATTGTAAAGAATTTTCAGATTACTTTTATTCTTGTGATTTAGACAGGCTTGGAAATCATAAAATTGTGTCTGCTGCCTTTTCAGAACTTATAAAAATGTTTGATAAAAATTTAGAGTATTTAATACCCAGTAAGTTAAAATATGTAATTGGCAGCAAAGTTGATATTTACAATGAAAAAGATGAACAGGATTCGATGGAATTTGTCTTTGATTTACTTAATCTTGTTCATGAAGAGCTTAAATTAAAAAAGAAATCAAAGCTTGAGAATATAGATAGTTATAAAAAATGGCAGATTGAAAATCAATCAATAGTTACTAGCTTATTTTTTTCAAAAATCAAATCTTCGATTGTTTGTGCAATGTGTAGCAACGAAAGATTTATTTTTGAACCTTGTTTAAGTTTATCAGTACCAGTACCTCTTGAAAAAAAATATTTTAGCAATATTGTAATATTTTATGAATCTTATAACAGAGTTCCTTTGAAAATATTTGCTGAGGAAACTCTTACTATTTTTGAATTGAAAATATTATTGTGTGAAGAATATAATGTTACACATAAGATATTATGTTGCCAAATTATGAATAACACAATTAAAGTTATTGATGATTTTCAACAACTTAAATGTCTTAAAAGTACATTATTTTGTTATGAATTTATTCAAGAAAATGTAGAAGAATATATTTGGATTAGTATTGATAGAAAATATTTTTTTTGGACAATTCCTTTTGATTTTTTAATCTTAGGGCGCATACCTAAAAATTGTAATAAAGAAGATGAAAAAACATATAAGCAAAATATAATAGATATTGTAAGATATAGACTGGTTCCTTTTATAGATCAAAAAAACATTAATATGTTGTATGGTTCTTTCAATGATATTTTTTACATTAAGCATAAAAAAATACAATCTAGTTCAAAAAGCATATTAAACAGATCTCAATGCTTTTTACAAATTTCTAATGCAAATTATATTTCTTTATTTGGTCCTAACTTTCAGCCTATAAATAATATGATACATCTAGTATCTGATAAAATAGATTTAATCAATTGCTTAAACCTTTTTTTAGAAAAAGAATATATTTTTGGAGATGATAAGCAGTTTTGTAAAAAGTGCAATCAACACACTATACATTACAAAGATACAGATCTGGATTTACTTCCTAAATATTTAATAATTCAGTTAAAACGATTTCGATTTAATGGTGTTGATTTCGAGAAAATAGGTACATTTGTTGATTTTGAAATGGGTGTTTTTTATATAAAAAAGTGTAAATATAAAATTATTAGTATTATAAATCATATCTCTCCATCTGGTGGATATGCTTTTAGAAGTGTAGGGTCTAACGGTCACTATACTGCGTATATTAGACATCAGAATGATTGGTTTCATTGTAATGATCACATTATTACAAAGGTTTCAGAAGTTAAAAAGGACGACGCGTATATTTTTATACTTGAAAAAATTGAATAGATTTGTATTTTTAAATTTTCTTCGATAAGGGTAGTTATTTAGATTTTGCATACAAAGCGATTTTAACTTTAATAATTTTTATTTGTATCAATTATCAACAAACTAACATTTATTAATTTTTTAAATTGATTTGAAATTAATTGTGCACTTTGCATATAGAAGTTTACGTAATAATACACAAAAACATAATAAATTTATATTGTCTTAAATTTTTATTTATTTTTATTATGCATTAATGAAAGATTTCCCAATAACAAATCTTTTATTTTTAAAAGTCGAATACAATTTCCATTTGGTCAAAATATTAGGTTTGTATCTAAGATGATATAAAAATTTAATTTTTTTACATATAAATATTATATGAAAATACATATATTCTTCTAAGTTGCTGTACATTTAAGTATAATGAAGGCTTAATATCATACCAAATAGATTAATAAGCTATTTGTTTTAGAAAAGTGATACACAAATACATGGTAAAGTGTTTTGTAAAATTAATATAACTGTTTGTATTTATACATTCATTTGAATTGTAATTTCAATTCAAGAAATGAGAAAGATTTAACTTATTTAAATCCCTTCTAGAATGCCAAAAATATTCAAATATCTAAAAAAAATTATAAAATCTAAATTTCACATAAAATGCAAATTTTCAGAGATTAAGAAAATATACAAGGATTTAGAAACAGGAATAAATACCCAATACACAAATTTTATAAATAACATTTTAGCCTTAGATGATTCTAATATATCAAAATACAAAAAGCTTAAACAATATTGGAATTATAAAATTAATGAACACGATATAGATTTTATAAATAATACTTTATCACTTGAAGATAAAAAAATGTTTTTAAGAAATGAATTTGTGACAAATCAGAAAGTTTTAATTATTTACAAAAAAGATTTCAAATATTTTTTTAAGCATCAGATATACAAGACACCACTTTCCTCACTAACACCTATTTTCAGAGATTATGTTAATTTTAGTACCTTGTACAGTTACAAAAATTTTAATGTTTTAAATTTTGATAATCAATTTTTTTTACCGCATGAACAAAGATTAATTACACAAAATACTAATAACGATAGAGAATATATTGATTATAAAGATATACCAGATGATTTTGACATATTTTTAACTACTAATAATTACGGTTCACTAAATTTTGTGCAAAGGGCTGTGAGCTACACAGCATTATATACTAATGATAATTTTTTAATTTGTGCACCAACAGGTGTTGGTAAAACATTAATTGCTATAATGACAATTTTTAGACAGTTAAAAAAATGTGGAAATACAAATTGTAGAATAGCGTATGTTGCACCTATGAAATCATTGGCAAGTGAAATTTTTACTGTACTGCAAAAAAATTTCGATACTCTTAAAATATATGAATGCACATCTGACACGCATTTATCGAAATTTGATATTCTTAATTTTAATATTTTAGTAGGTACACCTGAAAAAATAGAAATTATTATGCGTAATAATTATACTTTAATTTTTAATTTAGTTATATTTGATGAGATACATATTTTAAATGAACCTAGAGGATATACTATTGAATCATTAGTAATGCGTATATCACATATTTTTAGTAATAAATGCCGATTAGTAGGCATGTCGGCAACAATTTACAATTACGAAGATGTAGGTGCATTCTTACAGTGCGCTTCTCACAATATTTTTTATTTTAACGAGGAATATAGGCCTGTGCCTTTGTTGTATGAGCTTATTCAAAGTTACAACTTTAAAATAGATCTTCTTGATTTATTAAAAGATAGTGTAGGACCTCATCTAATTTTTGTGCATACGAAGCAGGATACACTAGAGATAGCAGAATTTTTGAGTAAATATGAGACAAGAAAAAGATCACTAAAATGTTTTATTGAAAATTGTCAAATATGTCAAATAAATACAGAAAAATTGGATAAGTTTTTTGTTACGGGGATTGGAGTACATCACGCTGGATTATCTAAAGAAGTAAAGTATAAAGTCGAACACTTGTACAAATCGGGAATATTAGATATTTTAGTTAGTACTTCTACTTTATCATACGGAGTAAATCTACCAATTCGTACGGTTATTGTATTAGGCACTAAATTTTACAATAAAAATATAGGAGCTTATGAAGTTTTAAGTAATATGGCCATTAAACAGATGTTAGGTCGTGCAGGAAGAAATTTTTTATCTCAATCAGAAGTTTGTAAAGGCATTGTTATGTCAGAAACTTTTATTGATTCATTTTTTTATGAACAAACTATAGAAAGTCAATTATTGCATAATCTTTCTAATGTTCTTTTGTCTCAGATTACACATTTAAAATCATATTCTGAAATGTTTACTTGGTTTACTCGCTCATATTTTTTTATTAGACTTCGTAAATTAAATCAGGATTATTATAAATATTCAATGGATATCTTGCATACATGCATAAACGATCTTACAGATTGTAAAATGTTAGATAGAAAAAATCAAATAACTTTTATTGGAAGAATTAACTCAAAATATTTAGTAAATTTTAGAGATACGTACTACGTATACAAAAATATTAAGAATATTATGCTTGATGGTTCACTTTTGGATTTACTTAGTGCATTTCAAGAATTTAAGGATGTAAAGATTAAAGACTATCTTGACTGTAATATTTTAATACCCGCTAAAACAGATATTAATAAACTGTATCAATTGTATATATCAGACAATATAGAACAATGTGATATTTTAGATGACAATTTGGCAAGAATTTTTAAATGCATGTTAGATATTTCACTCTATAAAAAAGTATATTCTAGTAGATTATTCTTAGAATATTACAAATCTGCAATATTTAAAGAATGTATTTATAAAAATCCCACAACTTTAAATCTTTCTGTTCAATGCGACTTTTTTGGTAAATTTATTAGATTAAAGATACTTCCCATTACAAAACATCAAAAATATTATATATTAATTTACCACGATGACAGGTTATTGATTACAGATATTCTTTATAATCAAAATATTAAATATTATAAGATTCCTAAACACGCATTTTATGAAATAAATATAATAAATGCAGAAGTTATAAATTCTTCATTTAAAAAAACATTTAAAAGAACAGAAAGTAGTTTAAATTATCGGGTAATTAAATTAAAAAATAGAATAAAACCACGATTTTTGGAATTCTATGATCAAATTAATTATATAATGAGTCTTATAGATCCAATGTCTTATATTTTAATCCCAGATGAAAATATCGCTAAATTTTTTATATCTAAATATAAAAATATAAATAATTTTGATGAGAATGTAAAGAAAGTACATGTTATTGATATATTAGGTAATATAAAAGATTTTAAAAAATATAAAAAGTACAAAAATGTGTATTTTTACACGAATTATTTGTACATTAAAGTACAAGAAGATGATGGATTTTATCTTTCATCATCTTCTCTTTACTATATAGATTTAAATATAAAGAACAACATGAATATTAAATCTTTAATACATTTAGTATTTAGTCTACCAGAAATGTTTACAGAAATCGTAGATCAAAAATATAAAAAATTTAATGGAAATGAATACGGAATGAATTGTGTACTTTTTTATATGAGTCTTTATGGTTCAGAAGATTTTGATAGTGCAAATGTAAAATACTGCCTTAAAATAATTTTAGAAAAAGCGAGTAATAGAGGATTCATAAAAACAATGTTAAACATTGTTTTTTTACTACAAAAAATTAATAAATCAGATTCTAGAACTTTTAATATTAAGAAAAATAATAATTTTGTAGATATAAATTCTAGTCTAGAAAGTAATTTTTACATTTTTAACAATCAGGGAGAGTATAAATATTTAGAAAATGTTAAAGAAAAAATTGAAATAGAGTTATTTAACGGGACAAATTATATTTTAAGTGATAGATCTACAGGATATGATATTATAAATTAAAACAAATTAGCTTTTATTTATTTGACAAATCTTTTTTAGTTTTTCAATTTGCACTAAACAATCTTTTTCAAATGCGTGTTCATTTATGTTATTGTATAAAATAAGTGACATATCACTATGATTTAATATTCCATTAATTTTTCCATCTAAAATCATTTTTCTTATTTTTTCTTCAATTATCTCTACTTCAAAATTTAAATTTTTAGAAATAAGTTCTAAATAAACAACAGAATAAGATTCAATAATTTTTATAATATTATTTTCTAACAAAATATCATACAAGTATCCAAGGTGAGAAAAAAGAAATTCATCACTTTCAAGTATTTGTCGATTATTTTCCATAAGACTAAGATATCTTCGTAAATTTCTATCAGTACAACACTGTCCAATTTCTATAAGTAACTTAACTAAATTATCATTCGAATAAGGAGCAGCATTTTTATTTTTAAACAGCATTTCTATTTCATTTTGATTTTTACTTATAATTTTACTAAGAATTAAATATCTTAAAGAAACACATGCAAATTCGCATTTTTTGTCAATTGTAAATCCTTCCATTGCTTCTAAAAAATAAGAAAATGCTATTTTATAATTTCTTTCATCGCATAAATACATTCCATTTAAAAGATCAATCTGTGCTTGTAGTTCATACGAACAATAAGTACTAACTGCTAAGGCTCTGGCAGCTGTAAGACTGGCTTTTGCACGATTTGGATTTTTTATCTTGTAAAAGGCTTTAGACTCGTAGACATAAAGGCTTATAAGATTATTTTTATCATCAAATTTTTTAAGATCTTTTGCAATATCTTTTATTTTCACAAGGGCGTCATGATATTTTCCTAAAAAAATGTACACATAGATTCTCTTACATTCAAGGTCTAGTCTAAGTAAGTTTTTATTATCCTTTTCAGCCCATAAAATAAGATCATCAAGAACATTAAGCATATTTTCTAATGTTTCATATTCGCAAGGAATCATATTAAATATTTTTTTAATAATTTTGGTTAACCTAGCAGTTGTAATGTTAGACCAGTATTCCCGTATAGAAGTAATGTTTTCTCTAAGTGCATTATAATTCCTAGTACTAATATTGTTTTTTTGAATTTCCAAAAAAGCAATTTCTTTTTCTTCTTGTGAAGAATTTTGATTGCTTATTATTTCTTTTAGTTGTTCAAACATTTAAGGGGTAATTATTAGAAAGTTTTAAGTTTATTTAAAAAAATACCTAAATAAAATCTATGTTAAAAGGTATAAGTAGATGATTATGGTTTATTTTTGATTTTATATCAAATTTTACAAAATTACTTTTTGTTTATTATTGTTAATTTTGATTAAATAAATTATTATAACAACATGTTGAGGGCAATCTAATTTATTTGAAATTTCACTTTTGTATTTACTGTAATGTAAAACTTTATGTTTTTTTTTCATAATTTAATAAAATTGTCCATGTATAAATAAAAATTTTTATTTAAATCTATCTGGTCCTAAATCAGAAACTTGATTAAATCTATAATTTCTATTTAATTTAGAGATCTTCTGAAAATCTTCATTAGAAAGTTCAAATATTCCTGCATTTTCTTTAATATGCTCTTCACTCACACTTTTAGGAATAATAAGTATATCTCTCATAATTAACCAACTAAGTATTACCTGTGGAACAGTCTTTTTATATTTCTCTGCTATGGCTTTAATATCCTTATCATCTTTTAAACTGACGTTATTGGGATTAGGACCGCCTAATGAAGAATAACTCATTACTGTTATTCCATTTTTAAAGCAATAATCGACCAATTCATTTTGTGAAAGATAAGGATGAATTTCAAATTGATTTAGCGCAGGTTTAATTCTGCACACATTCAGTATCTTTTGTAAATTTTCAATCCCATGATTGGCTACACCTATTGACCTTGTAAGCCCCTTATCAACTAAGGATTCCATTTTTTTCCAAAGCGCAACACCGTCGTATTTTTCTACGATTTTTTGACCATTCTCGTTTTCTACAAAGTTAAAATCTTTGTCTGATTTCAGTTTTACAGGCCAGTGCACTAAATATAAATCAAGGTAGTCTAACTGTAAATTGTCTAAAGTAGTACGCAATCCTTTTTCTGGGTCTTCGTGATATGTATTCCACAATTTTGATGTTATAAATAAATCTTCACGCTTAATAACTTTTTCTTTAATTAATTTTTTTATTACATTACCAATTAATTTTTCATTTTTGTATATTAAAGCAGTGTCAATATTTCTATATCCATTTTTAATAGCGTTTCGTATCGATTCTTCCATTTTAGATTCGTCGTTAATCATCCAAGTACCTAAACCTAGCATTGGAATTTCATAGCCACTGTTAAGCTTTACTTTACGATCGAACATGGGTATCAATCATTAAATTAATAAATACATGCAGATTACCAATCATTATAAAATTGAAAAGGAGATAAATTAAATTTAAAATGATTTGTTGATAAGTTTAATAAATATTTTTACTTATAAAGACAATTTAGAATTTATGTTTTTTTATGTTGCAAATTTCTCATAAAAACATCTTATACTTTTTATTATAAATTATGACCAATATCTTTAATTTTTATCGTTGCAAATTTCTCATAAAAATATCTTATACTTTTTATTATAAATTATTAATGCCTTTAATTAAAACTACAATTATTCATTTTTAATATTGTAAACTTTATTTATGTTGTAATACAATAATTTATCAAAGTTTTCTTCTACTGTTAAATATTTAAAAGTCTTTATATCATTCTATAAGCTATAATGTGCATAATTTTATTTAAATTAATAGAAATGTACAAAACATTATTTTCTTTTTAAAAATTTTATTGCTACTTAATACACAAACATTTTTTAAACTTAATACTAATTTTATAACTTTGTAAGATATAATTTTTGTTTATTTTTAACCCATGTCTTATAGTTATGAATATGATCAATCAGGCCTTGCCTCAAGTTATCTTGCACTATCATTTATTTTACCAATTACTATTTATTTTTCATGCAAAATGCTATTTAAAAAGAAAATTTCTCGCATAAATTGCAAATGTGAAAACTGTAGAAAACTTTCTTCAGATAAAAGTTTTATGGGAAAGTTCCTTATTTTTAGTTTGTGGATTATTGTATCGATTTTATTAAAAAATGTTTTTATTATTAAAATGGAAATAAAAAAAGACTTTGATCCTTTAGAAATTTTAGGAATAGATCTTAACACGCCTGTTAAGGTAACTAAGAAAAAAATGGTAAAATTAATGTTAAAATATGATGTACATAAAGCACCAGAAGATAAAAAAGCAGAATATGAAAAAAAACTTATGGATATTAGTAAAGCATTTGGGATTGTAAAAGATAAAAAAAAATTTGCTTCGTGGCTTAACAATGAATCTAAAAGTGGAGAAATTATGGCTATACCAGATGTTATAATGAAAAACGCCACACTGGCTTTCATTATTTATTGTATTGTACTGGGAATGTGTTTACCAAATTTTGCTTACAGAAAATGGAAAAATTTAAAAACTAAAAATTCTTTAGGAATTCAATTTGATACAATGGAATGCTTTATTAATTTTATTAATAACGATTTTAGAAAGAAATGTAGTATAAAAAATTTAATCACATTACTGTCAAAATCTAAAGAACTTTCTACAAAAAATTTTAGTAGTGATATATCAGGTATTAAATCTAAAGTAGAATACAATTTTGGATATCCATTACCAGATCTTAAAAATGTCAATACGGGATTTTATATCTTATGTGACAATCTTTTTAGATTAAATCTTTGTAATAAGAAAGATGTACAATATGTTACAGAATCAAGTTTATTGATTATAGAAGGAATGAAATGTGTGGCTGTAGCGAAAGGATATGTAGAAATTTACAAGAAATTATTTACTTTACAGGCAATGATAACACAGGGGGTATTTGATGAAGACTATTATATGTTACAGTACCCTCACATTAAGTTTAATGATTTATTTTTACTAAAATTTAGTGAACAGAAAATAGAAGTAGAAGAAATTTTGAATAAATTACTGCAAGGAAGAGAATTAAAAGATGCTCTTTTAGTTCATAAAAATATTCTTAAAATTAATATTAAAGAATTTGTTGCAGTAATTAAAAACACAGGAAAAATTAATGAGGAAGCATCAGATGTAGATGATGAAGTTAATGAAGATTTAATGCTAAATACAGAAAAGTTCAAAAATATAAATACTTTTAAAATTGCTAAAAATAGTCTTGTAACTATTCGTGTAAAATTAGAAGTTTTGAATAAGTTTAAGAATGTGAAAGCTGTTCACACTTGTAATATTTTAAAGACAATTTTACCTTCATGGACTGTTTTTATTACAGTGGATAATCAAATACACAAAGAAATTGTTACATTTAATGCTAATGATACCAATGATATTACATTTACGTTTGATGCACCTGTTAATAAAAACAGTAATGAAATAAAATTACATGTTATGAATGGAAATTATCTTAAACAAAATTTAGAAGAAACTATTATACTAAGATATTTTTAATAAAATAATTGATTTTTAATTACAAGAATTTATAAAAAATTATAATCATATTTTAAAAAATAGATTAATTTAATAAAAATATAATCATATTTTAAAAAATAAATTAATTTATATTCTATCATCTTCTATATACTTTTTTTTTATTTTAAAATTTATTTTATCTGCTAACAATCGCTTTATTCTGTCTATATAAATCCTGAATGCTTTCCATCTGTATTCTCTATAGTATTGTATCTTTGTTTTATTAACTACAAAAATATTATTTGTAGCCAAAAATTCTTTACAGCTCATAACAGAAATTAATCTTTTATAAAATTGTGAATGAGATGAGTGTGTAAGTAAGGTAATAAGATCTATAAACTTAACTTTATCTAAATCTACTTCTTCATTTTCATTATAATTTGTGTTATTTAGAAATAAATTAATATTTTTAAGTGCTATTTTAATATCTATTTCTAATTTTTCATAATGATCATAAATAAATAAAAACATTGATATTTCATCCTCTGGATAAAACATCTTATTTGAAAGGTTTCTTAATAGCAGAAATTTTTTAAAATATTTTAATAAATTTTCGTGTGGTGTTATATGATAAATTTCTAATACTTTATAAAAATATTTTAAAAGTAAATTTTCTGAACAATCAAATTCTTGTCTAAAAAAACTTTTGTGGTATTCTATAAGAGGATGTGATAAAGATGTTTCTCTATATATTTGTCGATGGTGTTTATTTACAGGATATTTAGATGTCCCTAAAATATCTGTAATTTTATATTTGTTAATCCAATGAATAGGTTTTTTATAAATGCCTAGGTTTTTATTTCTTATTTTTTTCATGTCAAGAAGTCCTTTTATTTTTACAGTTTTACCAATATAGTCAAATTTTTCCACTTCCATAACATATTGACTATAGAAATATAAATTACTGCTACGTTCTAGCTCAAATCTTTTAGTAAGATAACCTAGAAAAAATATGTATCCTAGATTCATTTTTATTGGTGAACTAATAACATCCCTATTTCCTGCAAAGAAATTCATATAGTAATCTATAAATTTGGTTGATGAACAATTTAAATATGTAATTAGTTCATTAAATAACATGTTGTGAACAAGAAGTGTTTTGTATTTAAAAGAATATTCAGAAAAAATCGAAGATTTTTTTTCTGTTTTTTCTTTTTGACTTCTACTTGAGAAATGTAAATCATCTGCTACTTCTAATTTTGTGTGTGAAACATGTCCTTCTTCACAAATAAACTCGCCATTTATGCATTTAAATTGTGTTTTACAGATTTCACATAACATTATTTAAGGGGGAAATAATTACAAATACTACTATTAATATTTTTAGAAGAAAACACCATCTTTTAATTAAAAAAGTAGATTTGTAAAATTTTTGCACTTACATTTGTAAAATGCATAGCTAATTGTAAAAAATTATAAATTATATTTATTGAACAAATAAAGTTGATTTATCTTTTATTTCTTTTAAAAATAGTACAGTTTTACTGTACTGTAAATTTAATTATTTGTACAAAAAAATTCATCATTTTGTATTTGATTTAAAATTTCTAAATAAAATAAGTTCGGTAAGCTTTTCTTTATACAATAAAAAATTAAAATTGACTTATTATTTTTATCAATAATTAGCTATTAATTTATTTATAATTAGCTATTAATTTTACTTCCTTTTAATATGAAAGTCGTAAAAACTAAAGATTTTACAACAAATAATTTAAAATTTATATTTATTATAAAATATTAAATAAATTAACGTATCTTATGCAATTCTTTAAAATATTTTTCAAAATACATTCTTTTACGTCTCTATAATAAAATTATTTTTCTTAACTTACGTTCAATTCTATTTTTTCAAATAAATTTTTATTTTTTTACCCCATAAATGGCAAGAAAAGCAGGTAGAAGGAATAAAAAGACAAAGTCTGCTGCTACTAAAAGAAGTAGATTTCAGGTAAAAAGACGTAGAAGAAGGGAGTGCAAGACCAATTATAGGCACAGAATTAATCTTATTAAACAGGATTACAATAAGCAAGGTGCTTTAAAGTTTAGGCTTGTTGTTCGTAGAACTAATACTAAAGTAATATGTCAGATCACGCGTTCTTACATCGACGGAGACAGAGTTTTTGCCTTTGCTGATTCCACCGAACTTAAAAATTATGGGGTAGATTTCGGCCTTAAAAATCATTTCGCATTTTATGCTACAGGATTTTTAGCCGGTAGACGAGCTCTAGCAAAACTTAAGATGGATGATCTTTACAAAGCCAAGAAAACAGATGGTACTTATACTATCACTGAAGATATTGATGAAGAGCGTAGGGCTCTTAAAGTCTTTTTAGATATTGGGTTATCTAGAAGTACTAAAGGTGGTAATACATTTATAGCTATGAAAGGTTGTTCCGATGCTGGTGTATTTATTCCTCATTCTGAAAGTAAATTTATAGGATACGAAAAAAATAAGCCTTTTAAAGCGGAAGAACTTAGAGACAGAATATTTTGTAAACATGTATCTGACTACATGAAAGATCTAAAAGAAAATGATGAAGAAAAGTATAAATTACAGTTTGGAGATTATATTAAGAAAAATATTGATCCAGACAATATTGCTGGAATTTATCAGAATGCTTTAGATGCTATTATTAAGAATCCTATAAGGGAAGAAAAAGAAAAGAAGGATTATAGTGGATTTAAAAAATTCAAAGTTGAAAAAATGCCTTTAGAAGAAAGAAAAAAGAGAATTCAAGATAAATTAACAGCACTTAAAGCTAATTAAAATTTTATAACTTTATTGTTAGTATAGTTATATTTATTATTTGTCAAGTAGTAGAAAGATTTATTAAGTGGTAAAGAAATTTCTATTTTTTAAAATCTTATTGTTTTTCGTTTTTTCTACCAATTATTTTATTTCTTTCCTATTTATTTTAAATCAATAAGATTTAATGTCTATAAAAGACTTTTAATAAATAACCAAATAGTCTCTAAAAAATAGGTTTAATTAGTATTAAGGTCATTGGCTAGTCAAACTTATATAAAGGACGAAACTGTTTTATATTTTCAATCTTGTACACATCTAAGCTTTTTATATTAAAATTTAATTTAATAAAAAATAAATTAATTGTTTAAATAATACATTTTTTTAAAAATTTATAAATTGTAGGTTTTACTGTTTCTACAAAATAACGAATATTTTTTACCCTTAAAATGAGTTACAAGTATACACTAGACTTCTACAATCTAAAAAATAATAAAATAAAATCTTATCACACCAATGCAGACATAATATCAATAGGCAGTGGACTGTTTAATAGCATACGAATTCAAATACCTTCAATTCTCGAATTACATATTAAAATATTTTTAGATAAAAAAAAGATACTTGTTTTTGGTGAGGACGTTACACTAAAAAATGAAGAACTAAAAATTGGTTATAAATATGATTTCGAATTGGGTGATAGTATAAAAATACACGAGAGAACTCTTCGGGTGCGACATACAGATTATAATGAGTTAATTGATAAGAATAACATTGTCAAAGAGTCTCCTGATACTTTAAAAGATGTTATAAATTATCAAGAAATCGGAGCTGATTTGTTTATTAACGGTAATGAAAATAAATTTAGCATAAATAGTGAAAATAATTATCCCCAAGAAATGATGACAAATGGAGATGAGAAAAAAAATAAAAAAGAAATGGAAAATAATGTGAATGATGAAGGAAATACTATTTCTAGTAATTTAAATCCAGAAGGCTTTATGCAGCCTAAAAATCAAGAATATATGGAAATTATAAATGAAGAAAATGTAGAAATTATGAATGAAGAAGAAGTAAAAATGGATAAAAAAGAAGAAGAAGTAAAAATGGATAAAAAAGAGAATGAAATCAAAAATATTTACATTGAAGATAATGAAATTATTGCTAGTGAAGTATGTGGGAATATAAAAACAGAAAGAGAAACTAATATACACAGGGAAGTAGTAAGTAGTCATTATATCAAAGAAGGAGTTATTTATGAAGAAGTAAAAGAAAATGTACAAGTAGAAGATCTTAAAAAAATTGAATTACAGGAAAATGAAACTATGAAGGATACAGATTCTGAAATTAAAAATAATTTTGAGGTACAAGCTGCTGCAAAAATTATAGACGCTTCCTCGTCTGAAACTAAAGTTGAGGATGCTTTGGAAAATGATGATATTAATTATGTAAAGGAAGCAATAACATCTAAACAACAAGATTTGGATGAAAAAATTAATGATTGCATTGATGTTACTGCTGTTGATACACCAATTAACCCTTTTTTATTGAAAAAACAACCAGTAGATTTGGGTGATGTTATTATTGAAAAAGAAATTTTAAAAGATGCAGAAAAAATTGTAGAAGAAAAAATAAATCAATCAAGTGAAAATTTAAATTTATCAGAGCAAGAAAATGTAACTGAAGAACCATTGAATGAAGTTAAAGAAGAAAAAGTACCGGAAATTAGTGAATATGATCTTAATTTAACAAAGCAGGAACAAAAAGTTGAAGAAGGAACTGTATTTATTAAAGAAAAAGAAGAAAATAATATGCCAATTCTTACAGAGCAGGATATTAAAAATATTAATCAAAATAATGAATCCCTTCCAGTAAAAAAACAAACATCTGAAATCGTACCTGTAACAGACAATACAGCTACATCATCTTCTGAAAATTTGAAAGGTATTGAGGATGATAAGGTGAATATTAACACCGAAAAAGCGAATATTGTAGAGGACACTGAGCCGCCACTAGAAAGCATTGGTAAAGATGAAGTTAAAAATTTTCCTAAGAAAAATATTAAAAAAACAGCTACTGAGGATAGTAAGCCTATTGTAGATGATGTAAACAAGGCAAAACAAAAAAGGAAAGCATCAGTGAAAAATGTTGTGGTTGATGAAAATAAGAAATCTGAACCTAAAAGAAAAAAAGTTGAACCAGAAAAAGAAGTTGGATCAGGATTTGAAAATTTAAGTGTGGAGAATCAAAAACCTAAAACAATGTCAAAATTAACTTTAACACCACGATCTACGCGTAAGGCGTCAATGACCACGAATCAGAAGTCTGAAGTTCCTAATACTGCAATATCTAAGCGTGTACGGCGAAATGCATCTGTAAGTTCTGACTCTAAATCATCTGCAGAAGATTTATCTAAAAAAAATAAGAAGAAATAAATCTTTTATTGTTTTTTTTATTATTTGAGAATGCAGTATCTTTAAATTAATTCTTTCAAAAATTGTCATTAAAAGCTTTTAATATATATTCATTATTATTTATGGTTTGCTCTGTAAAAATAAATAAATCATAATTTTTTATTAAATCTTTGCTACATTTCAAAAATAATTATCTAAATTTTATTTAAATAAAAAAACACTGAAAGATACTATAGCAAGAAAACATACTAATAAAATTATTAGATTATTGTATTATCAGCAATATTTTAATTTTCATTGTATGTCTTATAAAGTAAACCTTTATAAATTTACACAATTAAATTATGTCAAAAAATTAAAATTTTACAAATTTTTTATAAAAATCTCTAACAACATAAATCTTTTAATTTACAATTACGACTATTTTAATTATAAAAATCTCTAACAACATAAATCTTTTAATTTAAGAACATTCCTTTACGCACTTATTTGCTTTTTACATTTAAGCATAAATATTAACAACCTTTTTATAATTTTAATTTATTCTACATTTTTAGTACTTACAATTCTATAAAATATTTTACTTAAACATAGTTCAGCCATATAAGAAAATAAAATAATAAATAGGAATGTAAAATATGCGGAGGGTATACTCATCAATATCCACATGTTTCCTCCTAGTGATGTGTCTTGTATTAAATACAGTGTTATAAAAAATAGAAAAAGACTTAAAAAAATAGCTATGTATGAATAAATAGTGTAGTAAGAAATAAGTCTTACTTGTCCTAGAAAAACAGAAAAGAATACAATTAATGATACTAGATTGTTCAATCCATTGTATCCTCCTACTCTACCATAAGGATTCATTAAATCTTTAACAAACACAACCCCAAATAATAATATAAAAACTATAAGACCTTGTAGAATTCCATAAATTATTCCTAGAATGATTACTGATTTACAGAAAAAAGCCTTGGTAGACATGTATTCCTCAGGGTGTTGAAGTAAATAAGCCTCGGGGAGATCCTTATCAAAGCAGCAGATTGAAGCTGGAATTAAAGATGTAAAGAAAACGTTATAATAATTTAGAAAATAATTATTGTAGACCGGTTTTCCTGAAAATCCAGTAAAAAAGTTATATAAATATTGAATAATTATTAAATAAATATTTTTGTACAAAGCATTTAAGGTCACCTTAGAAAATCTTATAAAGTTGTATCTTCCGTGTAAAAATATTAAAAATTTAAGGCTTCTAAAATCTGGGATTGCAAAATCTGCAGATATACCTGCCTGATTACCTTCTTTGCCTAATATTCCTACACCCACATTTGCTGTAAGCAACATTGCTACATCGTTGTTACCATCACCAATGGCTAGTGTATTTTTTTTATATTCTCGAAATTTTTCAGCTATCTCGCTTTTTTGTTTAGGCGTAGATCTATATAAAATAACAGATTTATAAGATAAAATGTCAATGGAAGAAACTTCTTGATTAAATCTAGTACCTTCAATTGCTATCACTTCGTTATCATTCATATTTTTCATAAGACCGCAATCTATTGCGCAACTAATGGCAGTCTCTTTTTTATCACCTGTAATCATCCATATTTTAATGCCGGCCTTTTTTAACATATCAATTGTCTCTTTTACTTCTTCTTGTAATTCATCTTCTATAAAAGTAGTACCAAGATAATTCATATCTTGTTCAATCCTCTCAAAAATCTTTTCCTCTTTTTCTTCACGATTAATTAAATCTACTGAATTATAATCTTTTACAAATTTATCAAATTCATCTTTGGCCAGTTCGCGATAGGCAGTAACTAGTGTTCTATAACTCGAATTTGTATTAATAATAGATGTTACATCATCAATAGACGATGTCTTACATTTTATTTTTTTTCTATCTAACATCATTTGGTCTGATCCTTTAGATAAAACGTAATATTTATTAAAAAGTAATATAACAACAGACATTCTTTGTCTGGATGAACTAAAATCTAGTGTATACTTTATATCACATCTAATAGTAATTTTACTAATTTTAATTAATACATAAGTATCTTCTCGTCGCAAAAGTTCAACATTAATTTCCCTCAACTTTTCCAGAATAGAAATCTCATCTTGCGATATTCCTTCTAATTTACCGTTTAGTGGTTCAACACTATTACAACATGTTAATACTAACACTAAAAATATTTTTTGGAGTGCAAGACTGAAGTTGTTAGAACTTAAAAAAGAAGAAAATTCTTCTACATTGTAAAAATTAGACTGTAATGCGTTAATTTCTAACAGGCTCTGATTCCCAAGAATATGTATTTTTTTAAATACCATTTTATTTTTTGTTAGGGTTCCTGTTTTATCACTTAAAATGTATTCTATCATCCCTAAGTCTTCTGTCACATTAGAATTTCTACACACAGAATGAACATTATCTTTTATCATTTTCTCATCATTTGAAATGTAAGCTGAATGAAACATTCTAGAAACCTCTAATGTAACAAATAAAGATAATGGTATCAAATAACTAAACATTATATAATTTGTACCTGTCAATTTAAGTGCATCAGCCGTTAGGAACTCTCCAAGATATAAATAAGTTATATTAGTTTTTCTTAAAAATAAAGATCCCAATATCGCAGTCGATACTAAAAGTGAGAAATATATAGCAAATATCAACATTACCACTTTTGTAAGTTCCATCTCAAAAAGAGATGTTCCTTTTCTACTCTTAACATTACTTTTTCCTAATTTCGTTTGCGCACCGACAGCTACAGTGTATACAAGAACACTATCAACGTTTTTGACTTTCATACCACGAAGTAAAACGTTTCGTTCATTACATAACTCGTGACGTCCATAAAAAGTCAGTGTACATTCAAATTTGTTAAAAACATCTCCTGTATCTTTAATTTGTGAATCTGTTACATTTTTTATAAAATCGCGATCGCATTCACAAAATTCGTGTAAAATGTTCTCGCTTGTACTCGCTGCTGTTTTTTCTTTACAAATATTTGTTATAAATGATGTCTTTTTCTTTAGATTTGATTCACCGTCAAGATTACTCGAATCTATAAAACAATATTCCTTACATTTACCTTTAATTTTACTTATTAAAAGTACACAATCGCCCGGTACATCTTCATTGCCTTTTAAAATAACAAAATCGCCTTTTTTTAAATCTTCAACATAAATATCTTTATTAATTATTGTATTGTTTTCTATATAAGCGACGGTTACAGGTTTTGTATTTACTTTTTTATCTTCTTTGTGTCTTTTAAAATCTTCTATACCGTCTTTTATCATAGATGTACCTGTTACCAAGGCAAAGGCCAGTAAATAAGTGTAAGGGTTAAATGGAGATATTGTTGGGATAGTAAGCAATATCATAGTTAATAGAAAGAAAAGATTGCTGGGCTTGCTTAGTTGATGGTACATGTTAACAAAGAAGAAAGTATATTTATTATACTTTGATGTAATAATTTTATTTTCTTTTTTCATATAAAGGGTGATATTAATAATTAATTTTAAAGGCTATGATTCATTAAATGTATTACTTAAACAAACAAAAACAAGTTATAAAAGAAATGTTGTTAAATCAGTGCAGATAAAATAAAAAATGAAAATAATGATTTATTCATAAATAATATTAAATATTGTTGACGTATAAAGTAGTCAATGGTCAACTTTTACATATAGCTATGAAAACTTTAAGTATAATAAAACAATGTTGTAATTATTTCCAAAGAAGTTTTAAATAAAAAAATCGTAAAAATAAAAGTCTATTAAAAAAAAATCTTTTATATCAAAAAAATTGATATTTCTTTTATCAACGTTTTTGGTATGTTTTAATTCAAAGAACGATTTTTAATCAAATATGAAAAATTTTTACTGTAGCGCCAACGTATTTTTGACTCTAAAAAATCAACTCTCTTTACAGAAACAATACATTATCGTCTTTGTAATATTAAATTTATTAAGCGTTAAAAACAACAGATTTCTATAAAGTACATTTGTGCAAGAATGTTTATACTCAATTTGTACATTAACTCGTAAAAAACAATATTTAATTCATTCTCTTCTTATTAGAGCAGCTACACCTTGCCCCGTTCCTACACACAGTGAGACAACACCAAATCCTTGCATATTATTAAGGCCCATAACATTCAATAGACTTGCTACTAGCCGTGAACCTGTACATCCAATAGGATGTCCCAAAGCGATTGCTCCCCCATGTAAATTTACTCTCTTCTGATCAATTTCTAGCTCTTTGATGCAAAAAAGTGCCTGACATGCAAATGCTTCATTTATTTCAAAATAATCAATATCGTTTATTGCCAAATTATTCCTGTGCAGTAATTTTCTGATGGCTGGTACTGGTCCTTGTCCCATAATAGAAGGGTTTGTACCAACACACACATAATCAATTAAACTTCCTAAAATGTCTTTTTCTAACTCCTCTGCTTTATGTCTTTTCATAAGAAGAACAGCCGACGCACCATCTGATAACTGTGAAGAATTTCCCGCTGTACATATCCCACCCTTTCTAAATACAGATTTTAGAGAAGCAAGTTTTTCCAAATTTGTAACACGAATACCTTCATCTTCAGTTATGACACTATTATCGATTTTTACAGGAATAATTTCGTTAGTATACAGTTTATTAATAGTTGCATAAGCTGCGCGTTTATGACTATTCATTGCAAAAATATCTGACTCTTCCCGTGTAATCGAATATTTTTTAGCCAAGATTTCAGCTGTTTCTCCCATCGAAATAAAACATTCTTTGACTTTATCTACATCATCTTCATAACATGTTATTTTTCCTTGATTTATCGGGTAAAAACTCATCGATTCAAACCCTCCCGCCAGGCCTATTTCTATTTCACCCACCCTTATTTTATTAGCTATAATACTAACTGAATCTAAACCCGATCCACATTGCCTATTAAAAGTTGATACAGGTGTTACAAGAGATAGTCCTGCTCTAAGTGCACCTATCCTTAAAGCTGTTGATCCGTTCATCGGAGACAGCCCGTGCCCAAAACACACTTCATCAATAAGACTAGGATCAATTCTTGTTTTATCCAATATTCCCTTAATTGCATGATAAACTAACATATCGTTTGTAAGACCTCTAAATGCACCCCTTCCTGCTTTAGCAATGGGTGTTCGCAGTGCAGAAACAATAACGATATCATCTTTGTTTTTTTGACAGCACATTAGCCCTCATTAAAAAAAAATATTTATACTAAAAAACTAATTATCAGAAATAATGAATTAAATTAAAGCATTGACTTTTATAATTATTTATTGCTTCTTGTATTTGTGAAATAAATAATTTTTATTAAAATAATTTATTAATTAAAAGTAAAGCGGCTATCTTAATAAAAAAATAATGATAATTTAAATAATAAAACTATGTACATGTAGACTATTTATATTATAAATTATAAACATATAACAATAAATCTTCTTTAGAATTATTTTATAATTTATTAAAAATTATAAAGGCAGTCATGATTAAATTAATAAATTTTTGACAGAACTGAGAATAGTTTGAGAAAACGACATTCTGCCCAAGAATACAGCCTGTTTAAAAATAATATTCTAACGAACTAATACAATAATGCACGTTTACATTGGTTAAGTTTGTTTGTTATTTAAAATAGCGTTTTTTAATCATCTGTTCATTGTAAATGCCGTTCTGTTTTCATAAATTTTCTTTTTATGATTTAAAGTTCGTAAAGAACCAATAGCCAATGCGAAAAATTATAATTTGTCCTCACCTTGAAAAAATTAAAATTTACATGCGGGATTAGAATCACAGTAATAAAGTAGTATTTAAATACACAAATATATAACTTATTATAGTTATCTGAATTATTGATAAAATAATTTAATTAATTTGCTTTTGACTTATAATAATCTTAAATAAAAAGAAAACTTATAACATTATTTAACTTTAAAAGGTGCTATTAATAAACACTTAAATACAATATAATTAACTTTTTAAAATAAAGCTTCTTTATTAACTGTAAAAATTATCCTTCTTCTAATTATGCAAAATTAATAAAAAATAAATTAAAAAAACAGTAAATTACAATAATTTATTTACATTTGTGTATACAGTACAATTTATTATCATCATTAGATATTACTCTATCAGTTAGACATATTTTATTTGTTTTTGTATGTCTTGAAATTTTATATGTATCTTCCATACGAGCATAAAATAATCCTTTAAACGTTCTTGTATCAATTAGTTCGTAGTTTACGACTATCTTTACTTTAATTTTTTCTTTTTTGGAATAAACAATGTTAGAAACTTCAGTAAAAAATCTATTTGCAAAAGAAATGCTATCTTCTTTGTCTTTAAAAGCAATAAGAAAAGAATCCCCTTCATTTCTTACTTGTATACCATTATACTGTTTAATTAATGTACTACAAATCTTATCATGTTCAAAAATACATCTAGCCATTTTAAATCTGTCTTTATTCCACAAAAATGTACTCTGTGCAATATCACTAAGAACGACATAAACACCCTCGCATTCAAGTCTAACAGATCTTTTCATTTTCTCTAATAATTTATAACGCTCAGAATAATGTTTAAAAAGGTCTATAATAGTAAAATCAGTTTCTAAAAACTTATTATTTTTATAATCCCAGCATTTTACATAATCTTCTCTGTCTTTTAAACTGCTTTTGGTTTTCCTTTTATTTTGTTTAATATCCAAATTCTTTATATCTCCATCGTATATTATAAACACTTTATCATCTGGTTTGGCAATCTCTTTACTTTTATAAAACAAGTAAAACGTATCGTAAAAAAAATTGCATAAGCAGTGGTACATTTCTTGGATATTCACATTGAATATTATAAAATATATTATCAGTTCGTATACCATGTTAAATAATATTTTTACATGTTTGTTTTTCAAAAATTTCATTTTTTCGGGGTGGGGTTAAAAAATTTTATGTTTGTAAGATAAAAAAAGATTTTTGAATTTAATTTAAAAAAATAAACAAAAAATAATTTTATAAGAGAAAATTTAGAAAGCTATTTACAATTATAATTAAAATTATATTTATTATAGTTGATTAAAATAGTATTTATATTTGTCTAAAAAAGGAAGTTGGACTAAAGAGGTAAATTATAGCTTTATAATTTAGCCAATAATGTTTTATAATAGATTAAGATTTTACTTTTTAAATTGTTGAGATATTTGATGTGTCAAGATAATACTAATTAAACAATTAGCTTCTAGCTAATTTAATATTAACAAAGTTATTTTACTTCTTTTTGGTTTTTAAAAATTATGTAACTCATATTAAACTACTAAAAGTCACATATTTATTTTATCATTTTAACAGATTTTAACAAATACATCTTGTAGTATTATATTGTCACATAATATTACAAGATGTATTTTTTATCCTCCAATTTAGTGTATATAAAACACTCAGGAAATTAGTAAAAACATAAAGTTCAATGTTTAATTTTAAATATCAAAAATATAAACTGTACCTTAAAAGTTAAAAAACTTGCTTTTTTTTATTTAAAACAAAGTAAAAATATTATTTGTAATTGTGTGTTATTTAATAAATAAAGTTTTTAATTAAGTCTTATAAATCATCAATAGTAAATGAAAATGTATAAAATTATAATTTAATCAAAATTGATTTGTAAAGAATTAGATATTTGGTTTTACAACTTCTTTAGATATTCAAAGTTAAAATATTTATCAGGTAATAAGCCTTTTTCTTCGAAGTTTAGATAGGTAGAAACAAAAGTAAATTAAAAGCAATGGCGGGTGGTAAATAATGCCATAAAGATGTAAATTTTAAAAAATCTTAAGAGAAAGATTTTTAATAAATAAAGTTAGTTCAAATATAACTTTTAAACATCAAATAAGTTTAAAAAATACAACTGTAAATTAATTATTTATTACCTGATACTATAACATCGTTAATTTTTAAAATTGTACTAGCAAACTGTGTAGCCATCTGTAACTGCCTAATTTTACTTTTTAAAGTATCAAAAATATTAAGTTTTTTCATATTTTCTTCAGAATTTTCAAGACAATCAACTCCTAAAAAATGATTTTTTGTTCCATTTTGTTTTTTCCTTAAATTAGTAAGAACTTTTAAAGCATCAAGACCACTATTTTTAGCAAGCAAAAGAGGTATTTGTTCCAATGCTCTACTAAATGCAATCATACACTCTTCCTCTTCTCCAACACAAGTTTTACTTTCCTGTTCAAGATGTAAAGAAATCGATATTTCTGCAGATCCACCGCCATAAACAATACGATCACTAATAAGCACATTTCTAACAGCACACAACCCATCTTGTATAGATCTCTTAGCCTCTTCAATTATCATATCATTACCTCCTTTAACAATTATAGTAACTGCCTTACTTTGTTTATTATTCTGTATAGTAATAAACTTTTCGTTATCTGTACCATCTGAGGTTTCTTTAACATCTGCTTGTCCTAAATCTTCCTCTTTAATGTCTTCAAATCTAGAAATAATATTCCCTTGAATGTGTAAAGCTATCAAATCAAGATCATTTCCACCCACCCATCTTATAGCTGGTAAATTATTTTCCATTAACAAAGAGTTGGCTTCATCATCAAATCCCCATTGACACATAACTAAATCAACTTTAGCATCTTTTAAAAATTTAATCATATCGAGAAATACTTCTCTTTCATATTTTTGCAAGGCTTTGTATTCTTCAGGATTTTTAATTAATAAATTATGTTTATTTTTAAGTTTGGGTGGTTCAAATGGACATGCTAGAAGTGCGATTTTCACATTTTTAAATTCCTTTTTCATTTGTGGATGACTAAATTCTTTTTTTATAACCATTCCCCTAACAAGTTCCGTTTCCGCTACATCACACCCAATTCTTTTTTCGTAATTAATTAAACTAAAATCAACATCTTGTCTTTCAATGTCTGCAACAGATAAAATTGCTTCAACACAAATATTAGCAAATTTATCAATTGCTTTAGACACCACTTTACTGTGTAAACTTGTTCTTGCAGCATTTAACATAGCCTCTTTTTTATTATTTATTGATTCAGATATATTTTTAAGATGTTCAATAGCCTTGCTAAGTGCCGAATCGTAAAATTCAGCAATTCTTATCGGATGAATTCCTTTATCCATAAGTTGTTTACTATTTTGTAATAAACCATTAGCCAGTATTAATACACCTGTTGTACCATCACCAATTTCATTATCTTGAGATTCACTGAGCTGTACAAAAAGTTTAGCAATGTCATTATCTGTCATATCCATCTCTTTAAGTATTGTAGCGCCATCATTAGTCACAGTAATTTCATCGTCTTTACTTTGTAAAATTTTATCCATTCCACAGGGACCGAAAGATGTTGATATGAAATTAGTAATATTATTTACTACAGAAATGTTTGTATTAATGGTAGTAAGTCCGTGTAGTCTAATATTAGATTCATCAGTTACTTCAAAGGCCTGACCTATTTCATCAGTTAAAAGTTGAGACATAAGGGTGAAAATATTGCAAATTAAAAATTTATTTTTTGTAATAAAATACGCCATAAAGTTCTTTTTGACACACTACACATTTTTCTAAGGAATCTCTGTTAAGTTTAACACAATCTAAGCAGTATTCATGACTACAGTTTGTAGAGACAGCATTTAAAATTTCTTTATTGCATAAAGGACAAAGAATGGTGTCTGAACATGTGTTAAGTCTTATATGTGAATACTTACAAGTATTACCATATTTACAATAACCAGTTTTATTAAAAGGAGTGCATATTGATTTATGTTCCATTATAAGGGAATATTATATTCGGTAAAAAAAAGATACCTAAATTGGTCTAGTGATGATATATAAAATATATTTTAAGAACATTTTGATACTTTTTCATAAAATAATGTTATACATACATTTTACTGATAAAAAGTAAGTTGAATAAATTGAGGGATCTTAGTATTTTGATGTAAAACAGAAACTAGAAAAAATATCTCTATTTAGCAAATTTCCATTTTACAGCATTTTAAAAAATCAAACTAAATTTAGAAAAAAGTGCATTAATACAATTAATAAGAAAAAAAAATACCTAAGCAACCAGACAATAAATACTTACGTAGTTGTTTAAAATAAACATTTTTTTTGCACCAGAAAAATAATATTTTTTTACATTTTGATCAAATTCCTTATTGTTTATCCCTCAACTGTTTATGCCATTTTACACAAACAAAGTAGTTTTAAAGTCAAAAACAAGAGGTCTTGAATATTCAAACGTAAGCTATTTTATTAAAAAATATGTTTCAGACTGTTCAATCTGCTTGCAATTTCCTAAAAATAGCTTATTAACAGAATGTAATCATGTTTTTTGCAAGAACTGTTTGACAGAAATGATAAAATTTTCAGACCGATGTCCAATATGCGCACTATTTGTCAAACATGTTTTTAATGTAAAATTAATACTTTTAAGAGAAATAAAAGATTTTATTTGCTTTAAAAAAGTAAAAACTTCTTATAATGCAGAATATTTTAGTTATCCATTTTTATCAATTTACTATGAAACTCCAGCTATATTTAAAAATACAAAATTAATTTATCAATCTGCTGACGGACAACCTTATTTTTTATGTCAACAAATTGTAAATAAACTTAATAGAAAAAAACATCTACCAGATATGATATGTGGGTTTATTAGAAATATCAAAGAAGTTGTTGTGAAAGGACAAGAAAACATTATATCACACAAAAACTATAAAAATTATTTTGATGTTATGTCTATAAATGTAACGAATAATACTAAATGTACCACTTATATTAATTCAGATCATATTTTAGAAGGTTCTGTTATATATATTGTAGAAATAATATTAAACTAAATTTCGTATTCAGATGAGTCATCAATTATTGGTTCACTTTTAAATTTATACACACCTATTCTTTTTTCATGCATCTCATGTAAATCCTGTACTAATGAATTAATACAACACACACTTTTTAAAGCACTTGTTTCGTATCCTTCGTCTATTTCCAATTCCTCAACCACATATCGACGTATTCCATAAACACTGAATGGTACAAGAAAAAGAGCGAATACAGAAAATTGCTTGTTTTTAAATATTCTGGCATATAAAATAGAAGACACATAACAGGAACATAACGAAGTAAATAAAAAATATCTTGGACTCAAAAACGGACAGAAGTAGGGAAGAGAATAAGACATAAAAAGGAGAAAAAAAAATTATAAATTATTTTAAACATAAAGGAGAAAATTTATTTTTATAATTTGTAAAAAATTCTATTTCATTAAAGATGAAAAAAATTCGTCAATTTTATTTGCATCCCATTTTACAACAGCTTTTCTGTTTGTATAAAATCCATATAATTTTGTGTAACATTTCTCTAATGATTTGTCTTTAATCTTCTTAGTTCTAAAAATATTACTTATTTCATTTTCAATATCTTCAATAGATGTAAGTTTATTACATTCAATTTTAATATTATATAACTTAAGCAAGTTATTTATTTTAAATTCTAACTTATCAATATTTTGTGTTTCGCAAATTTTTGTATCAAACTTGTTAACCATTTTACGTCCTTTGATATTTTTTATTAATTCGTTAATTTCATTTTGCAGCGTATCATTTTGCATTAATTTGTGGGTAAAATTTAAAAAAATTAAAAATACATAATAACTTAAATACAATTATCATGTAATAAGCGTGATTTTAATAATGATGTATTATTGCATTTTAATGCCAATATTAAAGATAAAATTTAGAAAATGTCATTTTGATAACCTATAAAAAATATTTTTGCAAATCAATACTTAAGAAATAAAAAAACACGAATTTAAGTGGTAGAAAAATAAATTAAAACGTAGGTAAAAGTCTTGTAAAAAACTCTAATACCACCATGACTTACCATACAAAATTTTTTCTGTAAAAAAATACAGAAAAGTTCACATTAACAAAAATCAACACAAAAAATCTTTTTTTTTGCCAAATTATTTGTGTGACTACCTAAAGAACTAATTATAAAAAAAAAATAAATAAATTTAATTACTTACTCTTTTGCATTTTTAACGCCTTAGCTTGTTCTTCTAGTTCCTTAATACGTAACTCTGCAGCCTGCTTTTTAGCAATATGCTCTTTCATAGCCACACTATTTTTAAATAAATTACCTTTAGCTCTTCTTCTAAACAACTGGTATTCCTCAGTACTAATCTTTCCTTCTTCTTTCATGCTTTTTAATTCTCTTCTCATAACTCTAATCTTTTTAATCCATAAAGTCTTCTTGTTAAGCCTGGCATTAGCAGTACCAAGCCTTTTACCCAATCCCATGTGTCTTCCTTTAGCAACAGCTTCTTTGTAAATTCTAGATCTACCTTTGGAATTGTATTTATCAAGTTTTTTAATAATAACATTATCGTCTATTAACTGACGAATTTGATCTCTAGTGCTAACTTGATTAATCTGATTTTTAGAAGATGGGTCAAGCCAAATCTTGTTTTTACCGCAATTTAATATTTTTGCTGCCATAGCACGTGCTTTCTCACTCTTGTTAACTTTTTTTTCGTTTTCCCTAAAATTATAAATTTTTCACTTACATTTTTTTGGGGCTTAAAATCAAAAAATTAAATCTTCTTGAAAAAGGTTGAATACTTGTCTAATGCCGTTCAATTTACAAAAACAAGTTTATTTTAACATATGTAGATATTGAATATTACAAGTTTAAGATATTTTTGTATAAAATGTTATACTTTTACAACACATAAGTTTATATTAAAAATGCATCAACTGCTATTAACGTTTAAAAGTCAATTAAAAGTGAAGTCTATTTATTCTGGTTCACAACCACAACTCCAAACACCTTCTACCTTTTTACAGTCCATAATGGGCTTTCCTAATCTTTTATTAACTATGTTATGTGCTTTACATAGCCACTGGACAAATTCGTCATGTGTGGCAACTTGTGGAGGATTTAAGCTTAACAGTCTTTGAAAATGTCCACAACATTCTGCACAGGGGAAAAGAGATGATAAAAGGTAAATAAATTGAAGTGTATCTTTTTTATGTTGTACTGTAGGAAATGCAGGATAAACAGCTGCCATGGTATGTAAAAGTGTCCATGTTGCTCTCCCCAATCTATCTTTAACTTCCTTATTTGTTAATTTTTGATTATGAATTAGACCTAATTCACCTACTTTTGGTGAAATAGATTGTAAAACAGATTTTCCAAGTGAGTTGTCTGCATGTGTATGCGGGAAAAAATGCTGTTTTGCTAAATAAACAATCCATACACCCAATAAGATAATAAGTCCTCTTAATACTTTCTGCTCTTTGTTCATGTTTATTTACAAATTAATTTAATATAAATAAGTTGTGAAACATGTTTCAAGATTTTTAATGTAAAATTATTTTACAATGAGAAATGTTTGGTTTTAGTTCTCCTTTAAATTAATATAAATATTATTAATCTGAAACAGAATATGATAAGTGTAAGCATTCTTGATTCTAATCTTTTAAATATAGAAAAATCTCTTACTGAGCTAAAAAATAATAATATAAATCATTTACATTTAGACATTCTTGATACTTCTCTAGTACCTAATATTTCATTTGGTCCTAATATTATTAACCAAATACTTAAATATGATTTTATATTTGATGTACACTTAATGGTAAAAGATCCTATTACTATCCTTCAACTTTTAGACTTAGAAAAAATTGATATTGTCTTTATTCATTACGAAATAAATAACATGTTACATGTAGTGGAATTTCTTGTAAAAAACAATAAAAAAATAGGACTTACAATAAGCCCTAATATTTCAGTTAAAACCATTTTCTCACTTCCTGAAAGAATCTTACAAAATGTTAATACAATTCTTATAATGACTGTACATCCAGGATTTGGAAATCAAAAATTTATAAACGAATGTGCAGAAAAAATAAAAATGATTGATAAAAAAAGATACAGTGTTGCAGTAGATGGGGGTATTTCAATAAATACAATACGAAATGTAAAAGGGTACGATAAAATTGTAATAGGATCAGCCTATTTTAAGGCAGAGAATAAAAAAGTATTTTTAAATGAGATCGAAGAAATTTTAAAGAAATAATAAAATTTTTAGTGAAAATATTAAGAAAGTGATTTTATTTATTAAACTAAAAAGGAACAGTAATCTCATATATTAGGACAAATACAATATTTAAATGCTAAAAATATAGTAAACCGCACAATTTTTTTATAAAAAAGTATAATTTATAATATAAGATTAAATTTTTAAGATAAATTAAAAAAAAATATTTTTGATTTGTAATACATTAAAAAGAATAGATTTTTAATCAATATATTAAACAGTTGTTTAAATTTACATAAATAAACATTGCTTAGCAAATTTTATAAAACATAATTGTGCTCTAAAACTAATTGTAACATTCTACAGTAAAGAATAATTAAAACAATAATTTAATGTTGTAATTGATGTATCCTGTACCATAAGAATAAAAAGTTATCCCACCATTTTCTTTTTTAAGCTGATAATTAAAATTAAAAACGTCTTTTAATAAATTTAACGTCTTTTTATTTAATTCGTCTAATTTTGACACTTGAATACAACTAACACTAGTACTTGATAAGGCTAAAAGTATAAATAATAAATTATTAAGTTTATAATCGTATATTCCTCCTCTACATATACTTTTAAAAAGAATGCGCACTGCCTCTTCTACTACCTCTTCGGGTTTATAAGTTCCTCCGTCTTTCGTAGCGTAAAATATTCCATTTTTTGATTCGCTAAACAACGTACACTGGAAACCTGGCGCTGGTCCAGAATTAGTTCTATTATAAATATTAGTAAACACTTTAAAATTGTATGAGTTGAGTAATTCGTTAGCTTTAGTTGACATATCGTGTACATATGTCGAATTAAGTCTAGCACTTATAAGAAGAGCCCTAGTTTTTTCTAGTGGTTCTAATTTATTTAAATCAATAGCTTTTAATTCTTTAACAGTACCACATGTAAAAATCACTTCCCCCTGTGCATCAGCCTGGCCGTAAAATCCTCGTTTTTTAACTACAAGATCAAGATCAGGAATACTAAAAATTTTTAACATTTTAAAATAAGCTATACGAATAATATCAATACTGTTATCTTTATCAGTTATACCAGTAAAATTAATACAAGTTTTTTTATCACTAAAAGGAAGAATAAACAAAAGACTTATTATATAATTAAATATTTCATCTGTACATTTATAATCGTATGTACCACCGACTAATATTCCTGGCACAAAAAATAGTTTATTAGATTTAACTGTATATTTTGACCCTTTTGTAAGTTTACAAAGCAGTTTACAATAAGAAATATTCTTGTCTATGTCTGTAAGAATAACCTCTACTGGTTTTTTAGTTATTAGTGCCAGTGAAAGTTTTGTATTAAATATTGATATATCGTGAAAATTAGAAGTCTCCATAAGGGAAACAAAAATAACAAATAACTTAGCTAACCGTTATATTTTTATGTTACTGCCCCATAAAAAATATAAAAAGCAAAATAAAGATAGGCCAGTTTTAAAATCATATTTTAAACAAAAAAAGACTGTTAAGTATGACTTTAATATAGACATGTCAGTTATTAAGACGCCCACAGATTTATATTGGAATAAACTAGCAGATAAAATGAAAATAGACGTAAATTCGTGTTACACTGGATTTATTAAAAAATATTTTAAACAATTTAACTTTTTATGGACTGATGAAACTGACACTAGACTTTTAAATCTAATTGATCAAAATTTGTCATGGCACGCTATTGGATTTGTACTTAATGTTAATCCTCTTGATTGTATTAGGCGATATTACCGATTAACTAATAAAAAAACGTATTGGTCGGAAGACGAAGATAGAAAGTTGTTAGAATTGGTAGATAAATTTTCACACAGATGGGTACAAATCTCTACATTTTTTAGTGATAAATCAAGAGCTCAGTGTTTACAAAGATATAAAAAATTGAGTGAAGGAATTAAAAAAGGAAAATGGTCTGCAGATGAAGACAAGCTATTAAAAAGTGCTGTAGAAAAATACATAGATAGAGGATGGAAGTATATATCACAATTTTTACCTGCAAGAAGTGATTCTCAGTGTAGAGAGAGATGGGTTAATTCTTTAAATCCTAGCCTTAAAAAAGGGAAGTGGAGTAAAGAAGAAGATGAATTGTTGTTAAGTCTAATAGGACAGCCATGGTTAGATATTTGTAAAAAAATAGAAGGAAGAACAGCTAAGCAGTGTAGAAAAAGGTATCTTAAATTAATAAAAAAGACTTAGAAGAATATTTGCAAAATATAGATAACAAATTAATTTATAAATTGTAGTTAAATGCAATTCTAGTGTTTTTAAATAATTACAAATTTCAACTAAAATATTAACCTAAAGATATTTTTAAAAAGAGAGCTCGAGTACTCTAGTTTCTTACATTTCAGCTTGTCGTTTAAAATTTTTACCCTCAGAAAACAAGATCAAAAAAAAGAAAGAGCGTAAAAAAATAAACAGAAAGTACACATTTTGTGCAATTTAAAGCAAATTGAATATCAAAATTGTTATTTTTTTGTAAAAAAGTTACTTTAAAATAACTTTTTAAATACTTCAGGTTGATTGTTTCTTTTAATTGCAAAAAGCTTTAACAAATAGCTTATATCTCTCTTATTACAATATCTAATAGACGTATTCGTCTTAACACCATTCGAGTTCCTTCTATCGTATTAGTATGAACACCTGCAGTATTGTCTACGAAATTAGTTCTATGAAAAAATATGTAGTGTAAATAAACTTCTTTATGCAAATTGCAATAATTTTTCCAACAATCTGTATAAATAAAATGCCAGGAATTGCATTATTCTTTAATTAAACTAATTAATGTTTCAAAATTTTTAATTTTAATAAGACAATACACCTTGCTAGTGGTCGTTCTACCATACTTAATACCTAAACACCTTCTACCATATAACCTTAATAGTACTTACGTTTGCCAAATTTGAATTATTTATTTCCACTATCACGCCAGGGCCACCTATTTTAATATTATCAGAAATACATTTTACTGTTTTCTTTATAATACACGCCCTACATTTTTCTTGCTTAAACATGTCAAAAAGTTTGAATCTTATTGTAGGACAGTAAAGATGTAGACATGTCAATCAGCAGTATTGGGTTGATGGCTTCAACATGTCTGTTATATAAATAATAATTATTAAACAAACTAATGTTTTATACCAACGCTTATAACTAACATTTTTAATGTCTAGGAAAATTACTTGTGTTATCTGTACCTAAGACTTTTTTGCATTAAAGAAAGGTTTATTTTTATTTAAAAAAATTCTCTTCTACATCCTCGTCTAGTACATCTCACCATGTTTAAAAACTCTTCATAAATGATAACTTATCTAAACAAAATCTACAAAAGCGTTCTTGTACAATTTTATTGAGTGTAAATGTAGAATATTTTTTACTTGTTCATGCTACGCTTTCAATTTGATTTTGTTTTTTTGGGTTAAAAAATTTTAAACGGCAAGCTGAAATGTGGTGAACTAAAGTACGCTATAACCTTAAAAAATATATTGTCATAACACTTTCATTTAGTATTTCTACCTTCTTCTTGCCAATAATTATTAATTTATAGTAGCTTATAAAATTGCTTTTTTTGATTATGAGATGATTGAACAGATACGACATATACCTTTTAAATAAAAATAAATTATTAATATTTAAATTGTCAAGTAGTTTCTAAATGATTATACACTTATTTAATGTTTATTTTTAAATGCTATTTAAGGAACGAAAGGTCTTTGTTTTTTTGTAAATATCAATAAACTTGTAAATATTAATTTTTCTATTAATTAGAACTATAAAATTTACAGTACTTAAAATGATACTAGGAAGATTGGCCATGGAAAGCCGCAAAGGGTGCTTAACTTCCATAAAAAATATCGAAGAAGTGAAGGTTGAAATGCAGAGAAAGCAAAAGATATTCAAAAAGCTAGTCGATATCGAATCCCAAGGAAAATAGAAGAAACCTTTGTAATACCCAAATAAATTAATTTTTAAAGTTTACATGAAAATATTTAACTTATTCATTACAATAAAATACATTTACAATTCTATAATGCCCCTTTACTTCCCCTAAATATGATATACAAACATAATAAACCAGTAACCTGTTTATATTCTAGTAAAGATTACACACTCTTTTTCTTTGACAAAGGCTGTGAAATATGGGGAACTGATACACGAACACTAAATCTACCGCATAAAGCTTTAGGCGTATACATAAAATCTAATATTATTTATTACTATACAGATGTAAATGTCTTTAGTACTACATTTACTGGAGATATAGTTAAACTCTGCAGTAAAGAGACATTAGATTGTATTATTTTTCTAGAAAATATTTTCTATTTAGTAAATGACAAACATGTTGTAATTTACAACTATAGGGGAGAAATGACACATTCAGTAAATTTGATACATAAAGGTGTTTGTGTAAAAGGTGTATATGAAGATGTACTATATCTGGCATTTGAAGATGGTAGTATTTGTTACATACAAAAAAATAAATTAACAGAAATAATAAAAATGGATGAAAACATAACTTCATTTGATGTACAAAACCAAATGATGTGTATAGCGTATTTTTATAAAAAAATAGCAATTTGTGACACTAAAGGAGAAAATTTTAAATACACAGAAATTTCTTTTACACCCAAAATTATAAAATTCTGGAAAGAGCACATTACAGTGCTAGATGAAGAAAATAACTTCTTTTTGTTAAATCAAAATCTTAAAATTTTATACTGCGAAAATTACGAAAACAAGCTTAGTTTTTTTGAAGTACAAAAAGATAAATTATTTTTAGTAATGAAAAGTGGTACAGTTATTTCTACTGATAATATTACAGAATACATTTAAAATATCAAATAATACATTAAAATAAAATTATTTTAATAATTTATCTGCCTCTAATTTTTCAGCCTTTTGTCTTGCAAGATCTAAAAAATACTGTTTCTTCTTTTCTTTAAGACCTTTTATTTTCTCTCGTAAAATTTTGGCTTTCATTAATTTTTCTTTTCTCATTTCTTTCTGTTTTTCAAGTGAAAAAATTGCTGTTTTAGGTTTCTTTTTTTCATTTTTCCAAGATTTCTTTAATTTTGAAGCCATTTTAAGGGTAAAATTTTTTATTTTTTTTTACCCTTAAAATGTCATCTGATGAACAAGAAACTAGACCGTATACAAGTGATCCACAAGAATTACAGCATATTATTCGTATTTTTAATACTAATGTAGATGGTACTAAAAGAGTAGTACATGCTTTATGTGCTATAACTGGTATTGGAAAAAGAATGGCCACTGCTATTTGTAAGAGAACAGGTGTCGATGTTTTAAGAAGAGCTGGTGATTTAAACCAAGATGAATTAGAAAAGATTCAGAATGCTATTAATGATCCTAGTAGTGTAGGAATACCTTATTCATTTTACAATTATAAGAAAAATCCTGTTGATGGTACAAATACTCATTTAGTGAGTACAAGAATGGATGCTGAATACAGAATGATGCTTGAAAAAGGAAAGAAAATAAGACATGTGAGATTATGCAGAGTAGCATGTGGCTTAAAGGTTCATGGACAGAGATCTAAATCTAATGGAAGACACATTAGAGCAGGTATGATTTTCCGTAGAAAATAAATTATTATTTTGAATTTTATTTTCTATTGGTTTTATGCTGATAAATATTTTTTATGTTTCAAATAAATATTTTAAGTTTTTGACCCCTAAAAATAAAATGTCAACGATTATAAAAATAAAGTCTTATTTACAAAAATGTACAGACTGTGGTGAAACACAAAATATTATAGAAGACTATAGAAATGGTTATAATGTTTGTGGTAGATGTGGATGTGTTGTCGGGAATCGTATTATAGATGAATCAAGTGAATGGAGATCTTTCTCTGACAGCAATAAGGCTGATCCTTGTCGCACAGGAAGCGTTAGTAATCCATTTTTGGATACTGAACAACTCGATACAATGATTTCTTCTGTTCCCGGCACATCTTCTTACAATTTACAAAAAATACAATTAAAGACTGCGATGCGTGGACCAGAAAGATCTTTAAAACATGGTATTAACTTAATAACCGCTTTTTGTGAAAGAGCGAATATTACTAAGACGGTTATTGACAGAGCATGTCTTATTTTTAAAATTGTTGATGACAAAAAACTTCTTAAAGGTAAGAATATTGAAGGAGTAGTAGGTGCATGTATATACATTGCTTGTAGATTAGAAAACTGTCCTAGAACTTTTAAAGAAGTTAGTCTTATTACTTCTGTACAGAAAAAGGAAATAGGTAAAAGTTTTAAGTTAATAAGTCCACATGTTGAAAATTTAACAGTTGTGTCTACAAAAGACATTGTAGCAAGATTTTGTTCAGATCTTAGGCTTAATATTAAAATACAAAGATTGGCTTTTGCAATTTCAGCCAAAGTTCAAGAAGCTGGTATTTTAGCCGGTAAAAGCCCTGATTCTATTGCTGCTGCTATAATTTACATGGTGACTTATTTGGTCCCTGAAGGTAGGAAAGTGCAGAAAGACATACAATATGTTACAAATGTAACTGAGGTGACAATAAAGAACACTTATAAAGAATTGGCCATCTTTAAAAATGTAATTATTCCTACAGATATTGTTTCACAGGAGGCTATTGATAATCTACCGAATAATTAATTAAACGAACCAAGGTTTTAAATTTTTTAAAATACATTCTTTCTTTTTACTTTTAATTTACTGATAAATTAATTTTTTACAAATAAATATAATTTTAAGTTATTTTTGATGACAAACTAAAACACATAACAAAATCCCACGAAATTTATTTTAATCAAAAATAGAAGCTATACAGCACCAGCAAAAAATACAGAATCTAGTTAAAAAGCCATCTTTGTTTTTGAGACTATCTTGTTCACTGCCAGGTTGATTATCCGGGTCATTCATTTCTATTGACGTTACTCCATTACCTAAATTAGAATTGGGTTGCCTATCTTTTACTTGTTGTCCATCGTTAGTTAATGGTTGAAGCTCAATACTATCTCTACTTGTATTATTGCCCGTTTTATTATCCAGGTTACTGGATTCGCTCGAAAACTGATTTAATCCTTCTCCTTGATTCTTAAAAAATTGTCTTTTTCCGGTAAAAATATCCGAAGATGTACTAGGTCTATTTGGAAATCCTGTTGTTACAACAAAATTAATTACAATTAGAAAAATCATGTGGGTGATTATTTAAAAATTTTTAAATAACCTTTTTTGAATTTAAAATATTCAAAAAAGGTAATATTTTTGTAAATTAGCAATGTATTATAATTACTATAGTTAAAAAAATTAGATCTTTATAGTTATATTTATTTTATTAACTAAAGAAATTTACTATAATAACTTGATTATACAGCAACGTCATTGTATTTTAAATGACTAGATTTAAGTATTAAAGAAGATTATTTTTTACTTATTTAAAATAACACTCCTTATAAAAGATAACTTTATAAATATTTTTTTATAAAATATCCATAAGAGGAAATTTAAAGAAGAGAATGAAATTAAAAGATGACGTGCAAGTTTGCATAAACATTAAAATAAAGCTAAATATAAAGAATTTTTTTCGAAGAATACAAGGTATTACTTATACATAACACTTTATGAAATTTCATATTTTTAACCTTTAAAAGTAAATTGATTTAATAGCAGCTTAAAAATTTTACTAAATTTTTTATGTAAATTAAATGAAACTTAATATTAGTAAATAACAAAAAAGTCAATTTAATAATTTTATTTGAAGCTTTCAAAATAAAAATGTAGTGTTTTTGTACACTTTTATTTAAATAAGCAGATTTAAAGATACAAAAAATACTATAAATATAAATTGTATTTTATACATAGTATTTATATGTTAAAAAGTTCATGTAAGTATTGGCTGTATAATATGTTAATAATCTAAATTAAGATTTTAAACTTTTTGCAATAAAAATTCAAAAAATTTTAACAGATAATCAAATTCTAACGTGTAGTTTATATTGTAGTAAAATGAAATATCATGATACAACAAAGATAATATATTATTTTATTTATTAAAGGTATTAGTTTCTTCCTCACAATGGTTCTTTGCTTTCGTATCAATCTAACCCATTTTTTTAATGACTTCCGTTCCTCTTGTCTTCATCAAATATCAATTTTGTTTTTAAGTCTAGCAAAACGCTCTTAAGGGTCACTGATCGTCGTATGATTAGATTAAATATAATATTTCCAGTTTCTTTATATATTTTGCGTAATTTTATCACTATCTTTTTTATGTTATAACATGTGAAATTTTTCATGTTTTATCCAATTCATTAATTAACAAATTGTATTCTCGGTCTTAACTTTTTAAAGGCTTTTTAAAGATGTGACACCCATTTTAACCAACAAGGATAGCATAAATAGACATTTAATTAAATATTTATTTTCTAAAAATAATAAACTTTTGTAAAATATCTTATTTTTTACTTTTTTAAATTCTGCACATTATAATTCTTTAAAAATAAGATTTAGTGTTAAAATAATAAATAACATTTTATAAGCAAATAATACCATTTAATTAATACATTTCTATATCATGTTTTTTATAAATATCATCAACAATATATCTAATCTCTTCATTATCTCTACAATCTTTATAAATACTTAATAACCACTGTCTTATAGCATTAATGTCCCATATATTTTTAAAATATAATAAACTTATTGCATAAATTTGGAGTTCCTTATCCCCCACATTTATGCATTTCGGGTTAAAATACAATCCTCCTGTCATTAAATTTCTAATATTAATTTTTAAAAGAAGATTTTTATCTTCATAATCATCAATAAGTCTAACAATTGCATCAATATTATTCAATCTTAGTAAAGTAGTAAGACATTGCCTATATATCAATTTATTAGTGCATGAACCGGTAATTTCTTCTTTTATTATTTTTATAATTTTACTTTCTTCATCATTTGTTAGTTTATCATCAATTTTCATAAATAAAAATATTTTTTCGTAATCAGTTGCACGGGAATACTTTCTAATAAATAAATCGGTATTCTGCACATCATAAGTGCATAAAATAGACTCATTTTTAATATCCAAATTAACCCCAGTTATTAATTTATAATATCCTAATAAATCATTAATAAAAGTTGTATTAGAATTATAGTAGTCATTTACTACAAATTTAATAAGTGAATCAATATTATTTCCGACTAATAGACGGGTCTTTAAATATGTTAAATATTCTAAAATATTAGAATCATCTAATTTATATTCTTTATCCGTTAAGTATTTACTAGGAACAGGTTTAGATACAAAATTATATGATTTTTCATTTTCACTTTCAAATGATGCGATATTAATTATTTTATGACTTAAAATCCAGAACACAGAAGAATCTGGTACTTCTAGTAATAAAAGGCCTTCTTCATAACTCATTTCAATATTTCTATCAAAACTTATCATTTTTTTATAAATTCTAAATATAGAAGGATAGTACAAATTATTATTAGTTAAAAAAAGATTAAACCATTTTTCATTGCTTTTTATAAATTTAACAGTATTACTTGTCATACATTCTTCAATAAACTTTAAACCTTCTTCTATATTATCAATTAACCTTTCTAAAAATTTATCATTCATGTACCGTCCAAAATCTTTAAAAAGCCTGGCATATTCAAAAAACTTGTAATTTTCTGTTGACATTATAACATTGACTAGTAAAATATCATCTAGTGTTACTTTTTTAGTAATTTGAAAGTTTATCAATAAATTAATAAAATCTGTATTTTTTAGTGCTGCACGGCGAATGTAATTAGAATTTAAAAGTAAACTACCAGAAATATCTACATTGGTTTTTTCAAATATTTCAAAACATGCTGATAATATTTTCGGATCTTCAGATCTAAGAGAGTAAATTGCTAAATCTGTTGCTAATTCTTTATTTATGTACCACAAAAATTTAATTAGCGTAGCACTAAGAGTCATGTTATTTATTATATTTTCTTTTGTAAAAAAATTTTTACTTTTAAAAAAATCTGTAATATTAAGAAATGTCTCCTTATCATTGCAATAATAAATTAAATACTCATAAATTATTTCATTATGTTTATTAGTACACAAACTAAATTTCATTAATGGATCACAAAACATCATACAAGTAATTTTTATCATTTCACTATTATTTTTATGTAAAATTTTTACTACTACTTCTAAAAGAAAAAATAAATATTTTTCATCTCTAGGATCTACTTCTTGTTTTTCTGTTTCCATATTAAAAATAAGCTTATTAATGCCATTGTACATGTCTACATATACATCATGTTCCTGTAAAATTTTATAAGCTAAAAATGCTGTTTCCTCATTAATAATTAAAGAATACAGAAGCATCATATATTCATTGCTAAATATTCCATCAAAAGGTGGTTTAATTAAACCCGGGAAATATAAAAAATTAACCTCATAAAAAATAAGATATACAAAATCTATACTTTTGGTGGTAAGTTTTACTTTGCTATCATAATATAAATTAGGACTTATTTTCAACTTTTCAATAAATCTATCATTCTGATTGTATTTTTCTTCTGTAAGTGAATTATATAAATTAATTAAAATTTTAGCTTTTAATTCTTCAGGAAGATCTTTTTTATAAATCTTCACCACATCATACAAAACAGAAAATGATGAAAATTTACTTAAATTTTCCAAGTCATAAGACCTAAATGTATCAAATTTAAAAGTTAAAGCTATGCAAATATTTCTAAAATCAGGAATATCTTCCTTAGAAATAAATCTTTTTATTTGTGGAAAATCGTCAATGTTCCCACAATAAAATAATATTTTAATGCATAAAATCCATATTTTTTTTAATAAATCTTCCAACTGAAGACAAAAATCTACATTGATTTCAGGAATATCCTTAATTATTAAATCTGCAATAGTATTCAGTAATTTTTTATCCTTGATAATTAATCCATTGTCAATAATAGTAAAAATAAGTCCTAGTACCTCTTTCTTAAATTCATAATCTGCTATAACATCATTTTTATTATGAATGTTTATTAAAGAAATATCATTTATATTTAAAAAGTCCGATAATGTATGAAGATCTTGGTAGTAAGTAGTGTCTGTATTTTTGTAAATGTTTGTTTTTACTTCATTGAATTTTTTAATAACTTCCATGAATTTATGGGCATAAAAAATAAGAAAATTTTAGGTTAAGAAATTCAAAAGTTTAATGATGCACAAAAAGAAATATTTTAGATGATAATAAGTTTTAGAACAATTCTGTTTTCAGAAGACAATGAACTATTTCTCATACAAATTTATCATAAAACAACTAAAAATAGAAGACTACATTTTTCCATAGAAAACAATAAACTACTTCTTGTACAAATTTATCAACTAAATTTTTTATAAAAATAACTAAAAATAGAAAACTACATTTTTTCATAGAAAACAATAAACTACTTCTTGTACAAATATCTAAAGAATAATATTAAAAAAACACTTATTGGAATTCCAACTGAAATATACAATATTACTTCATTACAAGTTATTGTAGTTACATCTAAATTGATATTTTGAGGTACTAAACACTGTTTAGTTTCTGTTAAATTAACAAAACTGTCATTAAACATACAACCAGTGTCTTTTAGTGTAAATAAAATATTATCATCTAAAATTCCTAAAATATGTAAATCAGATTTAGTACTTAAATTAAAACGCAATACTGTTACAGTTTGATTATTTGGGTATTTATACTCTTCTAATATATTTTTCGATGAATCACATTTATAATAATTTACAGTAAACAATGTAACATCCTCCTGTTTTACAGGAAAATCATTAACGATTTTTACAGAGAATAATTTTGTAATTTCGTAATTAAAAGAATAAAACGCCACTTCTACACTCAAAATGTCATCTGTTTGTTTTTTATAGATAGTATTAAAAGTGTTAGCCAGTAGCAAAAAATAAAAAATCATACAAAAGGGTTTACAGAAAACTAAAAACATCAATAAAATAAAAGATGCTTTGTTTGTTTAATCATTAACAATTTGTACAATATTTTCTTCAACTAAATTAATATGATTAACCTCTATTTTCCACAAACTTACTCCTTTAACTTTTAATATACTGCCGATTTTAATGTCATGTTCAATTACAAGCTTGTACATGCAGGAGCAGCCTATACATCCAGTTTCGTCTATTAATTCGATATAGCAAATTTCACTAGAATATTTCTCTATTTTTTTTACAAGTGCAACAACCATTTGATGTATTTTGTACTCCTTAAATTCTAAAATTTCTGATACAGTTATTTCTCCACTAAGGCATTTTAACCTTTTAAAATCTAATTTCATAATTGTAAATGGAGTTACGGCAGAAGAATCTCCTTCAGATGTAGAAGGAAGTTCCAAAATGGTACTATCATCTTCTTTATTATTAGTTTCCTTTTTTCGTTCTGAATTGGAATTTTGTACTTTTTGTGTTGATTTTCTTAATTGAGAAAGAATATTATCCATTTATGCTTTATGGATAAAAAAAATATTTATAAAATCACTGAAAAGATGTGAAAAAAAAAAGATTATTATATTTTCTTAAAATTTAAAAATAACAGTAAATATCACATTCAATATTTTATATAAAAAATTAATAAATTTATTTAAATATAGACAGTTGTTGTTTTTCATATGTAGACTGTACCATGCCTTTACTACTTCTACAAGTCCAAATTAAATATAAAAGTAAAAATTTGATTTTTTTTTATCAAAAAAAGAAAGTGCCATTTAATTAATAACCCTAAAGTAATGGATAGTGTTAAGGGTGCGCTTTTAAAACAAAAAGAGGTACTGCTTAAACTATTAATTGAAAAAGATTATAAAAATCTCTGCAAAAAACTTAATAGTATTTGTATTCTTTTTTGTTTACCACGGACAAAATATGACAGAACATTTTTTACGCCTTACAATGAAGGAATATTTGATACACAAGGATATGTAAATTATTCTGTAATAACAACACAATCTAAAGGGATTACATATCGATACATAGCCGCATCAAAACCGCGTAAATCAAATGTACAATCATTTAAAAGACTGTTTAGACATTCTGATATTATTATTTCTTGTATTAAAGATATTAATTATGTAGACTGTCCTATTAAATCTGTACCAATAAAATTAAACAATAAAATAATTTTTTATGACGAGATCTATGAGGACTGTAGAATTTTAAGATTTGAGAATTGGAAAGATCACGATGTTTTAGATGTCGATGAAATCAAATTGTTTTATAAATATTATAAAAATCTAAATATATCTAACCCTCTTATACATTGTTTAGCAGGTGTTGGTAGAACAGGTTTTATAATAATGTATGATATTTTGTACTGTAGAAAAGTCAGAGTAGAAGAATTTTTAGATATTTTAATTGATCTAAGATCTCAAAGAAATGGACTTGTATATTCTGAGAAACAAATGAAATTTCTTGCAGAGACATTTATTGATGAAAGGCAATGAGGAGATGAATTATCAAAAGTTATAAATTTTTTTATTTTTAAGAATTTCTTTTATTTTAATAAACTAAGTCTTGCATATGAGACATATTTAGAAAAAACAATTCTTTTACATATAAATTTTTATAAACCAACTCTTAAATTAAAGGGCTTTTTTTATTTAAACTGCTTGTTGACATAAGATATTATAAATATATTTATCTACCCTTGTTTTATTTGATATAAAACACTTCTAATGTTCAAAATGTTTGTTTATACAACTATCATAATATTTTAATAATCTATCTTTAATTTATAATATTTTGATAATACGAGAGTAGTCTAATAATAAATGTTTTAAATTCTTTTAAAAAAATAATACTTGTCTTCTACTTTTTGAATTTTTTTTATTTTAAATGAAGCATAAATTTATAGAAAATTTCTTAAACCATAAAATTTTACATGTTACCGCCAAAAAGAAAAAAAAATGTTAAAATAGACAGCACAGAAAAATTTGAAGTTATTGATACTGAAGATCTTGATCCATTATATCTTGATGAATTTACACTACCACCTATTGATTCTGGTATGGAAGCAGAAGAAGAAAAAGAAGTTCATCTTAAAAAAATTATAGAACAAAAAACTGGTGAAATTCCAGTTCCAGTAATTTTTGAAACTGAGAATCTTTTTGTAAAAAAATACATACATCCAGAAACATATGTGAAATATCATAAAGATGTTAATATTGAATATTGCAAATCTGAAGAAGACAAAAATCTAATGTTAAGTTATAATATAAATGAAGAAGAATACAATTTAATTATACAACACATTAAAAAAGAAATTGATGGAAGTAAAAGAGTATCAAGTGAAGATAATATTTTATATGAAAATGAAGTCTATAAAACAGTTTATGATGCTATAAAATATAAGTTTTTACTACGTGAGGATTTAAATGAATCATCTTCTTATGTTTGCTTTAGAAAAAGAATTATTAAGCCTAGTAGAAAAAATAGAAGAAGTGAGACACAAGCAAAAGAAAAAATAAGTCGATTATATACTGAATTTAATTTAATTCAAACAATGTGTGATTTAAGTAAAAAGAAACATGAGATAGATAATGAAATACTTAAAAATGATCTAGAAATTATTAACAAAGTTAATGAAATAACTTTCAAATATGAAAACACTAAAAATAAAATTCGTAATGTTTTAAACTGTAAAGAAATAACGAAGAAGAATTTTGTTCTACAAGGAGATATCTTTCATAATATTTTGTATAATAGAGACAATATTAAAGCGCTAAAACGTAAGTTAAACAGTAAGTTGACATTCAATGATGAAGATATAAAAAAAGAGTGGATAGCTTATCAAAAATACAAAAGTGATGAATTGTAAAAATATTTATATTTATTTTTACAAATAATCGTTCCAATTTTTTTTATTTGTATAACAATTATTTCCTTTTACGTAATTTTTTATAATTTCTACTATTTCTCCATCTAAAAATCTTGTATTTAGTGTTTTTTCATAAATAAGTTTAAGTAATTCTTTTGTATTTTTTTTATAAAATTCTAAACGGCGACTAAGTGCGCCTATTCGCATAATATTATATTCCTCTTTTTTTTCTAATATGGTGTGTTTCTTTTTGTGTCTATAGTATACACTCATACTACTAAAATCTATATTGCAAATCTTACAGCACCAAACTTTTTCACCACTTGAATTTTTATTTAAATTTGGAACATGTGTTCTACAATGCGAATATACACCTCCTTTCGAAACATTAACTTCATTATATTTCTGGCATCCTATCCACATACATTTATATTCTGTCTGGTCTTTAAGATGATTAAGTTTTATGTGATTAAACATATCATCAATATTCGTTTCTCTGCATCCATCCCATTTACATTCATATCCATTGTCTATACTTGATTTGTTTTTTAAACTGTCTAGACTTGGTTCTGAGTTATTATTTTTACCCGACCTGACATTTTGATAATTTACAGAAGTTTGATTATACAAAAGAGTATCATCTTCTTTATTGTTATCCATAAGGGGTATTTTAAACTCTTTAAGAATAAATAAATTAACATATATTTTTTTTTTCACTTAACAAATTTACCCCCAAAAATGAGAAGGGGATTAAAAAAAATACAAGTTCATCATAAAGTAACAAAAATTGACATTCCAAAAATTATGCCTAAATACAGAAAAAATGTTGCTAGAATTCAAGAGAAAAAATTTGCAAAAGATCTTGTTCGAGAGATTAGTGGATTTGCACCATATGAAAGTAAAGCTATCAGCATTTTAAAGTTAAAAGATATAGCTAGGGCTACAATATTTTTAAAGAGACGTTTGGGATCTAATAAGCGTGCTTTAAAAAAAATGAAAGAATTACAGGCAGTTGCTAATGAATAAAATTTTTTTGATTTATGCTTTTTTAAATATTTTTATAACAAGATCATAAATTTGTTGATTTTTCTAAATTTAAATTAGTATAAAATTTAATTTTGCAAAACATAAGAATATTGCAATTACAAAAAATAATTAATTTTATACATTTAATAGTAATATTATGATAATTAATATAGTGAGATGTACAATAATTAAAAAAATAAATTAATTTAATTCTGCTAGATACTGATCTAACACATTTATAATTTTAGCTGTTATGGGCTTCATTTTCATATTGTCAAACGTAAAAATAAGTGCCAACTTGATAGATGTTATTAACATACCTCTTTTTTTATTATTTTTATCAAAATCAAAAGATACAAATATATAAACCAGGGGCTTTCCTTGTTGTTCAATACATCTAACGAAAATGTATTTTAAACCATCATACACAATACTTCGAGCAGGCTCAGTTAACATTGATTTAATAAGTTTATTAATTATAGCATATTGTTCGTGATTTGTACCTGCTGTTCCTTTTTTAAGTGCTGATTTAGTATCATCTAATATCTCAATAGACACATCAATATCTTTTAAATCTTCTATTAGACTACCAAAATCGTATTCAGCTTCGGTAGACGCCATTTAAGGGTATAAATTTATAATTACTTAATCCTAAAGGTTATATAGAAGTTTCAAATATTTATTCTAGAAATTGTTTAAATCTGAACCTTTGAACTAAAGATGATAAGTACATAAATTTATATATATTTTAAAGGGTTTTAGAATAGTAGCTATTATAATTTTTATGAATATAAATTGACATTTTTTGTTTTAACGAAAAAATAAAAGATATAAGCTATCTAAACTTTATTAATTTTATATAAAATAAATAGTATGGAGTAGAACGATTTTGTAATCAGCGCTTAAGAAATCGTAGGTAATATCTAATAAAAAGAATTATTTGTATATTATAGGTACGATATATTTGATCAACAAAATTAAGCTTTTAAAGTAATACTGAACTTTTCACACTGATTTTTTTTAGAGTTAGTAGATTAAGTCCTTTTTATATTTTAAGAAATCATCATAAAAATTAAAAAAGTGTTACAAATAATTTGTAAGAGCTGGATTTATTTAAACATATCAGTAGATTCTGATACAAACCAAAAATTTATAATGTCAAAATATTTAATACATTTTTAATAAAATTTTGCCTATATTATTTGTATCTTCTAACTTTGGTAAAATATTGAAATAAGATTTTCTATTTTTTCTATTTTATCTTCATTTTCATTGACCTCCGGCTTAATGCTATATATTTTACAATAAGGCCTTTCTGAATACATACTTTTGCGTTTTATTAAATTTTCTAGCATTAAAATATAACTATAACTTTTATATCTTAAAACGTTCTCGTGATTACTTTGCGGGAAATTATCAATGTCAAGAATTATAGATTTAAGTGAAATAAATGATTTTGTAACATGTGATAAAGGCATTAAACTATCAATAATTTTATCCAACAAATAATAAATACACACCAAAGTTAGAGTCTCTCCTTCATTGAGTTTAGAAATGACTATATAGATCATAGAAAAATGAATGAGAGCATCATTAATATAACTACTTTCTATAGAATGTAGTAATGAGAATGTGTAGAATAATAAATTATATAATTCTCGTGAATGATGTCTGTAGTAAATTATTGAAGTAAATTTCTCTCTAAGATTTAATAAAAAGCATGTAACTTTAGTAGTAGAAGATATATAACTATCTTGGATTGTATTTGTTGTTGTTAAATATTTATTCTTACAAATATAAAATAGATATGAATATTTAGGAATCCTAAGTTCTACACTATTCCAATATAACAAATTATTAATGCTTTCCAAATAACATTTAAACACTTTTTTATATGAAGTCATACCATCATACTTTTTCACAATTAAATTAATATCATAATATAAACTATAGTAATATACTTCTATATGAAATCTGTTTGGTCTTATCATGTCCTTATATACATCTTTTACATCTTTATCTAATAAACCCTGTGTCGTAAGCTTTAATCTATATATTATGGAATGATAAAATACATTAACTTTACTATCTAGGGAGTTAATGTTACTATTTGATAAAGACGATACTATAAATAAAAAATAGAAAAAAAACATAGCTTAGGGTTTAAAAGATTTATTTAAAAACCTCTATGGCAAAATAAAAATAATAAATTAAAAATTATGAGTAAGTCTTTAAAATAAAGAAAAACAATTTTAATAAATCATTATTTTATTATGCATATAAATTAAAAATTTCTCAAAAATTATTAAGTTTAAATTAATTTAAAAAATTAATTATGTATGTGTCGAATAAAGGAATTATTAACGAGTTAAAAGAAAAAAATGTTTTTTAATAAAAAATATCAAATCTTTTAGTAAGATTGCACAAAATTGTATAAACAATATTTTAAGTGATAAAATAAATTTACATATTAATTTTATAATTGGGGTATTCGCGAGGAATGTGGCCAGTGGTGAGGTACCTCTCTATAATGCCACTGTTTTGCCTTCTGTTTCATCCGGCCTCTTAAATAAAAGTTGTTTTTATTGTAAATTATTTATTTTTGTATTTCTTGCTCTCACTTTCTAAGATATTTCTTTTTAATATAATTTATTAGAATTTTCTTATTTAAAATTTTTTATAAAATATCATAATTAATAAAAACTTAATAATAATTGTCATAAAGAAAGCGACCAATTATTATACTTAAAAAGTTGTGATCAGAGGTTTCGTCACAAATTGCCTTTAACAATTGGTTATTAAAAAATGCATGTGGTTATTGACGACAATATCAAATAATTAATATTTGATAACTTAAATGATTATAGTCAAAACGAAAACAATGCTCATAGAGAAAGCTAAAAACGATAATTAAAATTTTCTAGCTTTTATTTGCTTCTTCATCTTTCTTTAAAATGTATTTTTAAATAAGTCTTTTCCATCTTTTATAATCTAAATCACACTTTTTTTTATTTTATAAAAATAAATTTTAAAAAATCACTTTTTAATTATTTATAGAGCAAAAAAATAAAAGAATTATTTAGTAGGTTACTACAAAACATTAAAAATTAGACAAATTTATTTACATTACAGGCCAATACATATATATCAACAAGATATACCTGCATTAAAAAATATGTGCATTTAGAAAATTCTTATAAATTAAATAATTAAAAATAAGAGCACAATTTTAAAATTTTTTAATTTTATATAATCTGAATATAATTCATTTTAAAAAAAAACTTAATAAACTGAACTATTTAAATTATATTACTTGGCAATTTAAGCTTATTTAAAATAATTTTTAATTAAACAATTCGATCAATATTAATTAATTAAATGAAAAATTAGATCATTTAATTATTTTTGTGGTAGAAATTAATTTTTCTTTTTAGTGCACAAAATTTTTGAATAATATTTTAAATATTTATTTTTAAATGAAAATATAAGTTTTAATTAAGTAAATTGTTTTTTAAAGTATTTATAAATTTAATACTACATTTGGCAAGTTTTTTAAAAAGAAATAATTTTTTTTAAAAATAAAAGTTAAATTTTAAGAATTAATTTTAAAATTTATCATTCTTTTAGCCTTTTTTAATTCTCAAAATTTAAGAAAATCTTGCGTTAAGTATTGTTGTTTAAACTATGACGCGAATTTTTAAATTATTGGTCAGAAAAAAAACATACAGAATTTTTATGTAATATTTTACATTTTTTTAAATAATTTTGTATATTGTTAATATTTTTAAAATTTGCCCCTAATGTATTCTTCAAGTTCATCTAATTTTTCTTTAATTACAACATATATATCTTATTTACTACTCATATTTATTGGATATATTAACGATTTAGCTAATAAACTATTTAGATATAAAAAATGCAACGAAATTCCTATTTTAAGCGATCTACAATCTTTTTATTGTAGAAATTGTGAGAAAAGAATTCTTGATTGTGTAAACTTTCCAATAAAAGGAAAACCAGGACGTTTAATTAATGTAGTAGAGCGTAAAGTATTTAAAAGATCCGAAGAATTGCAACTTACAGGAAAAATAATGCCTTTAATTAATTTTGGATCTTATAACTATCTGGGTTTTGGTGTAACATCACCCAAACTTTTAAAAAAACTGCACCAGGCAATAGATAATAATCCTATAAATATAGCCGCATGCCCAAGAGATATTGGTAGACACAAACTTTTGAGAAAATTGGAGAAATCAATGGCTGATTTTTTACATAAAGAAGCTTGTATTGTATTTCCTATGGGATATGGCACCAATACTTCAAATATACCTTGTTTATTAAACGAAGGTACGCTTGTGTACAGCGATATTTTAAATCATGCGTCTATTATTACTGGTTTGAAAATGGGAAAAGCCACTGTTAAAACATTCAAACACAACGATATGGAAGATTTAGAGAAAAGGCTTGTATATGATATATCACAAGGACAACCTATTACCCATAGATCATGGAGAAAAATAATCGTAATCGTAGAAGGAATATATTCAATGGAAGGTACGATATTAAAACTGCCAGAATTGGTAGCTCTGAAAAAAAAATATAAATTTTACATTTTTATTGATGAAGCACATTCAATAGGTGCATTAGGAAAAACAGGTAGAGGTGTTTGTGAGCACCATAATGTAGACTTTGGTGATGTAGATATTTTAATGGGAACTTTTACAAAAAGTTTTGCAGGAATGGGCGGGTATATAGCCGCGTCTAAGAAAATCGTTGATCATTTCAGAATTTATAGCGATTTTACGCGTTTTGGCGAACAAATGACGCCTGTTGTTGCAACACAAATACTAGAATGTTTAAAAATTATTAAAGATACTAAAATAGGAACCAATAAACTAAAAAGACTTCATCGGAATGTTAATCTTATGAGAAATGGACTCAATAAAATAGGGTTATTTGTATTGGGGGATGATTCATCTCCAGTAATTCCAATAATAATTTCTCATCCTGCCAAACTTTGCGAATTATCAAGATTATGTCGCGAAGAAGGTATTGGTGTTGTTATAGTTGGTTATCCTGGCGCACCAATTTTATATGGGCGAGTAAGGTTATGTATGTCAAGTTCACATAGTAAAAAGGATATTGAAAGAACTCTAGATGTTTTAGAAAAGGCAAGTAAACTCTTAGGCTTTCGTGTAAATAATAAATAGCATATTGTTTATATTTTTTGTCTAAAATATCCCCATGAAAATAATTTCGTTTAACGTTAATGGAATCAAATCTTTTGATAAGTTCATTAAGCAAAATTATAATCTTTCTTTCAATGATTATTTATTAAAAATTATGAAAGCTGATATTTTGTGTTTGCAAGAAATTAAATGTACAAAAAAAGACATGGAAGAGTTCAGCACACTAAAAGATTTTATTACGCTAACAAATTTTAATCAAAAAACCAATGGTATTTATGGAGTTAGCACATTCGTCTCTAAAAGACTGTATTGTAGAAGACATAATATTTCTGTACCGTATTCTGAATATGGAAGGTCATTGCTTACAGATCATAAGAATTTTAAAATTTTAAATTTATACTGTCCTTTTTACGATCCAAATGGAAACAAAACCAAAGAGTCAGTTATTAAGTTTTATCGTGACATTTACAATTTTATCAGTAAATATGATGATTTAATAGTTTTAGGAGATTTTAACGCTACTTATAGCATCTTTGATCATTATATTTATTATAACGAATTTAAGAAAAATTATAATCGTAAAAATAAAGGCCAGGACTACGTTTTAGAAATTTTAGAAACATATTCTAACGACTTTAAAAATCAGACTACGCTTAAAAATTACAAAAAATTGTGCGACTCGCAAAATTTTACAGAAGACGAAGTTGATATAAATATAAAAAATAACAATACAATGCTGTCACAACTATTTGGCAAAAATATTTTATTATTTATGTATTCTTATAAAACCAACTATCTAAATTACATTTATTCGTCTATTAATAATTTACAAAATGCCACATTTTCTTTCTCCAGAGAATCTTATAATTGTGATGTTGATTATAGTATTGATTTAATGGAAAAGACATCATGTTCATTGACGGAATTGCCTTATCTCGTTGAAAATAATGCAACATTGTTGTTACTTTTTTACAGCACGTTTCAACGCAAATGGATGTTAAAATTTATACTTGAACTATCGCACATAGATGCATTTAGACTTTTTCATACAGGATATGAAAAATACACGTGTTGGAATATACAATTAAATTTACGTCCGCGCAATTTAGGAAGTCGTATTGACTATATTTTGATTCCAATAAAATTTTATAACAGAATCATGTTTTCAGATATAGAAAATCATGTATATGGCAGCGATCATTGTCCTGTGTATGTAAACTTAAATTTAGAAACTGTTGATGACAAAGATAACATTTGTAAATCTAAAAACAACTTGTTAGGATTTTTAAAAAGATATTAAAAAACATTTAATGTCCAAAAATAGCTAGCAGTTTTCGATACCCTAAATAAATATACATTTCAGGTTTAGACATACTAGATTGAATAAAACTTTTTTTTGCTTTTTTCTTTTTTTTCGTAGGTTCCGCATCAATTTCTGTTGTTGTCAAATTGCAGTATTTAGCAAATCGGTAGCAGTAATAAACAAAATCAACACATAATAGTAAAGCCAAAATAGAAGCAAATATCATTAATCGAGAATTTTTGTAATTATTTGAATTATCAAACATTAACCAAGGACTGTTAAGTATTTCTTCGTAAGCATCTTTATTTTTCTTTAGAATATCGTAGCAAGCAGTAACTAAATTTTTATAATCCTTAAGGGGCAGATGAAATCGAGGCGGTGTTTCTTTAGCAGTAATTAATTTTACAAATTTTTTTTGTATATCATCTACAGGCGTAAAGCTGTAAATATCAAACACTTCGTATAAAGTCTTAAAATCTGTATCCCTATGTAACCTTTTTATAACCTCTTGTATTGTTTGGTATTCTTTAGATAAAGCAAATACACAATAAATAAAAAAAAACAATACAAACATTTTAAGGGATAAAAATTATCACCCATGGAACAAAAAAATGAAAATTTTGATAAATTAACACTAGACGCATTTGTTGACGATGAAGTAATTAACTTTAAATTTGATGATGTTATTATAAATGATAAAAATTAAATATATTTTTAAATCTATTCGTGTGTATATTCACTCGCTATACCACTTTTTCCTTCATATATTTCTAAATCGTCATCATCTTTACTCGAAAATTCTACTCCAAAGAAATCACTATCTAAAATTAGCTTGCCTGCTCCTTGATATATACAAATATCCTTTTCTTTACAATTTTCAACAGAAATATCAAATTTATTAATTTCATATTTAGGATCCCATTTTTTACTTAAAATGTATTGGACATCGGCTGGCGATAAAATTGGAAGTGTTACATCAATATTAAAATTATCATAGGCAGGACAATCTATTAAAACCAGTGTATCTATATTTTCTATTGTGACCAATCTCGAATATCTAATATTTCTAAGAAATAAAAGGTATCCACATCTTCCTCTGTTTTCCAAGGATTTTTTAATTTTAACAGCTAGGCTTAAATAGGTTTCGTGCACAAAAATAATTGCAAAAGTTTTATTATTTTTTGCGATTTCTGCTAAATTAATTCTACGTGTAAGATAATCGAATCGGTTTTCTATGTCAAAATTATAAAAAGGCTTGACATGCATTTTTCTTGAAAAATATCGTAAAATCGCTTCATTTTTTGTGACTACTAATAATTCTTGATTTTGGATATAACTATGTGATTTGTATTGCAAATAAGTAGAATCAAAATACACGTTACTAAATGTATTAATATGTTTTATTTCTTCATCACCAAGTTTATCTTGTAGATAAATTGCATTTTCAAAACCATGCTCTGGACATTCTACGCCTAATAAAATAACCAAGTCCGTTTTTTTATGTTTGAGGCTACAAATAATGTTATCGGCATTTATTATAAACAGATTGATTTCTTTTTTATGTTCTACAATTTTGTCATAAATATTTTCAACCAAATTAGAATATTCCTTAGAAACGAGAATAAATGCTTCACTTATGTTCTCTATTTTTTTAAATACATCAACCCAATTCAATTGCATAAAAGGGATAAAAATACTGACGATTTGTAGAAATTGTGTTGTATCTTTTTCAAGTAAAAAAATTCTTTTTAGAGCTGGCATAACACTAAATTTTTATTATAAAATATTTATATATTAATTTTACTATTGGAATGAACAGTAAAAGGTATATAATATTAATATCTTAAATCCGCACAATTGTAATGAAGCGTATACTCGTTGACATTATATTTATGTAAAGCAATTTGTAAAATATTACCTTATTAAAATTATTTATAAGAAACAAAAGATCTTAAACAGCGTGTAGATGAATTTGACGTGTTCTACTTCAATATCTTTATAATTTTTTCACTAGCACTAAATTCTAAAAATATTTATTTTTTTACCCCTAATGTTAAACAAGATTACCAATTTATACTTTACAATTTTACCTTTTATTACATTTATAACTTCATTCACACCACTAATATTACACGGTCATATTAAAAAAGGAATGTCTAAAAATTTTTTCATTTTTTTTTACATAAATTGTTTGATTTTTAATTTTTTTATCAAAAATTTTAATTTATATTTACTACACATATTAAGAAGAGCTATAGAGTGTTTAATATTTAGATATAATCATAGTAAAATGAATTATATACAGTTTATACATGGTATCATATATTACATCTTTTTAAGCTTACATTTGAGAGATATAGAAGAAATTAATTTACCGGTATTTATTTTACTAAATGTATTCCAGACATTAACACACATTCTTGTGTTCAGATATAAAAGATTTGTGTATTCTCATTATTTTAGTGAATTTTTAATTTATTTATATTTATTTTATATAAAAAAAAGTAAAGAGTTATTTTATAATACAATGTACTTAATAATATTTATATTAACATCTATTATAAATAGAAATAAAAAGTATTTGTAAATTTATTAACTTTGCTTGTCCTGTAATGATGTACAGTAATTTTCTATCCTATAAAATAAAACATTATACATCTGTTTGTAGTAGTAAATACACAACCCCGCATATAACAACTTGTCCACAAAAAAATCTAACTGTACGATTCTCCAGTACGTAAACACAAAATTAAAAATTGACAGAAAACTGTTATAAAAAACTACTTTAAAAACAAGGATGTAAATAAATAGTGTCGTGATATGTAATCTTAAGTCCATGTACGATATAGTAGGCTTTTTTACATTAAATAAATCATATAATTCTACATTTGTGTGGATTAAATAAGAATTTGACATAAATATTTTCAATACAAGAGAAATTAATAAATGTACTGTAAATAATACAAGCAGTGTACAAAAAAATAAAAAGATACTATTTGGTGTTACTTCGTCTTTAAGTTTGTAAAACGTTCTGCACTGCAAACATTTTTTCGCACTGTAATATTGTGATTTGTACCTCCACATCTTTAAACAGCTTTTATGAACGTATTTTAGCGTACCTTTACAATTACAAGGAGATATTAAATCATCGTTAGGTGAAACAGGATCTTCTTTTGAGTAACAGATTTTACATTTTGTTTCTAAATCTTCCATAACCTTACATAGATTTTTTAATTTATTTAGAAAAAATACCAATTATTTTAAAAGGATCACGAGCATAAAGGAGGGAGCAAATAAAAAAATTTAACAAATTTGTTTTATTAAAAAGTAAAATACATTTTAGTAGCAAATATTCTCAAAAAAGCTATTTATTGTATAATTCAAATATGTTCTCTGGATTTAGATCTTTAAAGTAATTCTCTCTTTCTTCAAATTCTTCACTAAAAAAATATCCACTACTCTTGTCAATATTTAACTGCAGCAATTTCGTAGTATTTTTATCCTTGTAATTTAGTACATGAAAATTATACACAAAATAATCACTCAAAAAAGAGGAAACCATTTTTTCATATTTTTCGTTAGTTTTAAGTAAATCTAAAACTTTTAGAGATGCAATGTCTTCTAAAGAATATTCCATATCATACATATTGTATTTATCACATTTACTTATTACACAAATAAAAGGGACTTCCATTCTAAATATAGAAATATAAGTAAAAAGATAGGATGATAAAAGGGATGTATTGAAGAATACAAGATCTATAAGATTAACAATAACAACATTAATATCTTTTTTTGTTAAAAAATGAATGAGTCTTGTAAGGCTATCACCCGTTATAAAAAATTCAACTTGCCCAGGAAGATCAATTATAAGATAATTTTCTCTATTTTCTAGAAAATTATAGTAAAAATCTTCAATGTTATTAACAAAGTCTTTTAAAATATTTTTAGTAGCACCATTAGGACCCATTTTATTTTTAATTTGGTAGTCTTTAACAGTACAAGAGACATTATAATCGTATAGACCAGTATAAATATTTCCAGGATCAAGATTAATGAGATACGGATTTCTGTGTTTTATGTCTTCTGCCTTTTTTTGTACGTATGTTGACTTTCCACTTCCCGGTGGTCCAATAACAATTTCACAGTAAATCATAAAAGGGGAAAAAATTAATAAAAAAATGCACAAAGTGCCAGAGATCTATAAAAAATAGTGATTATGCAAGCACATCTCCTATTTTACATCTCTACTTTTCTAAATATTAACTCCTTGCGGATATGTCAGGTGTTAAACTGACTAGAACAGATACTACACTTGATCAAAGCCGATAACTTTGAGAGCGAGGGGTAAAAAAAAAAGTAATTTTATGAAAAATTATTAGAACTGAATTGAACTTTAAACATTCATAAGAATGTATTTTTTATTACATTGTTATTTATAATGTAGTATTTTTTTTATTTTATTTTTTCATAATAGAAACTTCTTTAAAGATGTCAAACCATTGTATTTATTTCACTCAAAAAGAATGCAGTCTTTAAATGTCTAATTTTAAATATTCGTATTTTTCTTAGTGCAACAATATGCTTATTTAGTAATTATCATTTTCTCGTGTAATTTATTAACATTTAACCAATAATTAATGACAAAAAATATCACTTTATGTGCTTTAAATCTAGTTTAGAAAATAAAAAGATAATCCTATACAAAAATAAATATTCATTTTTTATTTAAAAATTAAATGACTAATTAATTAAATAACACTTGTTGCAGACCTATCAGATTTATTTAAAATCTATTTGCTGAAACATTTTTGTTTAAATAATATTTTACAAACAATACATGAATAAAACAGTACAAATTATTGTACTTATAACATTTTACTATCTAACATCATTAGGATTAGGATTCTTTACTACATATTTTTTATCAAAATCTGCTTATAATTTTAGATTTCCTCTTTTTAAAAGTTCACTACAAAACCTAACACATTTTATTATAAGTTCATGCATTTTAAAAATAAAAAATAATGCCTCTAAAAAATCAGGATACATTTACACAACCATTCCTTGTGCCATAACAGGTGCCGTAGACATAGGGCTAAGTTCATATTCACTTAGAAACGTATCTTTAGCATTTTATACAATGGTTAAATCATCAGCACCCGTCTTTATTCTGCTATCGGGCATGGCCTTTGGAATAGAGAAGCCGTCTATAAGATTTTTTCTTATAATTTTTACAATAGGCCTTGGTGTGTTTATGACGTCATTTAAAAACTCAAATTTTGATTTTACTGGGTTTGGAATAATATCGTTTGCATCATTTATGGCAGGATTTCGATGGGCATTTATTCAGTATTTATTACAAAAACGTGGTGTAAAAAAAGGAGGGATGTACGGCACTATTAGAGATTTAAGTCTTCCTATAGCTTGTATACTTTTTATTATGTCTTATTACAACGAAGGATTTATTGAAATTATACAGTCAGAATTCTTTAATAATTCTAAGGCAGCAGCGAAAAATCTCTCATTTATTATAGGAAGTGGCATTCTTTCATTTTCGCTAATATGCTCAGAATTTACACTTGTATCAAAAACAAGTGTAGTATTTTTAAGTGTAAGTAGCATTGTAAAAGAATTAATTATCATTATTACTTCATTGTATAAAAAAGAAATAGAACTAAATAATATAAATTATATAGGATTAGCAATTAGTATAATAGGAATAATGTGTTATAATCTAAAAAGAAAATAGGTTTTGTGTTCATTTAAAATCGAACACAAAGGGATTCGAACCCTTAACCTTCAGTTCCGTAGACTGACGCTCTGCCGTTGAGCTATGTGTCCTAAAAAAATAATTTTGTAATACAATGTTAATAAACAATAAATAATATTTTCGTAACAAAAAAGTACAATTTATCTTTATTTTGTCTAATTATTATATAAACAATCATTGATCTTAAATCTTCATTACTCAACCCATTCTTCTTCACTATCCCACTGATAGTTTAAATCAAAAATATTTTCTATTAAATGGTCATCCTGTCTTAGAGTTCTTCCTTTATTTTTGTAAAATGCTTTAAATTTTTTAATTCCTAATTTTCTAAATTTCTTCCTTTCATTTTCATTCATGTCGTACCATTCAAGAATTAAAATGTTAAGAATATGATCAGCATCTAAATTTAAATCCATATTCCAAATTGAATGTTTAATAAATTCCATAAATCCATTACATCTAAATCTAAATGTATCCAATATAATTTCAGAATTAATTTCACTTATTTCTTCAGCACAATCATTGTAATTTTGTATTAAAAATAACATTCTGTCTTTAATGTATTTTAAATATTCTTTTTCAGTTTTTTTTATAAATTCTGTTGTGTCATCAATTTCTTGTTGTTTATCTTCCAATACTTCAGCATAAAACTCGCTCCATGTTTTAACAAGCGGTACATTCAAATTATTTTGGTTCAGTTTTTTTATTACATAATTTATTCGATCAGTTTCATGCGAAAACATTACAGCAGAGGACAAAGCGGTATCTTTCTCACATTTACTATCTTTGTACTTTTTATTTTCAATATATTTCTTTTTATCTATTATTTTTTCTTTAGATATTTTTTGTTTTTTAGAAATATTCTTTTTACTAAATTTTGATTTTTTTAACATTTAAAGGGTATTTCCTTATTATGCCGCTTATATTTTTTTTATTTTTTAGTCCCCCAATGGCTGTAAGATCTGCTTCAAAAGAACTTAAAAAAAAGGCTCCTAAGAAGCTTAAAGATTTAAATGCACCGAAGGCTCCTCTGACACCTTATTTAAAATGGGGTCAAGAACAAAGAGAAAAAGATCCAGAAATCAAATCATTACCGGTTGGTCAACAAGGAAAGAAGCTTAGTTTGATGTGGCAAAATGTTAGTGATGAAATAAAAGAAAAATACAAAAGTGTTTACCAGAAGGAAAAAGAAGCTTACTTAAAAGAATTTGAGGACTACAAGAAAACTGATAGTTATAAAGAATGGTTTAAACAAAAAGAAGCATTATCAAAAGAAGATGGATCTACCGGGAAAAGAAAGAAAAGAAGTGCACAGAGTGCATATAATGTTTATTTTAAGGAAGAATATCCAATTATGGCTAGTAGTATGAATACTGATGGAGAAAGTAAGCCTTCTATGAAAGACGTCACAGCAAAAGTAGCTGAAAAATGGAAGAATTTTAGTGATGCAGAAAAAGCGGCGTATCAGGAAAGAGCTGATGCTATAAATAAAGAGAAAAAGGAAGCAGAATTTATGTCTAAAGAAGAATCAAAGGAAGAAGAAGAAGATTCTGAAGATGAATAATTTAATGAATAAAATTTATTTGGTTTTTACGTGCAGGTTGAATTTTATTCAGACAAATGTCAAAAAAATCATTATAAATTAATTTTTTAAAATTTTGCGCATAATTACAAAACAGTTACTTTTAAAAATTTTCAAACAATTCTTTATAAATTAATTTTTATTTTTGCGCATAATTAAAAAATAGTTACTTTTTAAGTCAAATTTGTCAAAAAACAGCATATTGCAATAATAAGACTAATTGATTTTTTAGATGTTTTAAATATTTAAGAAATAATACATGTAGGACAGTAAAGATGTAGACATGTCAATTAGCAGTATTAGGTTGATGGCTTTGACATGTCTGTTATATAAATAATAATTATTAAATAAACCCATGTTTTATCCTAACAATACATGCTACAGTATTTTTTGTTGGTGCAACAATTTTAGGTTTATTTTTTTAATTTAAGTTTTTACATTGCAATACGAATTGTACTATATTTCTTATTTTAATAAGATAAATATTTAAAGATTGCTATGCAAAAGTAAACTTAATTTTATAAAATAATAAGTAAATTTTCTACAATAAAAATAAGATATTTAATAAGATGAATAAGTTTTTTTTTTAGTAAATATCTAAACTTTATTGTTTAAGTAAACGCGCAGTAATACATATTTATGTCATTTAGATAAATTACAAGATAACTAAAATTTTCATATGACAATAATGTAATGCATTGATATTTTTAGGTTAAAATTCTAAGATGTATTAATTTGTTCAAATTTAAATGTATGCTTAAAGATCCATGTACTTCTTGAGATGTAATAACTTTGCATGTAATAAATTTTACATTAAAAATTCTTGTACGTTGTACATACAAAACATTGTATGCTTTTATTTATTAATTATGTATATGTATATTAAATGTAAGCTTTTTAACTAAATCTAATTAATTTTTTGTTTTATAAGACATTTATAGTTACTAATATATGTAAGAATGAAAGGAACAAAGTAGAAAATTTTATGATATTTATGAGATTACTTTAACATGTCTATATTTAAATAATTTATAATTATTAAACCCATATTCACTTCAATATTATTTAATACTTTTTTTTTGCCGTAAGCTTTTTCGTTCTTTAAATTTAACCTATAAAAAATATTTAGAAATTTACAAAAACCAATTATTTTTAAGGAAAATTCTTTAGTCTTTTTATGCATTTTTTTATCTTCATTTTTTTTTATTTACTGTTTCCCTCCTTTTTTAATAACAAATATTATTTTTACCTCCAAAACATTTAAATATCAAAAATATTTGACCCCCCAATGAATAAAGCACCAAAACAAAATACAGGTAAAGCGCCAATAAGTACTACACAAGTCGGAGATCTGGACAAAAAAAAGAAGAAGAAAATGTCTAATTTATGTTCTGGTATGCAATTCAAATCTGCAATAAAAAAGATTGCCAAGGATATTAATCCTGATCAAACAGTATTTTTAACTAGTCAGGCCATTGCTATTTTATGTGCTATTGCTTATGATATTGTTTCTACTTGTGGTGAAGTAGCCTCTGAGTTTTCTAAGAAAGTAAGTAAACAGACTGTTGGTGCCGATGAAATTGTGGCCGCATTTGAAATTTTATTAAAAGGAGAATTAAAGAAATTAGCATTAAGAGAAGTACACACTTGTTTGTCCAAGCCAAGTGCACCATCTAAGCCTTCTAAATCCCTTAAAGATTAATAAATAAAGGACTGTTTAAATATAATTATTTTTTTACATTGGAGATTTTGTATAATAAAGTACGCGATGCAAATACTAGTTGTTGTGTCTTTTAAGTTACTCACAAGTTTAAAGTTAAATTATGAAACGCTTATTTTAATTTAGACTGTTGTACTGACAAAGAATTTAAATTTTTGTTGTAACATTCATAAACGTGTGTATTTCTATGTTAAAGTTAAATATGTTTATAAATTAATCTTATAAACCAAGTTTATTCATAAAATATTAATTTTAACTGTTGTTGTTATTTTAATTAAGCAAATTTATTGATTAATGATTTGTTTATGTAAACATCTTTGCTGATCGTTTCATATCAATACATATTTCTTGAATGTAAAACCTCTTCTGTTGCAGACACTACTTTTGGCTGATAAAATAACTACAATGTCTACCCACAACAGTAACAAAACATTTTTTACGCTTTTAATAAATTTATCTATGTTGTATTACAGCAATTGAAAATAATAAATCAAAATTTAATTAGTTATTTTCTTATTCTTCTGTAATTCTGATGTGTTAAAATAAAAATAAATTTAAATGTGGTAAATTATACAAAAGTCTAACACTTGTTCTTATATTTTAGTTTATTATTTTACTAAATGTTAAATACTACGATCACATTTGTAAAACGATCATCATATTACTTTTAAACATATCCTACGTAGAACTTAAAATTTTTTTTAATCTAAATGATTATCTTTTTTATTTATTCGTGCTTTATTTTTTTATGATTAATTTAAAACATTTATACAGTTTTTTATAAATTAAAAAATATGTAATATTACATGTACTTCTACCTGCTCCTAATAAAAGTATCTTTACAAGAAATTATAGATGACTGTGCTATCTATAAACAAGGATTGGTTCTATCAATGTATTATCATACAGAATGTACTTATTGTATGGAATATGAAAAAGTGTTAAAAATATTAGCCAATGAATCTGAAATGAAAGACATGCTGAAAATTCAAAAAGTAAATTGTGGTGTTTGTGATTGTGGACCGTCTAGTATAAAAGGGTTTCCTACAACAATTCTAAGAAACAATGGTACAGAGATCGGTAGAACGGTGGCAATGATGGATTTGAAAAAATTAAAATCTTTTATATTAAAAAAAAGTGGTAAAGAAAATGCGGGACATAAATTAACAAACGAAGAGGATAGCACAAGTTCAAAAGAGGAATTGCATGCTAAGACTATAAAAATTGTACCAGGCTCTTCTGACAATATTTATCCGATACGTTATGATCAAGATATGAAACCCATTTGTGTACCAATATGTGTGAGTAGAACTTGTAATTAAATGTATTTATAAACTTTTATAATTTCTTATTTTTTAAAAATTATGATTTCTCACTTTTATCTTGACAATTAATTTCTTAGATACTAATTGTTTAAATGTAAAAATTAAAGCAAAAGGGTTTGCATATGAGAAGCAACCAAGAATCTTTATGCCTGTTTTTAACATTTTTATTAATTTTGTATAAATTATAACAACTTTAATAAAATGCGCAATTATTTGCACTAAAAATGTCGTCATGGGTATTTTTAAACAACACAACCCAATGCATCTAGTAGAGCAAACGTGTTAACTTGAAGTTGTAAAAATTTTTAGGATTCTTAAGAAAAAAAAAATTATTAGAAGTGTATAAAAAATGAGGAGAAAGATTATTTGTATCAAAAAAATAAACTACAGACAAAAATACTAACCAGTAAAAAAAGTTCTTCTTACAATTCAAGCTAAATTAAAAACAATACAGTTTGCTAGAAATATTTTTACTACCAATGTCGTAACAAAAATATAAATAATTATTACAATTTTAAAAAAATTAAATCATTATCCTGAAACTAAAAATCATGCGTTTTTGCAACTTTTTATTTTATAAATTTTATTATTTTAGTGTTGAGAGAAACGTATAATGATAGCTTATTTTTAAATATTATTGATATTTTTATAATTGGAAACGATATTTTCTTTGACGTCACTTATTAAAAAGTCTTCATCTAAAAATATTTGACGATTTGACTTTATTACACAAGTTTAACATTGAAATCTATCACAAATTTTTGATTTTTGTGTTACAAAACTACACAATTTTAAAACAAACTAACTTTAAAAAATTAACTGTGACGTAGTAAATAATCTATCTTAAAATCGTTAAATTTTTGTTTTAAAAACTGATTATCTTAAAACCAAAATTGTTTTTGTGTATAAATTAAAAAAAATTACTGATTTTATGTTTGCTTTTCTGTTCTTAATTAAGTTATCTTACCAGTTAATTTTGGAAAATTGTAGTAGTGTACAGCCGGGACTAGTATTATCTATGTATTATAGTCCAACATGTCCTCACTGTAAAAAATATGATCCAGTATTGACGGGTATAGCAAATAATGCTGCCGCAAAAGGAGTTCCAATTACGATACAAAAAGTCAACTGTGATATCTGTGACTGTGACAGTGTGAATGTCCTTAAAGTTCCTACAACGATTCTAAGAAATAATGGTGTTGAAATTGCCAGACAAAGCGGATTTATGGATTGTAAAACTGTCGGCTCATTTTTATCAAAAAATTTATGTGATGTAAATGGCCAGTTAATACCGAAAAATCAAAACAATACTAATGTATATGGATGGAGAAATAATAATATTGAACAGCCGTTACCAGTTGTACCAGAGACACCAACCAATGTTGTTCCAATAGGTGATTTACAAAAGAATCAACCGGCCTGTGCATTAGCTTCTAATTCAGGTACATGTAATTAAATTTTTATTTATCTTTGAGTTTATACAATCAAAATATAAATATATTAATATAAAATACAATGAAAATAAATTTATTGAAATATCATTTATTAATGCTTTGGTTGCTTGAAAAATCTTTACCGTACTTGGGGGTTAAACATTTTCTCAACTGGCAACCAGCTTTATCTATTAGATACTCACAACATTAATTTATAAAGCGCAAAATCTATAAAGTAGTAATAATGATTCTAACAAATACAAATAGCATTTTATATAAATTTAAAATTCATCTTTGTGGTTAAAAAATTTTTTAATTAAAATTTATTTTCATATAATTATTTTTGACTTTTTCATCAATTTATTTATACAAAAATTTAAGGATAAAGAATTGTAACTTAATTAAAGATCTTTATAGTATCAAGCAGATGTTTGATAAATCCCAGCGGACAGTCTCTCATGCTGAGAAAATACTCTATAATATTCAAAAGTAGTTTTTCTTTTAAATCAATACAAGTTTTATTTAAAGTTTATTAATTAATATAGTAATTGTAAACATCCTTATGTTTGTTGTTTTACTGTTTCATCTGATTTTCCATTTAAGGTTCGCCTTCTTTTTAAAATTTTTATTTATTGAAAAATAAATTCTAAAAAATACAAGATCATTTTTGATTAGCCAAAAATAAAAAAGACATGTAGTCTATATACCACACAAATATATCTTTAAACTTAATTTATGGGCAACTAAGGCCTTCTGCAGTTGGTTTTCTTTCGTTTTTATTTCTATTTCTTTTATATTTATTGTACAGAGCTAAAAAGTCGGCCGTAAAAAATATATTTTTATGGGTAATAATGTTTGCCAGTGTAGTGTATTGTTTTTATAAGTGCTATACTGCGTTTAAAAATTTTTACAGTATTGAAATAAATTATGAAGCGCCTATAGAAAATGAAACGCTTGTTACAAATCAAAATTGATGTTCTTACAACGATTAATCATTTAAATATCAAATTTTATTTTAGAAATGAAAAATAGTCACAAATTAAATTAACTTTACTGTATTGTTATTCCGATTTAATGAAAACAAAATTTTTTTTTTTTCTCTAAAAAAATTTTTAATTTTTAACTTCAACATAAAACAAATAAATTTTAACAATTTGGCTTTTTTAAGTATATAAAATGTAATACAAATGAATAATAAATTATAAAAAAAATAATCTTGTTTAATTGGTTTTTGTACATATAGAATTACATCTTGTTAAATTTAAATTTTTTTAAACACTAATCCTAAAGCTGCAAAATTAAAAACCCGCTTCGGGTTTGAAATAAATAATTTTAACTTATCGTATCAGATTTACATATTATATATTTTTTAGATTTCTTTACACATTTTTTGTACAAAGATATAAAAACTTGATAAATCACATTTTGTAAAATTTATACATTAATGACACAGAAATATAATCTTAATAAAAGTTACTTAAAGACTTATGTTTTAAATAATGGTGTCGTCAATTTATTTTACAACAAATTTTTTAGTGTGAATTGTTTAAGGCGCAATTCATGCGTAAACCTTAAAGTTGGCCTAAAAAGCGAGATTAAAATGTTTAATAATTCCCAATCTATTTTCAAAATTTTGAATTTAAAAAATGCTTATTGTATATCTTTTTATATTAAATTTTTAATAAGTTCAACTAAAAAGCAAAATTTATTTAATGAAGCTTTTTAATATTGTTTTTATTTACACTAAAGTACTCAGATCCCTCAGTTCACCCGTTAGCTTGCTTTCCATTAGTTCAATTTCACCAATGCCGCTGCCAACTTCTTCAAGTCCCTTAAATAGTCCAGAAAGACCTCTCCATTGTTTTCTTAAAACTAGAGCTTGAATGTAGGATTCCGTGATATAAAAAAATATAAATAATTATTACAATTGTTAAAAAATTTAATTATTTAACTTAAACCAAAAATCATGAATTTATTCAATTTTTGATTTTATTTTATATTATTTTGGTGTTAAAGGAAACTGTAAATAGAAGTTATTTTTAATATTATTTATCTTTTAAAAACATTGTTTTTGACGCCATTCATTTAAAAAAGTTGACAGCTAAAATTTTTTGTCAATTTGATTGTAATAAATTAGTTTAACATTGAAAGCTATCACAAATTTTTGATTTTTGCGTTACAATTGCACAAATTAATTAAATAAACTACTTCTTAAAAATTAACAAGGACGTAGTAAATAGTTTTTTTTAAAATCATTTATTTCTGTTTTAAAAGCTGATTATCATAAAACCTAAATTTTTTTTGTGTATAAATTAAAAAAAATTACTGATTTTATGTTTGTTTTTCTATTCTTAATTGAGTTATCTTGCCAGCTAATTTTGGAAGATTGTGGTAGTATGCAGCCAGGTCTAGTATTAACTGTGTATTACAAACCAACATGCCTTAGTTATCAAAAATATGAACCAGTGGTGACTGATTTAGCAAATAGTGTTGCCGCTAAAGGAGTTCCAATTACGATACAAAAGGTCAATTGTGATATTTGTGACTGTAACAGTATGAATGTCTTTGAAGCTCCTACAACGATTCTAAGAGATAATGGCGCCGAAGTTGCCAGACAAAGGGGATTTATGAATTGTAAAACTATCAACTCATTTTTATCAAAAAATCTATGCAATGTAAATAGCGAATTAATACCGAAAAATCAAAACAATACTAATGTATATGGATGGAGAACTTATAATATTGAACAGCCTTTACCAGCTATACCAGAAATACCAACCAATGTTATTCCAATATGTGAGTTACCAAAGTGTCAATCAGCTTGCTCATTAGCTTTAACTTCAGGTACATGTAATTAAATTTTTATTTATCTTTAATTATACTATCAAAATATAAATAATATTAATATTAAATACAAAAAAAAGAATTAATTAAAAATGCATTTATAAATGCTTTAATTGCTTAATAAGTCTTCACCATGCTTGGGGGTTTAGATCTTTTCTCAACTGGCAACCAACGTTATCTACTAGATACTCACAACATTAATTTATAGAGTGCAAAATTCCAAAGGTAGCAATAATGATTTTTTACAAATACTAAATAACATTTTATATAGATTTAAAATTTAATTTGTCGTTAGTTGGTTTTTAAATTAAAACCAATGTTTATAAAGTTTTTCTATGACATTTTCGTCCTTTTCTTTATTTAGCTTGTTTTAAAAAAAAATGACACATAAATTTTACCAATATAAATTGATCAAACAAATTATCTGGCTCAATAAGTTTATGTAAAAAAAGTATTTAAAAAGCTTTATTTAGTTATATTTTTCTTAACTGATGTAAAAGTTTGATTTTCCGTTTTTTATAAAAAAGCGTTTCAAAACAATGACTATTTTTTTAAAGAAAAGTGATCTGTAAATTTTCCCTAGAATCTTACTTATTTTACAATTTTTTTAAATCCCTGATGCAACTTACGCCTGAATTGGATTAAAAATTGTTGTCTTTAATACAAAAAATAGTGCAAGCTAAAATAGCCAAACAAATTGGTGTATCTAAGAGTACAAAAAAATTATACTACTTGTGCATTTAAGAGGAAATAGGAGACCAAAGACTCTTTTTAAGGATAATATTAATACTATTTTGGCTTTAAATAAAAAACCTAAAACTTCTTTGAGAAAAATGTCGGTTGAGTTTTTAGAAAGAAGTAAAAAAGTGATATCTTATTCAACTATAAAAAGGACACTAAAATATTATGGTTTTGATGCATTCCTGGCAACAAAAAAGCCTGCCCTGTCAAAAAAATTTATTTTAGCAAGGAAAGAAAATTCTTAAAAAATTATTTGCATGTCTGATGTTACTACAAAGAGCCAATTTTTTTTCGATGAAAGTAAATTTAATCTCATTGAAACTAAATATAGATTTTTTCATTAAAATAAGCCGTGTACAGATATTTTTCTAAAAAAATTGTTGCTACAGTAAATACGGAGGAGAACTGTAATAGTATGAAAATGTTTCTAATATCATGAAGTAGAGAATCTGATTTTTATAGATGGTATTGTGGGTTCTGTGGCAAATGTAGATATTCTGGCTCATTTTTGCGCCCGACAGCCAATCAAACGAGAATGAAAATATTTATTTTTCAACAAGATAATGTTCTGAAACATACATCAAGACTTGCCAAGAACTACTTTATTGAAAAAAAAATCGAGCTACTTTCTTGGCCACCACAATCTCTTGATTTAAACCTAAATGAGACACTTTGAGCTATCAAAAAACAGAAATTATCTTAATTTTTCATAAAAACTAAGGAAGAGTAAAAAGCTGTTGTACAAGCTGTATGAATTTTAATAACAGTAGAAACCTGTCAAAAACAGGCGTTAAGTTTCAAAAAAGATCTATCAAGTTTTGGGTCTATGCACATGGTATAATTTTTAAATGTAGTCATGTTTTTAAACACTTTTTTATATAAAACAAAAAATCAAACTTTTTACGACAGCTAAGAATAATATAAACAAAAAAAGCTCTCTAAAGAACTTTTTTACATAAACTTATTAAATCAGATATTTTTATTGATCAATTTATACCAGAAAATTTATGTTCCGTTTTTTTTAAAGCAGGCTGTATATTAGTATTATAAGATGTTGTAACTTAACTTTAAGCTACTACGTAATATACATTATTTGTAAATTATTCTATAAAAAAGTTTTTAAGACAACATAACCAAGATTTTGATTATAATTAACACAAAGAACTTTTTAAAGCTATTTAAACATTAATTTTAAATAAAACATAAACTACCTGCCAAGAGACTTTATTGTAAATATAGACGTGATTAGTAAAAATTTAGATTGCACAAATTTAATCCTTAGATATCTTTTAAATTTATCACAAATAATAAAGAGAGTTAAAACATAAACATAGTGTGCTATTTCGTTACAACCTGCATAATTTATTTAAAAGTACATTAGAAAAATATTAACGTGTACCTATGAGCGAATACATCCACTTAAAATCTTTTAACAGCTCGTACATATGGATTATCTTTATCAACAACTTTAAACCCCTTATTTTCAAGAAAGTTAATAACAGAAGGACGAAGAGATTGTGAATTTCCATCACGCCCAGTAATTAAATTGATTTCTTTAGGACAATACATTTGAATGTAATCACTAAGAAACATAAGTGCTTCTTTTGTATACAATCCGTGTAAGTCAATATTTTTGGCATTAAGTAACGATTTAGATAAAATCATCAAAGCACGTCTTCTATTTAGTTTATCAAGTTCTTCATACATTTGCTGTATTTCTTCTGACTGATATTCTAATACTCTCTTGTCCTTACAAAAATTTAATTTATTTTTTAGCAGTTTAATTTGAGAGTATAACTCTTCTGCTTTGCGCCTATCGATGTCACCATCATAAACATCTGTTTCCTGCTTATAGAACAACTCGGGATAATAAAGATCCTTTTTTATCTGTTTTTGTATTTTTTTGACTTGTGTGATATCTTTTAAATTAACATTGATTCCTTTGTAATTATTATCTAAAATTTTAGTAATTATAATATTCATATCTTCAGATGATACAAAAAGATTTTCTACGTCTTCATCATTTAAAAATGGAAATATTTCTTTTATAAACGACTTTTCTTTTTCAATTTTAGCCAAATTAAACATGGGTTAAAAAATTAGTTAAATTCAAAAGAAGTATTAACGACTTATTGCTAAATAAGCTACCAAATATATTTTACGTATTTAAAAATAGAACTATTAATAAAAGACAAAGCATTAAAAAATTAAGATTTAGATTAGTTTAATATATAATAAAAACGGTGCAGAGATTATATTAATCTATAATATTAATGTCTAATCACTTAATAGTACTTTTTTCAATAAACATTATGTTACAATAATAAATAAATGTTAGAAATATATTTTATTTAATTTATAATTTAATTAATTAATATATTTATATATTAATTTTTTTAAAACATGTAAATTTGAAACAAAACAATTAAAACTATAAATTTAACTTTTTTATAAATAAACATGTTGTTAATATTTCTATTACACTTTAGTTTGCAGGTTGTAGTCGAACAATGTGCAGTTGAAAGTTCAGGATTTGTTCTTTTAGACTACTATCAAAAATGGTGTCCTGCCTGCCAAAAGCTTGATCCCGTGCTTGAAGAAATCGATAATACACTTGAAAGAAATGGTTATGATATTACTGTTCAAAAAGTTGATTGTAACAATTGCGAATTTAATAAAGAAGATATCAAGTCATTTCCGACAGTTGTTCTAAAAAACAATGGTAACGAAGTAGCGAGATTTTCTGGTTACAAATCATATAAAGAACTGGGTGAGTTTTTATCTACGCACTCTGATGTTGATAAATCCATTTTCGATAATCACATAGAAAGTAAACCAGCAGAATTACTTGAACTAATCGATTCAGATATGTATCAAGGACTTGATGGCCCATGGATTGTTTACTTTTACTACAAGGATCCTTCAAAATTTGAATCTACTATGTTAGAATTAGAAAAAATTTATAACGGAAAAATCAACTTCGGTAAAATAAGTTATGAACAATCTAAAGATTTAATACATCAATATAACATAAAAAGTTATCCTGCAATTTACGGTATTTTTAATGGTCTTATGGTCCCTTTTCTAGAGGCAGTAAATTTAAACGAATTGTCAAAATTTGCAGATAAATTAATTGCGCCTAGTTTTAGAAAACTAAAATTAGCTGACTTTAAACAAGAAATACAACTACTGGAACACGGTGAACCACTTTATCTTGTATTTCATACAAATCAATCAAAAGCTAATCAATATTTTGCTGAACATGCTCACAAATATAAATTTAAAACAAAAATTTTTAATACTGATGATGCAGCATTATTTTCGATGGCTTCGATATTTCCGTCATCGAAAACAGAAAAGCAAAATCTTACCGATTCTGACGCAATAAAATTAGGAGTTTATAAAAACGGTCGATTTTATGAATATAAAGGAGATATTTCTAATGAAAATGATATTGCCGCATGGTTATTTCATACACATTTCAGCTACGTAACAGAGATCAAAAGCTCAACTTTTACTTCTATCTTTAATGGATATAAGCCTGCCATGGTTTTATTAACAAAGGGTGAACAATTTATAAAAGAATTTAATGAATTTTCTGCAGACAGACATTTAGGGGCTCCTTTTATACACATCCTATTTGCTGTTTTAAATACTAATGAATACGAAAATTTTGTTCCATCATTGCTTCCAAAAATGACCGTGCCCAATCTTGTTGTTTATGATCCAACTACTAAACAGTTTAGACATACGGACATGAATTTAACAAAAGAAACGTTCAAAGAAAGCGCTATGAAAATGTTAAAAATATATGAAGAAGGTAAGTTACAGCTATATCCTCGTCCGCCGTCTCATAAGAAATATTATTTGCTTGCAGTAGGATTTGTTATATTAGGTGCGCTATTTATAGCAAAATCAAGTAAGAACAAAAAAAGAGTCTAATAAAACTCTTTTATTATAAAATTTAATTTATAGTTTAATTTTGTTTTTTGTACATATACGTGAGTTAATCACTTAAAAAAGTTGGTGTGTAAAAAAATACATAAAGTCACCATTTCAGATTGCAAAATAATTGTATGTTTCATCCAAATCATATATAAAATTTGTAGAAATATTGCTACACATTTTTTTTACATATGTTATCCAAAATAAACTGCAAAATTTTTAAAAGTTATTTTTTCTACAATTTGACGCATCATATTTTTTTTACCTAGCTATAAAAATTATTAATATATAAAATTCCTTGAAATTATTAAATTAAAATTCAAAAAATTAAATTTATAGTTCCCTAAGAATTATTAAAATTTAATTTATTTTTTATAAAAAACGATAAAATTAAAAAAACTTATACATTTTTTGTGTAAAACTTAAATGTTCAACAAACAACATGAAATAGTGTTTAAGTATTTCGTTATAAAACCAGTTTAAAACAATAGTTAAATTTTTTAAAAATCTATTTTTATTTTTCATGAATTAAAAGAACTTTAGTTTAAATCTATTTAATACCTTGTATAATAGATATTTTATTGTACTTAAACAATATGTAACTAAATTTTATAAAATTACTTGTTCATTTTACACATTTTTATCAATATTTTAAATGCTGTTTGTATCAAAAATAAAAGTAAGTAATTTTTTGTGTGTTTGTGATTGTTTTTTCACTCTTTTTTACTATGATTTATTTTAAACGATTTTAAAAATTTGCATTAAATAAATTGGAAGGTATATGTTGATTATACGCTTTTTTTAAAAATTAGAAAAAATAAAAAAATCAATTTATTTTAAATAACGTTAACAATTTTTCATTCTCTTTTGGTTATAAATATGATACGTATTAATAAATTTTAACAGATGGTTATAATACTGTTCCTGCAACAATCACCTGTTTTTTGAAAATAACTTGATCTGGACCGCAGACCTTCTATAGATTGTGTGTGTACAGAAGGGCACAAAGGGTCACCTAAATTACTTGAATGGTTTATTGTTTTATGGATATAATTTGGCACGAAGGATAAATTTAAAATTCTATTGCAACATTATATGCATGCCATTTTTCTGTTATAACAATTGTTTCATGCATAACATTTTCAGAAATTATACGCGCGATAGTAACTGCATTAGTACTTTTTACAGATACAATAAAGTCTCTTTTTGTCTCATTGTAATATCTTCGATGTACCATTGACCATTTATAATTATTCCCGTTTATATTTTTTTTCAAAAAAAAGACTTTCGTCGATTTTTACAGCTTTTAGCATCCAATGCTCGTCTAACTCGCCTATACTAATTGTTTAAACAGCCATATATTCACAAACACATTTCTTAACCAAATCTACTATTCCACTTGCTGTTTGCCGCCATGTATTAAATTTATATGCAATATCTACAAAAGATAGTCTAGAAAGGTACTTATAGAAAGCTTTGAAAATGGTCTTAACAACAATCTTGAATGAATTAAAAAAGTATTCTGTTCTTAATGAACGTGTATGCATGCATGATCTTTGACAAGCCCAACTATAGCCATTTGGTATAGTTTTGTTTTTTTCAAAAGCAGAGTATAATTGAAAAACCAATTAAAATATTGTAAGAGTCATGTGATCATCAAGTATTTTTTTAAAAAACTTTAATTTTTGGCAAAATGTTGAAGTTTTATAAAAAATTCGATGTTTTATATAAGATTACACTAATTAAAATTTTATGACATTAAATCAAAACAGAATATTAATTTTTTAAAAGTATAGCTTTTTGCAACATTTTAAACAACATCGTTATTACTTTATTTAATTTAAAAATTTAATAATGTTTTTCGTTTATTTAATAAATAATTTAAACATTTAAAATTAAAAAAGTCTATTTTTTCATTAATTTTTAAAAAAATAAAGAGTTTATTTCTTTTGATAAATTAAAATGTTTAATATATTGTTTTAATGCAATAAGTCACCACCCCCACTTTAATGAGTGATTCTTATAGTAGAATATCTGCGGTTTTTTACATCATAAATTCAATGCTGGGGACAGGGATTAATTTTATGCCGGCAACTTTTAACAATTCTGGAATAATACTTGGATTTGGTATGCTATTTTGCGTATCTTGTTTAACTGCCTTTTCTATTTATATTCTTTTTAGAGTGGCTATAAAATTTCAAGGTGAATACGAACACATTACATTTGCGAATCTTGCTAACCCACCTTATTTAAGAAGAATGATAGATTATTCAATGGTTGCAGCATCATTGTTTTCCGCTATAGGTTTTCAAAAATTTGCAAAAGAATTATTCACATTATTTATTTCGGAATTTTTGCCCGATAAAACACCTATTTTTTACAAATATTTAGAAATAACCATTTTACTTGTGATAACAATAATATTTACAGGATTAGCAATGATAAAAAAAATAGGAAATTTAAAAATACTGTCTAAATTGTCCGTTTTTTGTGTTACATCCTTGATGATAGTTTTAACAGTACTAAATGTTTTTCTGCCCACTTCAAAGATCAGAAATTTAAAAGGGACCGACAATAAAATGAACTATACTTTCAGCCTATCGTGGTTTATTATGTCAATGTATACACAACCAAATATACCGATACTGTTTCCGCATCTAGAAGATAAATCACAAACTAATTTAATTTTTATTAGTGCTATAGCTGCTTTTTGTGGTTTTTTGATTTATGGGATGGCTGGATTTTTAGGGTTTAATCTTTTAGGACAACACATTGGAACAAGTGATATTATGAGAATTTTTTTAGATAATAATTCATCGTTAAATAATTATCTGGCATCAAATAGTGATATTAATAGTACTATATCTAGAATTTTGTGGTATATGACAAAATATCAAGGTATCTGCGCCATAATAATACTAATGGTTGGTTTTCCATTGAGAATAGCACCAGCTACTAGATATTTTAAAAATTTTTTTTCTGATAGAATAAAAAATACCGATGGGGTACATAATATAATAGTTATTATTGAAATGTTTATAATTACAATGGTCAATCTAATTCCAAATATATCTTTGAACTTAATTTATGGGCTGCTGGGACCTTCTGCAGTTGGCTTTCTTTCATTTTTATTTCCATCCCTTCTATATTTCTTGTACAGAGATAAAAAGTCGGCTGTAAAAAATATATTTTCATGGATAATAATGCTTGCAAGTGTAGTGTATTGTTTTTATGGGTGCTATACTGCGTTTAAAAATTTTTGCAGCGTTGAAATAAATTATGAAGCGCCTATAGCAAAGGAAACGCTTGTTACAAATCAAAACTGATGTTCTTATAACGATTAAACATTTAAATATCAAATTTTGTTTAAAAAATCAAAAATATTTAGAGATCAAATTTACTTTACTATATTGCTATACTAGTGCCAAATAAGGATTGTTCACTTTACAATTACAAATTTTAAAATATAACAAGTTGTTGCCATTTCCAAAGAGCATACAAAAATTTTTAGCCGTTTAAATCGCTAATTTAATTATTTTGAAAAACAACATCTTTATCAGTTAAATGAAAAAAAAATGGCAAAAAAAAAAATTTAAATAAGAATTATCATATCTATTTTTTACTCTTATTAGTTCACTGCATCCAATGTTCATGCTCTCTAACTTCTTTTTACATGCTTCTACTTCAATTTTATTCCACTCCTCTTAAAAAATTTCTCTACTTCAATTTTATTCTTTTTTTTTTTCCGGCTTTTACCTTAAGAATATACCATAAAATTTTCTTATGGGTTCATGTCTAAAGATTGTGCAGGCCAAACTAATGTTAAAATTTTTTTATCTGCCAAAAAATCTTTAGTACATTTATTCATATGTTTCAGATCATTATATTGCTGCCAAATAAAATTTTTTAATTTAAAGTTTTGTTAAAGCATCAAGAAAATTGTCTAAATTCTACATTATGCTTTGCTATTCATTATACTATCAATTATACATATCTTTACCAACTACATTGAAAAAAACATGACAAATATAGATATATTACCACCTCCATGTTTTACTGCGGGGTTTAAAATTTTTTTTTATCTTTGGCCAACTTTTCTCCATACGAAACTCTTTTATCAGAGCAAAATTTAATTATTTTTTGTTTTATCGCTAAAAATAACCATAGCTATCTCTAATTAGAGTAGCAAGCATGTTTGCTTGCCCAATGTTTTTTTTCAAAATATGCTTTTTAGACAAAATGATCTTAACATGCAGTCATACCACGCAATCCTACTTTATACCAATTTTCTCGAATACATCGAACAAATAATTATTTTTTGTTCGTTTTTTAAGTTTTACAAAAGCTTAATGCTGCCAATTTGTGTATCAGCATTTTTTTTCAAATAGGATATATCATTACTATTAAGTAATGAAGGTCCAACAAAACCCGATTTTTTTACATTTTATTTGTTTTCTAAATTTTTTTTTGTGTTTGGACACTGTTGACTGGCTTATCGAGAACTTTTTTGAAATTTGTTTTTATTATGTGCCTATTTAAAATAAGCCTAATTTTCGGATTTTTACTTACAAAAAATTTTTTTTTGCCAAAAAAAAATTCCTTTTTTTAACCACCTAAAATACAAATTTCTGTCAATACCAAAAAGGTTTTAAAAAAACAATGTTCTCAATATATTCTATAATTTTTTAAAAAGTAAAATAATTGGTTGTTGTAACTATAAAATGTATGATTACTATACTATTATAATATTCCTTTTTTTGCCGCTACTTTTTTAGTTAATCAAAATAATAATCATTTTTTTATTTCTCTAAAAAAAATTTTAATCTTAATACAAATCAAACATAAAACAAATAAAATTTGAACAATTTGTCTTCTGTAAATATAAAAAATAAAATACAAATGAATTATTAAACATTCAAAATAGAAAAATTAATCTTGTTTAATTGTTTTTTGTTTAAAGAGAATTACTTCTTCTAATATTTAATTTTTTTTAAACACTAATCCTAAAGCTGTAGAATTAAAAATCTGCTTTTGTTTAAATAAAAAAATTTTTACTTATCGTATCAAATTTACATCTTATATAATCTTTAGGTCTCTTTACACATTTCTTTTCTTTTTTGCACAAAGATATATTTATTTTGAAAAATCAAATTTTGTAAATTTATACATTTATGACGCAAGAAATATAATCTTTATAAAAGTCACTTAAAGGCTTATCTTTTTAATAATGGTGTTAAAAATCATTTTACAACAAATTTTATGGTCTCACTAAAAAATACTTTAGAGTAAATTATTTATGAGGCGGTTTATGCGTAAACTTTGGATTTGGTCTAAAAAACTAGCTTAAAATGATTAGTAATAGGAAATCCATTTTCAAAGTTCTAATTTAGAAAGGCAAATATATATTTGTTCATATTAAAGTTTATGTAAGTTCAACTAAAATATTATTCATTAACAATTGCAAACGAAAAATCTTTTTTAAAAAAAATAATTTTATCTCGTAAAAAAACACAATATTTATAATATTTAACCCTTAATCTATGACTAATTATTTACTATCTTAGTTGCAATTTTTCTATAAAAAAATATTGGAATTCGGTATTAATTTTATGCCAGCTGTTTTTAATAATTATGGTTATTTTTTTAGAATTGGCTACTTGTTGCTAGTAGCTATTTTTTACCGATCAAGGGGGAAAAAGAAACTTGCACAGGGACAGAGAAACTTGTGACTGTGATTCTTATCCAACTAATACTATGAGGTTCTTACTGACTAGAAATTTCCCCCTATAAAGCTTGCCGGTGCAGCAAGCTCCGGTGTATCCATTTGACTTTGGCTCTGGGAGAATTTGTTATTACTTGTATTCATACAT